TCCAGGCCGAAGAGGCCCTCGTCGTCCAGCGCCCAAGCAGTCTCGCCAGCCAAGACGGCCGAGATGCTGAGCTTCGGCACGGTGGACGCGGCCGCTGGCTGCAATGCCGCCGACGTCGCCAGCGCCTGCACCGCCGCCGTGCAGGCCTCGGTGGCGCGCGCCAGGGCCTCGGAGCGCTCGGCCACGCACCCCTTGGCCTCGTCCAGCTGCTGCTGCAGCCCCTCAGCCTTCTGCAAGGCGGCCTGGAGCGCCGCAGCCGCTGCGTCCTTGGCCTTGGCAGCCTCGTCGACGGACATGGGCCTAGCTTCTCGCTGAGCCCTGATCGCGTCGAGCCGCGCCTGGTACTTGGCCACCTCTGGGCCTTCGCCGCAGAGACGGAGCAGCGCCACCAGCTGGGCAAGCTGGGTCTCCTCCGGGTCCTCGGCTCCAGCTGGCGCCCCCCTCGGCGCACGAGCGCGGCGGCCGCCTTTGCCTCGGCCAGCGGACGGCTCGCGCGCACTGGCAGATGCGTCGCCAGTGTCGACGCGCTCGCGCCAGGGCGGGCCGCCTCGGCCTCCAGCACCTCGGCTCGGCGGCCTGCGCGCGTGGCCAGCTGCGCCGCTGCCGCTGGCGCCACCAGGGCCAGGCGGGCCGTCGCCGACGAGGACCAGCGGCTGCCTGCAGTGGCAGCACCACGACCACCAGGACTCATTCTTGCGGCAGCCGCAGTGCTGGCATGCGTCGGGACGAGGCGCGCCCCCGCGCCCTGCCTGCCCGCCAGCAGCCGCATGCATCTGCGGCGCCTTGCGCCGATGCCACGCTAGCGACCGCGACCGCCCCCTGCAGTCGGCAGCCGCCGTCGCGCCCGCCCCACGGGCGGCGCTCGGGCCCCGCCGTGCCCCGCCGCGGGGCAATACGGCCAGGCCCGCCGCGAGCCACCTAGGAGGAGGAGGAGGAGGAGGAGGAGGAGGAGGAGGAGGAGGAGGGGAGGAGGAGGGGGTGGCCCACGGTCCTGATTTAGGCATGCGCCGATGTGGTGCACATGCCTCCTCCTTGCAAGGCTCCCAGGGGAATGATCTCCGTCCTGGGTCCATCCACCACTGTCGGGTCGACCGGACGGGTGGGATGGGGGAAAAGGGGGGGGGCTGGGAAGTCTGCTGCGTGCGCCGAAGGAGAGAAAACGCCGTAGACAAACTTCCTGGCGCTCCGTGCGGATTTCTTGGGTCCGCGTTGGGGCTCCAGGCGGAGCCTCTGGCGCCGCCCCAGAAGGGTTTGTCAGGCCAAATCCAAGAGATCCCCGCGGACCTCCAACACTGTAGGTTTAACCTCATGCCCGTGAGAATAAACACTAGGGGATAATAAAAATCGGGATTCAGGGAGAGATAATAAAAGTAGCCCAGCAGACCTCAGCATAATCTCGAAGTAAGAGATGATCAAGAGGAGACCAAGCCGAGCACGTTTTGAGACATCCTTGGCGTTTAGTTTTCATAGAAGAATAATAAGAAGAGTGGAGAAGAATACTAAGAAAGAAGAAGAAGAGGATAATAAGAAGAGGACGAATAAAGGAAAAATCTAAAGTTCCAAATCTATCAATTTTAATTTACAAGCGCTTTATGAAAATTGATTTTTGAAGTGCTCGTGTAGGGTAGCTCATGTGCTTCATGTTCCATGGATAATCAACCCCAGGGGTACAAAAACAGTTCAGGCGAGCGTGAGGACATATAGAAATATACAAGAAGAGGAGGAAAGTATAATAATAATAAGAACATTGCTCGTTTCGTTTGAGTCTGCCTCCCAAAATTATTGGTTTCGCTTGACACATCCTGAAAAAGTGTGATCGCTTCGCTTGATGTTGCTATATCAACATCGCTAGATGTTGCTATCTCAACATAGCGTTTCGAGGTGATAATGAAGTTCGGCCTCAGCGCTCGCCGCCCAATTTCAAATTTGTATAGGGCGACGATAATCAACTCTAAACACTGAAGGGGGGGTCCCTTTATTATCATCGGCATGCGGTTATGATGTTTTTGAATGCCTCCAGTGTTGCTGGTTTCGGCCCCTCTGCCCGACCTCCTCTCTCTTCTCTCCTTTCTCTCCTTTCCTATTCCTCATCCTCCTCGTTTTCCTCGCCCCTTCTCCCTCCTCCACCTGTATCATTTCCCTCCTCCTCCCTCTTCCTCCTACTCTCTCCTCATCCTCCTCCTGACTCATCCCTCCTCTCTTACCACGGTGTGGTTAGCAAAGTTCTCCAGCGAATTCTAGACGCCTCGCGTAACCACACCAGAGCTTCCGACGCCTTGCATATTTGCACGCTGGCAGTACGACTCAGTTTCAGCCAGCCCCCTCCACTCGCCGGTCCGCCGCTGAGGTGCTGCGTGAGGCTCCGCCTAGCCGCTTTGGGCGAGGCTGCGCCCCGTTGTTTTAGGTGTATTTGTCGCTGCGTGCCCCGCTTTGACTGGACTCGCCGCTGGCGCGCTCGCCTGCGGCCGCTGACTAAAAGTAACCCCACCAGCCCATCCATTTCTGGGCGAGTTGCTTTGGTCAGGGATGTGGACGAGCATGTAGTAGAGTACTGGGCTGGGTAAGACGTCACACCCCGAGTGGGAGAGGATGTTCGAATAAGCAGAGGATAGTGGAGGAGTGGGGATAAGGAGAGGGGGAAGAGGGAGGAAGAGGAGGAGGAGGAGGAGGAGGAGGAGGAGGAGGGAGGAGGGAAGAGGAGGAGGAACATATGAGGAAGAGGAGGAGGAGGGCGAGCAGAAAGACCAGAGGCCCCTTGGATGCTTCTCGGAGCTATTTCATATATACTATAGCACCCTGCAGATGCGGATAAGATCGAAGGGGCGGTGGGGACGTTGGCAGTCTGCGAGACTTTGGAGAAGCTCGCCGCAGGCGCCAAACGTTTCGCAAATTATGCAACGAGATTGCAGCAGGCGCCGATTTTTTCTATTTTATACCAATGTGGGTAGGTCGCGGGTTTGTTCGCGGGGTCGGTCGCGGGTGGGTCGCGGGGTGGGGCGCGGATGGGTCGCGGATGAGTCGCGGGGTGGGTCGCGGATTGGGTCGCGGATTGGGTCGCGGGTGGGCCGCTGGGTGGGTCGCGGGGTGGGTCGCGGGGTGGGTCGCGGGGTGTGTCGCGGGGTGTGTAGCGGGTGGGTCGCGGGGGGGGCGACGACAACAAACAACAGCAGCAACCACAACAACAACGCAGCAAGCATAGTCTTCACCACGGGTCCCCACTTCAGCCACGAACCCAGGGACAGTGAATGACACTCCGATCTTGACAGCTTCCTGCAGGCCCCTTGGGGCGTCTGGGGGAATTCTTGGCGGTCCTGGCGGCATCTTGAAGCGTCTTGGGTGTCTCGGGGGAGCCCATTCGGGTCCCTTGGGGCCTCTTTGGGGTCTTTGGGGACCCTTTTGGAGGTTTCTTATTGCCTTCTGGGCGCCTCTTGGGGCACTCTTGGGAGCCTCCGAGGCCATCTTGATGGCAGCTTGGATGAGACGGACCCAGATTTTACGTCAAACCAATGTTTGTTGTTTTCTCGCCGAGGCCTTCTTGAACGCTCAAACGACCCGCGACCCATCCCCCATCCAGACCCAGAGGGAGAGGGTAGCGGGAGTGGTAAACCATTCCCCCAAGGGGAAGAAACGGTTGGCAGAGGAAACGCCTTGAACCATTCACGCCCTGAGGGGTTGCTGGAACTCCGTATTCTCTCCTCCCTCCACCCTCGTCATTCTTCCTCCTCCTCCTCCGCCTCCTCCTCCTGGCGAGCTTCTTGAGGCCACCTTTTGCGTCTTGGGTCGTTGTTGGGCTGTCTCAGGGCCCTCTTTGACCTTTGGGGCGCCTGGGGGCCCTCTGGGTCCGTCTTCGGACCCTCGGGCTTCAGGGGGCGTCACGCGATCATCAAGCCGGAAGCTCCAAGAGCTCACGGTAGCGCCCGATTGCGCCCCTTGAGCTTGATAGCGCCAGCATCGCTTGGTGGTGCCATTTTGGGACCCTCGTGCACTGTCTTGGGGTCCTCTTGGGGGCACATCGGGCCGTCTTGGGGTGAGCGCGGGGGTCCTTTGGGCCGTCTTGAATGTTCGGAGACCCGGACGAATGATTCCACCATGTCCCCCAGGGCGTCAGGAACAGATGGGACTTGTGCCACGCGCCAATCCCCAGGGGAACCGCGGCAAGGCCCGGAAGATTTGGCAATTTGGGCTGCGGGGCCTTTCAAGACTCCTGAAGATTGAGTGGGAAACCGAGACTCAGAGGATTGGGCGAAGGACCTGAGGACACGCCGTTTCCGTGCCCCGGGGCACGGTGGCGGAGTTCTGGATGCCCAGGCCCCACTATTTTGGCCGCTTGCCTGCCTCGAGAGTCGAGTGGTTTTCCCTTGTCCCTCGTCCTCGGGGAGATGGCGGACACGGAATCTACTTCAGCGCGTCCCTCCTTCATGCCTGCACCCATTGCTATTTCCAGAGCCTTCCTGCCTCCAGCGCCTTCCTGCTCCAAGAGTCGAGTGGTTTTCCCCTTTTCCCTCGTCCTCGGGGATCGGGCGGGAACCCGATCTGCTTCCAGCGCCTTCCTGCCTCACGCCTGTGTGCTCGCTGCTCCTGGCCGACGGGTGCAGGCGGTCACGGTGCCTCGGTGCGGAGGGCCCGAAGGACTCGAGGACCCTCCAGCGCTGAGTGCCTCGCGGCAGGGTGGTGGATTCTTCGGGGTCGTCTCCGATCCTCGGCAGGGCAAAGCGCACGCACAGCGATGGGCACGGTGCGCCCCCGTTGGATTTGGCGCCCTGGACAGGGCAGGGACGGGGGAGGGAGGGAGGAGGCGCCCTCCCGCAGGAAGGGCGGACGCCAAGCGGAGCAGGGGGGAGGAGGTTCGCTCCCTGTCGCCGCACAGTTCCCGCAGCCGAAACCGACCCTCCCCCCCCCTCCCCTTTCTCCTCCGTCCCCTGCTTCTCCTCCCGCTCGTCCTCCCCCTCTGCTCCTGCTCCTCTCCCACCCCTCCTGCCTGGCCACTCTTCGCCAGCCAGGTGTCCCTGCCCTCCGTCCAGTACGAGGTCGGTGGCAGCACCGTGTCGATCCCGTCGCCCGTCTTCGCCGCGAGCGTGTACGATTCCTTCAAGAGGACCAAGCCTGGCTCTTCGTCCTTGGGAGTCAGCGGCAGCTTCGGGGGGGGGGGGGGGCGGCTCAGTGGGGGCAGCGGCGGATGCATCGGCCTCAGATCGCCCATTTATCGCCGATAGGGGCCCGATTGCCCACTTCGCCCAGGACCGTGCGGCTTCGTTGTTGGGGACCTATCGCCAGTCTGTCAGCGATGGATCGCCGATTTGGGGTCGATGTCCTTCCCCTATGAGCTGGTCCCCACACTACGTGTCTGAGACAGGGGCCCCTATCCTTGAAGTGGGGGGGGGCGCCAGGGGAGCTGGTAAGGATGAAACTTCGAAGACGAAGCTATAACCCGAACTCACCCCACGAGATGCCCAGGGATCGCATCAAAAAGCATGGATTCCTAGGCCCCGAGAACCAACGCCTTGGGACAACAATCACGCCGTTCTGAGAGTCCTCATCGGGCCCGCCGGTCAGGTTTGGGGTGGTAGTGTTAAGTAGCCTGCGTAGGCCCTAAGTCGTAAGATCCTAACACATTACGTTGTTCAAACTATAATGTTTGATCTATGTGGTGCACTTGTGTTGCAATTAGCCACCCTGCTCCGCGCGCGACATCCTCCCATGGTCGTGTGATCGTCCTGTCCACCCACCCACAAGTTGGTTACAAAACACCAGCGGCAGCAATGGCGGTGATTGCTTGGCGTTGGCTGGCGCATCGCTACGACCGCGCCAGCGCGCGCAGGCTCGCGCGCGGAGCGGTCAGCTAGTCTGAGGCGACCGACGCGGCCGCGGTGGCGCTGACCGCTGGGGACTCCTCAGCGCGTTTCGCAAGCCGCGGTGATGCGCGGGCGCGTCAGTTCGAGACTGGGACTGGGGCGGGCGCTGTATCATGGCGTTGTCGACGACGACAGACACGATGATGCTAGTAACGAAACTGGTGGCGATGATGGCAGCGACGACGTAAAACGGCCAATGGCGGCACCGATGTTGATTACGCGGATGGCGATGATGTAGTCCACGCGTCGGTGATGAAAGTGTTGGAACGATTTCGACGTGTACGCGCGGCGGACGTGCGCGTGGTCCCCATGGTCATATTTGGCAGTTAGCCCCCCCCGCGGCACGCGCGAAAGGGCGGTCGAACGATTCCGGCACGCGCGCGCGAGATGCACGTTTGGTCGATGGGCATGCATTTTCGAAATCCTTGCGAAGCTCCGTTTTTGTGTCCACGGGGTTTTACCACTCTCGCGCGCGACAGCACTCGTGTGCGAACTTCGTCATTTTTGTTGCGCGGGATTCCCGGTGAGTGGTGGTGTTTGATAAACGAGACCGCGCGCATCAGAGTTTTTGCAAAAAAAGGATGGACACAAAAGGGGGGTCGGGTTTGGTGTCGGTTGGTAGGTTTCGGAAGAACGACGGGGTAGGGCCTTATGTAAATTGAAGCATATGCACGGGTTGGGTGCTCATTGTGCGGCGATCGATTAAGAATGCTTTCCATGAAGCAGATTCCATGCTGAGCAATGAATATGGGCCATATCGGTGGTACAACATGTGATGCACTCGATGTTGTGCAGCCCACGTTGAGCATCCTAGGCTTTGAAATTCATGTGTGACGATCCACGTGGTGCAATGTACAATTTGAGTCTAGTATGTACAGCCTAGGTGTTTCAAACTATGCCTACTCCGCTCGCGTTGGAGAGCGCGACGGTCCTGGCCGTCGCGGCCGTGCAACAGAGTTTTGGCGACGTTTGCTCGGACATTTGCTTTGTGCCCCTTCATGTGAACGGCAAGCGGGCGGACGGCGTGCGCGAGGGCGGCTTCCATTACACGGCCAAGCAGCCGCGGGCCCGCAGCAATGGAACGGGCTGGATGAGCTTCCACAACATTCAATTGAAGAACGTATGGGGCCGTGCTGGCGGAGGCATTTCCTACCTGTACCTGCTCGTCAAAAACTTGGGCCAGTCGGGGTATCCAGTCGGCGGTTTGTTCGGCGGTGGGGACCATTCGTCTGTGACCGAGCCCGATTTGCGCTGCAAGCGCGAACTCGCCCTGTAGGCGGACTCCGTTTCACAAATACCTTGTCTTGGTGTGTGTTGACACTGTGGTGCCGCGAGGATTTGCTCGGCCACTGTTTGACGCGTCATCCGTGAGAGGCGTGAGAAAATTCCACAGAGATATCAGGAGGCTTTTGCATGTCCCGCGCGGCTCCTGGACGGTCGCAGACGGCTGCGAGACGGCCCAAGAGACGTCGACGAGCGCTCCCCAGAGGCCGTCAAAATGCAAAAGACATTGATGATCCTTCGGTCTCCAGTGTCTTCGAAGGTCTCGGCTCTTCGAGCTCTGGGCGCTTCACGGCGCCTTCAGAGGCCCCCGGGACGGCTCCGAGACGGCCCGAGATGTCCCCGGGAGGACCCCCAGGACGGGCCAAGAGGGGCCCTAGACGGCCCAAGCGGGCCCCGGAGGCGGCCCGCAGAGGGGCCCAAGAGCAGGAGCCCGAACGGACAACTCCAGCCTTCCGCCCCGAGATGCCCCCAGACAGCCCAAGAGGACTCGACGAGCGCTCCCCAGAGGAAGACGGCCCCAAGAGGCAAACGCCGATTTATGCTTGGGGCAAACGTAATTGTTTTTTTGCACATTCGCCTCTTGCGCTTTCACAGCGTCCAAAACGGCCGAAGAGGCCCCCGGGAGGCGCCCAAGAGAGCCCGAGTGCGGCCCAAGAAGGGCCCAAGACGGCCCAGGAAGCCCCCGCCCCAAAGATGGCCCAAGAGAGCCCAACGATAGACCCAAGAGGGATTCCAGAGGGGGAAAACCAAGTTCAAATTAGGAGCCCCAGACGGCCCCAGAGGACTCGACGAACGCTCCCCAGAGAAAAACGGCCCCAAGAAGCAACCAACGGTCCTACAGGCGGACTCCGTTTCACAAATACCTTGTCTTGGTGTGTGTTGACAACCGTGGTGCCGCCAGGATTTGCCCGGCCACTGTTTGACGCCTCATCCGTGAGAGGCGTGAGAAAAATGCCACAGAGACATGAGGAGGCTTTCGCATGTCCCGCGCGGCCTCTGGATGGCCCCAGATGGCTCCGAGACGGCCCGAGAGAACTTGGGTCTGCAAGAAGAGGGTCGTCAGAGACCTCTCCAGACGGCCCTCAGATGCCCGAATCGCCCTCTTCCCTTAGGAATGCGCGCATCTTCAGGGTGTTGGTTGTTTGCTTTGGAATGTTTTCTCAGCGACCAAGACAACCCCAAATGCCTCCAAGATCGGCCCAATAGGCCCAACAGCCCACGTGAGAGCGCCAAGACGGCCCCAGACGGCTCCAAGACAGCCCAGGAGGCGCCCTAAGCGGCCCAAGATGGCGCCAAGACAGCCCCAGTTGCTCCAAACATTGTCCCGATGGTCAACATTCGGCCCGGCCGTGCCGATCTCTCAGAGGAACGGCGACTACGAGGAGCGGCTGCAGGGGGACCTCGTTCTGGAAAACGGCGACGACATCCTCAAAGTGGAGCTTGGCTTCCCGTTCAGGACCTCGGCAACATGAGGAGGATCGGGAGGTTCTCGAACAGGTGTTGCTCCCAGCAGGTTTTTTTGTTTGGTGTTCTTTTCTGACCTCCAGAGATTTCCGGAGGCCTTTGGAGGCCGGAGACATCTGAGCGACGGAAGAAAATGGCGGTAGACTGTGCCGCCGACACTGGCGCGCAAGCTGCCCACGCAGGGTCGCGCGCAAGCGCACTCGTCTCCAATGCAGCGTGATGCGCTGGCGGTCCGCGTAAGGCACTGCGTAAGGTCGCAATGTCATCTCGCGCAAGTTTTGCTCCTCCTCGTCGCCCATCTGAGGACCTCCGAAGACTTGCTCCCGGGTGGGCGGGAGGAGGGTGCCGCACCCGCGGAGGAGCTGGAGCGCTCGTGGCGGGGATCGCTCATTGCGAGCGAGCGCGACCTCTGTCGGTCCACGGAGGGGGCGGCGGGTATGGTCAAATGTCGGCTCGCACAGGGAGGGTGTCGCGGAGGAGGGGGCTTCTGAGAAGGCGGGAGGCTTCTCAGAAGGCGGTGGCTTACCTAGAAGACCTCTCGACTCTTAAGAAGAAGGATTCGTAGAAGCCCTTTGAAGAAGCTCCCTGCGAAAGCGGCAAGGGGCTTCTAAGAAGGCGTGGGCCCTGTGAGAAGGGCCCATGGGGGCTTCCAAGGGGGCTTCGCATGAGCTGGAGGCTCCTTCTTGGAAGCCCCCCTGCCTTCTCAGGCACTCCCCCACACCTGCCTTCTTTCGAATAGATTTCTCGACTACCGACTTGATTCACCCCAGGTTGGATGGTTGTAGTCGAATCCAGGCCTGGTTCGTAGAACCTTCGTATATCTACCAATTTGTGTTGAAGCACATTCCAAGACGGAGAAAGTACAATATTCATCACAGATGCGTAGAATATTCGACGTACTCCAAATCTCTTATTAATCGACCCCCCCCTAAAAACCGGACCCCCCTCCAAATGCCACCTAATATTCCAGACCCCCCTCTTCGACGGGTTGACTTAATAAACTGGACCCCCATAAGGTCGAATCCAAAGAAAGCGCCCTCATAAACCGGACTCCCCCCCAATCACAGAAAAGGCGCCTTCAAAAATTGGACCCGGGGGACGACTCAGAAGGGATTTGGAGTACCCGTGTTGAAGATTCGCCTCGAGCAGCAATTGTTGGGGTGATTCAGCTCTGCAGTCGATCCCCGCGCCCGCCCTCTTGACAGGACGCCCCCGATGGGCTCTTTTCCATCACCACCACCAGCAGTTGGAGGGGGGAAGGAGGAGGACGAGGAGGATGAGGACGCGGAGGAGGAGGATGAAGAGGAGGAGGATGATGAGGATGAGGAGGAGGATGTGGAGGACGAGGAGGAGGACGAGGAGGAGGAGGAAGAGAAGGAGGAGAAGAAGGAGGAGGAGGTGGAGGAGGAGGAGGAGGAGGAGGACCCACTCCCCCTCCAGCTTGTGGTGGTGGTGGTGGTGGAAAACAGGCCCCATCAGGGGCGGCCTCGCGCCATCCCCCCCCTCCATGGTGCCCGACGCCGGTTGCACCCACCGGAGCGGAGCGGCGACGGGCTCCCGCGGCGGCAGTTCGGAGGGGCCCATCTTCCACCGCCACCGCCATACGTAAGTTGGAGGGGGAGAGGGTCCTCCTCCTCCTCCTCCTGCCCTCCTCTTCTCCTCCTCCCTCGTCCTCTCCTCCTCCTCCTCCTCCTCCTCCTCCTCCTCCTCCTCCTCCTCCTCCTCCTCCCTCCTCCCCCCCTTCTCTTCCTCCCCCTCCTCCTCCCCCTCCTCCTCCTCCTCCTCCTCCTCCTCCTCCTCCTCCTCCTCCTCCTCCCTCCTCCCCTCCTCCCTCCCTCCTCCTCTTCGTCCTCCTCCTCCTCCTCCTCCTCCTCCTCCTCCTCCTCCCCCTCCTCCTCTTCGTCCTCCTTTCTCCACCCCCTCCTCCTCCTCTTCGTCCTCCTCCTCCTCCTCCTCTTCCTTCCCCCCCTCCAACTTCTGGTGGTGGTGGTGGAAAGCAGGCCCATCAAGTTCTCCGCACCGGCTGTGCCGCCATCGCGTCGGGGATTGATTGCGGAGCTGATGTGCCGCGATGTCGGTGGTTGTCGCCGAGCGTGGAGCGCTCAAATGGGGGCCGAGGACTTGTGTGTGCGTGTGGGCATCATCGCTGTGGCCATGAAATCCCCCGGCTTTGATGACGTTTCTTCTTCTTTTTCTTCTTCTTCGTCTCCTTGTTCTTCTTCTTTCAATGCATTCCCTAGCCCCCCCCTCGCCCGCGCACGTGCCTCGAGCCATGGTGAGCTGGCTCTCCCCTTCTGCAGGTCTCCCGCGGGGGCGCGAAGAGAATCGCGCTTCTTGCGCGGCCCCTGGGCCACGGCGGCGCTGCCCTTCCCCTCGGGTGGACAGCGCGTGGGGGTGCGGACGAAGGCGCCGCCTAGACGACGACAACGTCTGCCGACGACGACTGACGACTGACGACGACTGACGACTGACGACTGAGGACTGAGGACGACTGACGACGGCTGACGACGACTGACGACAACTGACGACGACTGACGACGACGATGACACCTGATGACGACGACGACGACGATGACGACTGACGACGTCTGGCGACGACTGACGACTGACGACGGCTGACGACGACGACTGACGACGACTGACGACCATGACGACGACGAGGACGACGACGACGACGAGGACGACGACGACGACGACGAGGACGACGACGACGACGACTGACGACGACGCGAAGATACCGGGCCCCCTCTTCGGCGCATCCGCTCACAGAGCTGCCGCGCGGAGCCGCAGCGTTGCTGTGGCGCCCGCTCCCCGTCTCCCACCCCCTGTGTTCCGGAAGTCGTGCCCGAAGGGGAAGCAGATCTCGGGCCGCCTTTGGGGGCGGAGCCGCCCGGACCTCTTCAGACTGCACTGCAGAACCGTGCGACTGACAGTGCGCCAGCAGAGGTGAACATGTGATCGGCTTCTTTTTCGTGTCTTTGTCAGTCGGCGCGGGCCCTCGCAACCCCTCCGCCCCCCCCTATGGGGTAGATCCTGGCTGTTTGGGGCGCATGTTTCGAGCAGGTGGGGTCTCCCCCGTAGGACGCACTATTGCAAACAGTCGCGTTGAGCAGAGGTCCGAAGCCAAAAAGACTAAACACGTGCACGATGCATCAAGTGCACCACGATGGCACCGCCGACGCCCACCCTCGCGCTGCACCGCCCTCCGGGCGGAGGCCCGCAGCCAGGCGAGCGGGAGGAGCACGTGCCAGAGAAGTACAGAAGGCACAGCAATTCATGCAGCTCGGCCTGCCAGTCCGATGGCCCCCGCCAGAAGCCGGGCGAAGGCTGGCCGTCGATGCTACAACCGAGCTCCGGGAAATTGTTGTTTCGTTCCGGTGAGCAGCCCGTTTACTACAAAAAGGCGCTGAGTTTTATTCCGGGAGGTTGGTTTCTCTTTTCGGGGAGGACCGTTTTAGCAGCCGAGGATTTGCCGGCCCTCGCCCAGCTTCCGATGGGGGCCCTCAGAGATCGACGGGGAGTGCGCCCCAGAGCCCGTCTTATCGCACATGTCTGCTCGAGCAGCTCGTGTTTTCCGGAGCGTTGGCCCCTGGACCCTGGACTCCAGTCGGAAATTACCCTCTGCAGGATAATAGTAACAAAATAGTCAATGGACGATGTTTGGAGTACGTTTATTAACATGTGTTTTATTCCTCGTCCAAAATCCGCCTGTAGGAGGACACGCCCGACCTAACCCTGGACCCGTCTCGGGACCAGCTATTCAATCCTGATCAGTTCTCATCCCCCGGGGGCCCGAACCCAGCGCCCGCACGCTCAAGATGGCGACACACAACGGGTTTGGGCAAGATTTTCCGAGCCGGACCTGAGGCCTGAGTCCGAAGGGGGAGTGCGCTGCAGGGGAGGACAGGCAGTGGGAGTATGCAATCAGCGCGGCAGGGGTGATGGATGAGGCATGGACAGGGGGCGAAGCAGAGGAACATGGGGCATGGATCAGAGCATGGGTCGGCCCCTGTCTCCAAAGAGGCAGGCTCGTGCAGAAATGGGTGAAACCGATGACCACGACGAACGCCAGGCGGAAGGCGCGACCTGATCGGGGGAAGGGGGGAAGGGGGAGAGCGAGGATGTATGGAGGGAGGGGGCAGCCTCAGCAAGTAGGCGCTCCATACCTGGAGCTGCTTGCTTCTCGTTGGGCCCGCGCGTGTGCGCTCCCATTCTCATCACGCTGCCCCTCGAGCCCCCGAGGACCCTCTATGACCCCTGAAGGTTGGATCCCCTGGTGCCACCCCTTGAGAAGTCCTTTCGGCATTCTGCAGATCTCTTACCCCCCATACTTGCACAACTCATCCTCCCTCCTCCGCTCTTCTCTTCCCTCTCCCGCGCCTCCTTTTGCTTCTGCACGGTCGACGAGACACCGGCACACTGTACCCTTAGTGGGCTCTGTGAACTGCAGGGCCGCTTGTACACCGTTTCCGAGCAAGTGTCTCTTGCGAATGGAGACGGTGCAAAACATGGCGAATGGAAACGGCAGAACACTGCTCCGGGATCGGAGCCAGAACCGCAAGCGGCAAAGCAACGGCGACGGAACCGGCAAGCAAGCGCTGACGGAACCGGCAACACAAGCAGCCAAGCGGAGCCAGTACCAAGCATGGCCCCGTCCTTTTCAGGGCCCAGTCGCTCTGCCCTACTCTCCTCCTGCCTCGGCCTCGTCCTGGCCCCCTCCTCTGCGCCCGCGCCAGGACCACGTTGAACATATCAGTGTCTGCCTGGACGCGGTGCCGCATCGGCTGGAAGGACCCTTTCCCGCCAGCCGTGTCATGGGGGCGGCACCCCAACATACTGATACTATGTGTGCGCCCCCCCCCCACAGGGGCGTCTCGGCGGGCGCTTTCTGGCCGTACCGCTCGGGAAACGATGTACCACGAGGTGGGTATACTATTTGTTCTGGTCGGACGCGCGTGTCCGAGGAGGGCATATAGTATTTGTATGTGTCTGTGCGTCCCAGAGGATGGGGGGGAGGTGGGGGATGAGGAGAGAGGATGCGAGATGGAGGCGGCTGAGGAGTTGGGAGCAGACAGCAGAGGTGGCTGACGATAATTACCGGAATGGGGCATGGCTGAATGTAAGGGAAGACGGATGAGGAGGCAACGATGACAAGGAGGAAGATGATGACGTTGATGATGATGATGATGATGATGATGATGATGATGATGATGATGATGATGATGAGGAGGAGGAGGAGGAGGAGGAGGAGGAGGAGGAGGACGACATGAAAAGAACGCAGGATGAGGAGGCGGGGGCAGGAAGCAGGGAGCAGGGAGGAGGAGGAGGCGGGTAACATATTGGAATTGCCAATGCTTGAAGGGCACAAGACAAGGGGTCAACATTCAGCGCAGGAACACTTCATGTGGACTCCCGCCCGCACAAAGGATAGGGCTCGAGCCTCCATCCATTTTGTGATACTTCGGTGACGGGATAGATCAACAGAAACACGAATCACGCTTGTGGCACGGTCTAGCGGCTAGCGCGGTCTCGATGGCCGTAGCCCAGGAGGAGGCGATATGAGAGAGGAGAACGAGGAATATGAGGACGAGGGAGGAGTAGGAGGAGGAGGAAGAGGAGGAGGAGGAGGAGGAGTAGGGCGGATGAGGAGGAGGAGGAGGCGGACCAGGAGGAGGAGGAGGAGGAGGAGGAGGGAGGAGGAGGAGCGAGGAGGAGGACGATTCTGAGGAGGAGGAGGAGCTGGAGCAGGATGAGGAGATGTCCTATCCCGCCCACTTCTCCTGACCTTCTCTCCTCATTCTGTCCCTCCATTCGGCCCGTCTGCCCTCCCGCCCACCTCGCTTCTTTCCCACGGTTCCCCCTTATCCATATCCTTGTTCCCTTCGCTCCGTTTCCCTTCTGTTCTCCTCCCCTCTGCCTGTCCCATCCACAATTCCTCCTTACCATTTCCCCCCAGGGGACGAAGGGAGAAGGACACCACTACTGCTAATGATCAAGACGATGCGATTGGCGAGGAGGGACGACAGACAGGATAACACGATAGACAGAGAGATACATCATGAGAGGGAGAGAGAGAGATACGTACACAGAGAGAGGGAGGGATACAGAACACGAGAGCGAGAGAGAGAGAGAGAGAAAAAAAAAGATAAGCGAGAAGGGGCAGAAGGAACATGAGTATGGGGAGGAGGGGGGAGGACATGCGCTGAGGACAGTGGGTCTACATGAGGGGCACAAGGGGTGCGAGGAGTCAACGGGGAGGGGGGAGGCTTGTGGCCAGGGCGTCTCGTCTGGGCAGGGAGTCTTGCTGAGGCCAGCCTTGATAGCAACGAACACGGAGAGGCGGCATGCCTTGAGTAGGAGGTTGAGGAGGCCTTTTGCTGCTGCTTGCTGCTCCTCCTGCCCCCCTTTGACTCTAAGAAGATACGTCGGGGCTGAGACCGGGGGATTGGGTGACCACGTGGCACCAGCGCCAGAAAGGGGAGCTGTGACGATAAGGAGGAGGAGGCGGAGGAGGAGGAGGAGGCGGAGGAGGAGGAGGAGGAGGAGAAGGAGAAGGAATAGGAGGAGAAGCAGGAGCCAGCAGAGGAGCAGAGTGGTGCGTCCGAGCTGCCCGATCACACTCCTGCCATGTCGCTGCGAAAGCGGGTTCCGCCCGGGCCAAGCGTAGCGCCAAGACCCGTTACCTCGCCGGTTCCGCGCGCCTCGCCTCCTCGAGGCGAGTCTCCTGGTGCACTGTCGAACACTGTTGGTGGGGGGCGCTCGCGAGGGACTTTGGTGCAGCGCCGCCCTGGAGCCCGAACCCGCCCACGACGCTCCCCCCACGACGCAGGGGCACCGCAGGCGCAGGAGGCGCATGCGCCGTCCTCAGGAGACGAGGAGAAGGGGGAGGGGGGGGGGAGGGGGAGGGGGAGGGGGGGAGGGGGAGGAGAAGAGGAGAGGAGGAGGAGGGAGGAGGAGGGCGAGGAGGAGGTGGAGGAGGAGGGGAGGAGGAAGAGGAGAGGAGGAGGAGAGGAGGAGGAGGAGGAGGGAGGAGGAGAGAGGAGGAGGAGGAGGAGGAGGAGGGGAGGAGGAGGGGAGGAGGGGGAGGAGGAGGGGAGGAGGAGGAGGAGAGAGGAGGGAGGGAGGAGGAGGAGCGGAGGCTGAGGTGGAAGGCGGAGGCGGAGCGGAGGCGGAGGCGGAAGGCGGAGGTGGAGGTGGAGGCGAGCGAGGAGGAGGAGGAGGAGAAGATGAGGAGAAGAGGAGGAGGAGGAGGAGGAGGAGGAGGAGGAGGAGGAGGAGGAGGGGGGAGGGGAGGGGGAGGGGAGGGGGAGGCGGAGGAGGAGGAGGAGGAGGAGGAGGGGGAGGGGAGGGGGGGGAGGGGAGGGGGAGGGTGGGGGGGGAGGGGGAGGGGGAGGGGGAGGGGGAGGGGGAGGGGGAGAGGAGGAGGGGGAGGAGGAGGAGGAGGAGGAGGAGGAGGAGGAGGAGTGGAGGAGGAGGAGAGGAGGAGGAGAGAGGGAGGAGGGAGGAGGAGGAGGAGGAGGGAGGAGGAGGAGGAGGAGGGAGAGGAGGAGTAGGAGGAGGATGAGGCGGAGGAGGAGGAGAGGAGGAGGAGGAGGAGGAGTAGGGGGAGGGGGAGGAGGAGGGGGAGGAGGAGGGGGAGGAGGAGGGGGAAGAGGAGGGGGAGGAGGAGGGGGAGGGGGAGTTTTCTCCCAGGGCGTCGGGGTCCACGGGTCCGCTCCCGCCAAGCCTGGCAGCAGCTTCCCAAGACCGCGCCGCCCCCTCGGGCTGCACAGGCGCAGAGAGCAGGCGCACGGGCGCAGGGCCGCTCAGCTTTGCCTCTCCCGAATTGGATGCTTGTTTGGGGGACCTCCCTGGAGCCTATCTAACGGATCTGTTCGACCCCAGTTCGATTCAGGTTCGACTCAAGTGCGACTACGGTTCGACTCAGGGTCGGCCCAAGTCGACGGACGTTCGACGCAGCTTCGACGCACGAGTGGAGCGAATTGCGATGTCAGGGGCGACGTTGAATTCGACGGACGTTCGACGCAGCTTCGACGCACGAGTGGAGCGACTTGCGATGTCAAGGGCGACGTTAGGGGTGGGATAAGCTCAGGAGGGGATGCGTCGGTCTGCTATCGCCGCGCCCGTCGATCGCCAATAGGAGCCCGATAGCCGCTAGCCCACCATGCCTTGGAGCACGCACTGACCCGGGTTGGGGTGCAGGATCTTGCAGGATCTTGCAGGAGTCTGCAAGGCCTGACTGACTCGGGTCTGGATTGACCCAGGTCAGTAGATCCCCGAAGCGGCATCAGTACCTTTTGGTTTCCCCGAGAGTGGGACCTGAAGGGAGTCCGAACACGGTACGGCACGGAGAGCGGGCGCCGGTCTCCTATTCTCCCCCTCCCTCAGGATGGAGGAGGGATGGGAACGACGGATCGGACGGGGCTAGGACGAGGATGAATTCGTTCCAGAGCTTTCTGGAACGCTCCCAGAGCGTTCCGCAACGCTCTGAGAAGGCCGCGCCGGCGGATCTCAGAGATTCCCGATGTATCCTCACCCGAGTTCAGCCCCGTCCTGGCTTCGTCTGAGACGGAGGCGCCGGCTGACCTTTCCGCCTCCTGGGCGCGAATTAAGGGGGGCACTACATGGGGGGGGGCAGCGGGGGCTGCAGGAAAGGGGCCCTTGAGGGCCCCAGAGGGGGCCACTATGGCTCGAGAAGAGCACTTTTTGTTCCCCATGTCCTGGCCCCCATGCATTCGCGCTAAGCTCCTCAGGACGGAGGAGGGGTGGCCGGGTGGTGGCGACGGAGGCGCCGGCTGAGTTCCCCTGCCTTCCGTGGGCTTGGCCCCGACAGGACGGGGTCGTGAGCGTGTCCAACGTCGTGGAGGCCCCCTTGGGGGGGGGCGGGCGCGGCTACTCTCCGCCAGCTGTCGTGTCGGTCAGGGGAAGTGCACCCCAACCCTCCTCCATGCAGGAGCCACACGGGGACGACGAGGAGGGCGTGGAGGCGATGAGGAGGGCGACGAGGAGGGCGACGAGGGAGGAGGGCTTGTATGTATTGATTTATTGGAGTGGCCTGACGGCCGGTGCCACCGACCCTGATCGACGACGACGACGAAGACGAGGGAGGAGTAGGAGCAGGAGGACAAGCAGGATGAGCAGAAGGATGAGCAGAAGGAGGAAGAGGAGGCGATGGGCGAGGTGGGGCAGCAGCAGGAGGACGCGGGGGACGAGCAGGAGGAGGAATGAGCAATTGGAGGAGGCTCTGGAGGAGAGGCAGGAGGAGTGGCAGGAGGAAGAGGGGGATAATGCGGCGAGGAAGACGACGCTGACGTGGGTCTCTTCGGAGCGCTATCGGGAACCTCTGGGGAACAGTTTAGGGGCCTCTTGGGGCTTCCTGGGGGCTTCTTGGAAGCTTCTTGGGGCCTCTTGGGGCCGATTGAGGGCTCTTGGAGCCTCTTGGAGGCCTCTTGGGGCTTCCTGGGGGCTTCATGGGGCGGAAATCTTGAATTCTCGGTTCCTCGTCCCCCTCTGGGCACTCTCTTGGGCCCGTCTTGGGGCCCTTTTGGGCCGTCTTCGGCGCCTCTTGGGCCGTCCTTCGTCCCTCTTGGAGGCATTTTGGGTCGGCTTGGGGCGCTCTTGGGGGCCTCTTGGGCCGTCTTGGACCGTCGGAAAGCCGAAAAGGCGAGAAGGCTGAAATCATTCAAACACCAAAGTCAAATTGACGATGTTTGCTCCTGGCGCCCTCTTGGGAGTGCTCTTTTGCGCTCTATTGGAGCTTCTCGGGGGCCTCTTGGGTCGTTTTCGAGCAGTCTTGAACATCTTGGGGCGATTGTTCGTCGATGCGTGGCGCTCTTGTACCGTCTTGGGGATATCTTGGGGCACTCTTGGCCCGTCTTGTGGCTTTTCTTGGCCTTGCTACCCCCGGGGAGGAAAACGACTCTGGGTGGCGAACCCCCCCGGGACCCCCCCAGGACCCCCCTCGGGACCCCCCCAGGACCTCCCCAGGACCCCCTCCCCGCGCGGGGAAGGGATCACAGGGAAGGGGTTTCCTTTCGACTGAACTACGACGTTGTCCAATTTTGCTGTGGACGGCTTGTCTGAGGAAGAGGGCCCAGGTGAGTGGAACTCAGGAAGACGGCGACGACGAGTCGAACGGGAAAGCCCGACTCGAACGGAAGAGCCCCTCACACACGCCGACAGGGTCGGCGGATTTGGGCGTGGCTTAGAGTCAAGCACTAACTCCCACTTGAAATCGCAACAGCGACGAGGGGGACCGACGAGGGCCCGAAATACGAGCGAAGCGAGGGCCAGAGCAGACACGGCGGCGAGGAGGGCGACGAGGAGGGCGTGGAGGGAGGATCGGCGGCGAGGAGGGCCAGGGGTGGGTTGGTGGGACTGGTGGGACAAGTTGACCAGGTCGAGCGAGTTAGGGGCCCACCCCCTTCCCATTCCTTCCCTCCCCCCTTCCACCCTCGCGGGGGCAACGAGGGAGGACGACGAGGAGGGCGTGGATGATCTGGGGCAACGATGGGGGGGAGATAGGCATAGGGGGGGGTGGACGCATCGACCCCCAATCGCCCATTGACCTCCGATAGAGGCCCGATACTCAGGCGATCGCAAACATGAATCAAGGGGGCTTGGATTAGCGACGGGTCCCGTTTCCACGGGAAATCGCGGATTTCCGCCGCCGAACGAGGCGGCACCGGCCGCATTTTGGGGAGGGCACCTCCCCTGATCCATGGATTTGGCGACCGCGCGCCAAATCCATGGATCGCTAATCCATGTTTGCGCGTCCCCGAGATGTGTCCTCCCTCTATGCTAGTCCCCCCGACCGTTGCCCAGCAGAGGAGGGAGGAGGGTGACGGGGAGGGCCAGGAGTCACCGAGCGCGTTCCACTCCTCGCCAACTTCGGCGGCGAGCGAAGGGGGGGAGATGAGAAAGAGAAGGCCTTCTCTGAGGGCGGCGGGGCTTCTCAAAGGCCCTCGCGCCTTCTGAGAAGTCCCCTGTGCCTCCGGTGAAAGCCAGGGAATCTTCCCTGAAGGCCGGGGGACTTCCGAGCTTTCGGAAGAGGCCTGCCCTGTTCTCGCTTTTTCCCGAGCGGAGGGCGTGGAGGAGAGAGAGGGAGGAGGGCGACGAGGAGGGCCAGGAGTCAGCGAGCGCGTTCCACTGTTCGCAGCGTGCCTGCCCGCAGACGTCCGAGAAAACACTGGTCTGTCTCGGTGTAATGAATCGTAGAGTTAAGTCGGGCCTGGCCCTCTACAGGAGGAATATTCCCAAATAGTCATAAACAAAGCCTGGGGACTTTTTTTTTTAATGCTGTTGCCCTCTCAGGGGATATGTTTGAGCACGTTTTATTTTTAGCCCCAAATCTTCTTTAGAGGGATACGCCCGACTTAATCGTAGAGCCCCCGCGGCGGATCCAGGCCGATTGCGAGCAGGAACTTTTCGAGCAGTGGAACGCGCTCGTCGAAGGAGTGGGCTGGTGTGCGGTGGTGAGACAAGTCAGCCAGGTCGAGCGAGGCAGCGTGCCCCCCCATTTCCACCCCTCCCCTCCATGACATAGTAGTCAGTTGTGGCGCAACCCTGGTACACCCCAGGCGATGCTTAAGACAACTTCCGTTTTCGGCCAGAGCCTCGATTTTTCTTAATGTTTCAATGCAAATCCTAAGATTTGAATCGACATTCTTGGTTTTTATTCAAGTTCCTAGACTATGAATTTCTTAACCCATGATTTCGAAAGCATTTCGCAGGGTGTAGTATCGGGTCGGGCGAAAGGGGGGGATTGGGAAAGGGGGGGTTACGAAATTTGCTGCATGCAGCTGGTTTCGGCCTCACCGAAGGGCCAATTCCTCGATACATGGCCGCTCCTGGCGCCGGGAGGCGCCGGGAAAATCAGCTACGTGAGCTGATTCTCAAACCCCCCCTTTGCTATCCCCCCCTTTCGCCCGACCCGATAGTAGTCAGTTGTGGCGCAACCCTGGTATCTGGATTGGAACGCGTTCGTACCCAGCGAACGAACGGCGCTCGCGCGCGGTCCCGATCCTACAACCTGCGCGCAGGGACAACTACGGGGGCCTGGAAGGGGCGGGATTGGCAACCTTTCCGATGGGCACGGCGAAGACGAAGCATGGGCCGCGCCGGCACAGCACTGCCACTGTCACTCACAGGTCGCATCTCGAACTTGGCGCGGCCCCGCTGCTGCTGCCGCCTCCATGCGGGTCGGCGGACGAGCCATGCGCAGCGCCCGCGCGGGAACGCCACTTCAAACGAGATGCGCCCAGAGAGTGGGCGAGGGCGCTAAGTCGCGCACCCGCGCGGGGATCAACGAGTGGTGATGGGCCCATTTTTCACCGCCGCTGCCACAGGTCGGAGAGGTAAGAGGAGGAGGAGGAGGAGGAGGAGGAGGAGGAGGAGGAGGAGGAGGACCTCAGCCTCCCGTTTCCCCCGTCCTACACATGGAGGCGGTGGTGGAACATTTGCTCATCGAGTGGCGAGTGACAGGTTTGCGCCGCTGGGGCGGGAGTTGCGCCTTCCAGGTTGCGAGCTCCTCTGCGCGCGGCGCCGGGGCGTGGAAAGGCAGTGTTGTCGTCTCCGCTCGCGCGCCGACGAGGTGGCGTGCGAGCATGTGTCCCGCGCTTCGGGAGGAGTTCGGTTGTCTGGAGAGGGGCGCGCTGCCGAGGCGAGAGCAGGGGAGCGAAGAGTGACATAAACGTAAAACCTCGGAGTTCCGCGCGGGTTTCTCGGATCCGCGCTGGGCCCCCCTGCGGCGGCGCTTCTGGCGCGGGTTCCAGCGCCGATCCGACGAATCCGCGCGGAGCGTCAAAAGTTTATGAGTTTATGGAGTTTTCTTCTGGAGAATTGGGGCGCGTTGCCGAGGCGATAGCGACATGGACGACCCAACAACGACGGGGTCGTCTTCGCCGGCATTGGCGCGTAAGCTGCCCGCGTATGGTCGCGCGCAGACGCCTTCGTCTCCATTGTGGCGCGCCGCGCTGGCGGTCGCGTAAACCACCTCGTCAGGTCGCCACGTCATCTCGCGTAAGACCTGGTTTTGCTCGTCGCCCACTTGTCTGGAGGACTGAGCGCGTTGCCGAGGCGAGAGCGACTATGTCCCCCTTTCGCGCGGGATGTGCTCCACGTCCCGATCTTGCCACGCAGTGCGCAACGCAAGCGACGCACTGTCCGCATTTTCTTCGACGGCTTCGAGCCCTCCTGGAGTCCCCACTTGGCTGAAGTCGGGCCTGTCCCTCTACAGAAGGAATATTCCAAAATAGTCTAAACAATAGCCTGGGGACGATTTTTTGACTTTCCGGTGCGCGGCCCCAAGGAGGTCCCGGCCCCGTCCCCCGAGGGGGTACGGAGGACACCTCTGAAAAGAAACATTCGCAGGCCCAGAGGTTGACACCAACACCAACATCAGGCGACCGCAGACATGGATCAATGGGGCGTGGATTAGCGACGGGTCCCGTTTCCACGGGGAATCGCGGATTGCCGCCGCCGAGCGGGGCGCCACCGGCCGCATCTAGGGGAGGGCACCTCCCCAGATCCATGGATTTGGCGACCGCGCGCCAAGTTTACAGATCGCTAATCCATGTTTGCGCGCCCCTGACAATATCGGCGGTGTGCCTCCACCGAGGGAAGAAGATCCTGATCTCGGCGACGGTGGTAATATTCTGGCTTCCAAGGTGGCCGAAATAGCACCACCAGCACCGAGATCTAGGATCGTCATCCCTCTTGTGGAGGCACCCCCCTGCGTTTATGTTGGTGCCCGTTTCCAGGCCTCCATGACACCGTGCTTGCCTCCAGGGTGCCCTTGGTTCCCTGGGTTTCGATGGTTCTGCGACGGAAAGCGTGAGCCAGGTCCCCACTTCACGCCTCGAGGGACGTCCTGGGGTCTCAGGGTTGGGTCTCTTGCGGAGGGTCTCTTGTGGTTTGGCCCTGGCTGCAGATGCTCGCGCCCAGGATTCCCTTTTCCGACAGCCTTCAGGTCCCGACCACGGCCCTTGCAGGACGAGGTTGAGGAGCCAGCGCTGGAAGGGAAGATTTGGGACTCGATCCTCGATTCTCGAGGATCGAGTCCCAATTCTTCGAGAATCGATCCTCGAAGATCGAGGGAATCTGGTCGGAGATCCGGGGCTCTCGATTCTCGAGCGAGCTCTGCGGTCCTCGGCCCGCTCGAAGGAGAGAGTTCCACCATTTATGAACATGTCGGCCAAATTGGTCCCTAAACATTGTGCGTTGTTATTATGCAGTCGGACCTGTCCCTCTACAGGAGGAATGTTCAACTAGTTTTACAGACTAGCCTGGCGAAAGGCCCAACCATGTGCAGTTGTGAGTACCGCAATTGTGAATATCTTCTTCGGTGGCGTTCCCTATGGGGCCACGAACCGTATGAGGGGTGCGCCGAATTGCGTGGGGGGTGCACACCACGAATGAACACGATAGGTTTAATCACGAGAGACTGAGCGCCGGTCAGTCTGAGCACGAGTGAGTCTGAGTGTGAATGAGTCTGCGTGCGAGTGGATCTAATTGCATGAGTGCGAACATGACCACGCTTGGTGTGTATACATTTGTGTATATATAGATATACACGAATGTGAATGTTTCACGCTGACCCTGAGAGTTCGTGACACTGAGCGTGGCCGTCGCAGGAAACTTCCCCTGGAACCCCGACAGCAGCGCCCGCACGCCGCGACGCCCTCGTCGGCACTCTCCTCATGAGGATCGCGCCCGCCTCCTTCCCATTATTTTTCTACCGCTTTGCCCGTGCACGCCCAAGTCCAAGGCTGCGGGCGCGGCGCCGCACGGAGTCCCCGCGACGCGCGTTGGTCGCCCGGGACGAGTCCCGGCGACGCGCGCGGGTCGTCCGCTACGCGGAGCAGAGAAATCTAGCTGGCTGGCTGATAGCGGGCAAGGCTGAGGCCGCTGGGCAGAGCGACGACGGGGGCGAGAGAGGCTCTGGGCAGAGCGCAGCGCGGAATTCCCGCGACTCGCGCTGGTCGCCCCGAAAGGGTCCCAGCGACGCGCGCGGGTCGCCCGCGGCGCGAGGCCAAACAGTCAGACCGTCGAGAGACGGCGAGGCTCGCGCGGGCCGCTCCTCAGGTCAAGCCTCGCGGATGAACTCGGTGAAGCTCAGCTCTCTGGCGAGGGTCGCCGTTTCCCTCCTGCGCCGCTTCGCGCGCGTGGCAAACTGCTCCAGCTGATTCCGCAAGCCCTCCGGCGGCAATGCCAGGAAGAACTCGACGCGCGGCGCCCGCATGAGCAGGAAGTCCTCGTGGCGCGTGGCGCGCGAGAACAGCACGTAGAGTTCCCGCCGCTAGTCGTCGCCCTCCTCCCTGCCGTTCCCCGCTTCGTGGCGGCCGCAGTCCAGGCATAATCACGCCTGGGCGATGTCGGCCGAGGGAGCAACCCGCCGGACAGCCGACGGCTCAGGGCGAGAACCCACGGGACCGAGAGAAGGTCTGGGTGCGGACCGCTCAGGCCCAGAAGTTGTGGCCGTAAGCTGCCCGGGGGCGCCAGGCCGACTGCCGCCGCGATCGTTGCGGCTTTAGGTGGAGCTTCCTGCGTGGCCACGAAACACGCGAGGGATTTCCCAAAATGGGACGGCGGCGCCATGCGAACTGCGCCGTTGGGACCGAAGGTGGAGCTCCCTGTGGGGTCACGAAGCGTGCCGGGGTGTGCCAAAATGGGGCGGTGGCGCCATGCAAACTGCGCCGATGGGACCTTGGGTGGCGCTCCCTGTGGGGTCACGAAATGTGTGAGGGGCGTGCCCACATGGGGCGGCGGCGCCATGCGAATTGCGCCAGTGGGACCCTCGGTGGAACTCCCTCTGGGGCCCCGAAGCGTGTGAGGGGTGTGCCGAAATGGGGCGGCGGCGCCATGCGAACTGCGCCACTGCGAAAGGAGGTGGAGCTCCCTATTGGGCCACGAAACGTGTGGGGTGTTTGCCAAAATGGGGCGGCGGCGCCATGCAAACTGTGCCACTGTGGCCTTAGGTGGAGGTCCTTATTGGGGTCCCGAAACAGATGAGTGGTGTGCCCACATGGGGCGGCGGCGCCATGCGAATTGCGCCACTCGGGCCTTAGGTGGAGCGCCCTGTGGGGCCACGAAACGTGTGTGTGTGTGTGTGTGTGTGTGTGTGTGTGTGTGTGTGTGCGTGTGGTGTGTGTGTGTGTGGGTGTGGGTGTGGGTGTGGGTGTGTGGGGGTGGGGGTGGGGGTGGGGGTGGGGTGGGGGGTGGGGGTGGGGGGTGGGGGTGGGGGTGGGGGTGGGTGGGGGTGGGGGTGGGGGTGGGGTGGGGGTGGGGGTGGGGGGGGGTGGGGGGTGGGTGGGTGGGTGGGTGGGTGGTTGGGTGGGTGGGTGGGTGGGTGGGGTGGGTGGGTGGTGGTGGGTGGGGGGGGGGGGGGGGGGCAAAAGCGGGCGGCGGCGCCATGCGAACTGCGCCACTGGAATATGAGGTGGGACTCCTTGTGGGGCCCCGAAACGTGTGAAGGGTGTCCCAAAATGGGGCGGCAACGCCATGCGAACTGCTCCGCTGCGACCTTCGGTGGAACTCACTATGGGGGCCACGAAACGTGTAGCGGGTATGCCAAAATGGGACGGCGTCGCCATGCGAACTGCGCCACTTGGGGTTCATGTGGGGTTGTTTATGGGGCCGCGAAGCGTGTGAGGGGTGTGCCAAATGGGGCGGCGGCGCCATGCAATCTGCGCCACTGCGACCTTAGGTGGAGCTCTCTATGGGGCCACGAAGCGTGTGATGGGTGTGCCAAACATGGGGCGGCGGCGCCATGCGAACTGCTCCACTGGGGCCTTAGGTGAAGCTCCCTATTGGGGCCACGAAACGTTTGGGGTGTTTGCCCAAATGGGGCGGCGGCACCATGCGAATTGCGCCAGAGGGGCCTTCGGTGGAGCTCCCGATGAAGCCACGACGCGTGTGAGGGGTGTACCGAAACAGTGACATTACGAAGGCATGGGCAAGGATTGGGAGAAGGGTGGAAAGGGGGAGGAGGGATGACGGGGAGGAGGAAGAGGAGGAGGAGGAGGAGGAGGAGGAGGAGGAGGAGGAAGAGAGCGAGGCGGGAGGGACGGACGGAAGGACGCGGGGCGTTGTCTCTTCAAAGCGAGGGCCTAACAACAGAGGTTGGTTGGGACATATCGTCTGGGGGGACACGTTTGAATATGTTGGGGCATGTTTGACTATGCTTCAGTGTCCTGTCAAACTCAGCCAGTAGGGGGACATGCCCGACCAAACAGCATGTCTTGTGCAATGTTGCAGTTTTTTTTATTCCCCGTTTCACCGATCGGCGGGGGTCCTCGCACCCCTTTCCCCCCCCCCCCGTAGCTCTTGGCTGTTGCTCGCGCCTGCTTCGAGCAGGTGGGGTCCCCCATAGGACGCACTGTTGCAAGCAATCGCCTGAAGCAGAGGTCGGGAGCCAGACCCCCTTCCCCCCTTCCGCCCAGCGTCGGAACGCCGAATCCGAAAAACACTCGCAATCTAGCTTGTGCAATACATGTGGTACAATCTATGTTGTGCGACAGATCTGTTACATTCGACGTTGCACCATGTTGCGCAACCTATGTGCAGCAAACTACGTTGAGCAGTAGATGTGGTACAATGTGTGCTGTGTGGCCAATTTTGCGAACCATAGGTTTTTCAATATGTGGTATGCCGTCTATCTTGAGCCATCTATGCTGGGCAACATATGTCGCGGAATCAGTGTTGCGCGCAACTTATGTAATGCAACATAGGTGGAGCAATCAAGGTGCAGCAATCCATGTTGGGCAATGTATTTTGTGCAATCTATGCTGCGCAATCTACGCGGTGCAATTTATGTGGTGCAATCTATGTGGTGCAATCCTTGCTCTGGCGACGAGGCGGCGACGGCGACGGCGACGGCGGCCACATATCCGCCACGGCCCCGACGACCACATGGCGGACGGCGACGAGCCGACGACGGGGCGGCGACGGCGGCCACATAGCCGCCAGACCGAAGACACGGCCCAGCTCCTTAGCACAGAAGTGCGAACCTCTGAGTGCAAGCACCGTTTGGGGAACTGGCGCCGCCCCTGGCGCCCTCCGCGCGCCAGGGGAGAAGGGTCGGGGGCCGATCCGAGACACCCGCGCGTACCTTCGGCAGTTGATGCTTATGCAGCTCATCAGGGTTCTATTGCAGGCCTCCCTGACGCCGTCGGCTGTACATCGTCCACAGATCGGCGATATGCTCCCGATAGCAAATCCGCACGGTCGTGGGCGGCGCGGGCTATCGGGCCCCCGTCGACGAAACAATCGACGATTTAGGGTCGATGCACTGACGAGACCAAGGAACCCTCACGCTGTGATTGTGCAGTAGTTCTTCTGCCTGCCTCCTAGAACCTGTCGGATGACTTCTGCATTCGAGCCTCGGCGGCCACGACGGGCGCCACAAGCGCACGTGCATGCACGCCAGCAGCAGATCATGCGGCAATGTGTTCGCCATCATGCGTCGCATGGCGCAGCAACGATGCTCCGGACAAGCCTGTCGCACTCGAGCCCTCCCCGGGAACGCCGCCGGGCCCTCCTGGGGACACCGCCGGGCCCTCGGCGGCGGCGCCCGCCCAGGTCGGAGTGCAGGTGCCGCAGGTGCCGGGCCTGAAGCAGCTGCTGCAGTATCCCCTCAGCACCTGCCGGGCTCCGGGCCCCTTCAGGAGAAAGGTGAGGAGGAAGGGAGGGAAAAGAGAGGAGGGAGGAGAGAGAAGGGAGGGAAGGAAGGGGAAGAGAGGGTGGGGAGAGAGAGACGGGAGAGAGGGAGAAAAGGAAGTGAGGGGAGGAGAGAGAAGGGATGGAGAAAGGAGAGACGGCAGAAGGGAAAAGGGAGGAGATGGAAAGGAGAAGGGAGGTGGGGGAACGGAAGGGCGGGAGGAGGAGGACCTCGAGATCCTGTCGTCGCAATGTTGTCTTAACGGGCGGTTCTGCCGTGATTCGTGCCCCGAGACCTTCCCAGATCGAGGCGGTTCGAAGGTTGCCGCAGACAGATTGGGTCCACGGCTCCTGTCACTTTTGCTCGATCTTGCAACTTTCTCACTTGATTTGGACGGGGCCAGGACGAGGATACTCCGTTCCAGAACGTTCCAGAGGGCTCTGAGAGCGTTCCAGGGCGCTCTGAGAAGGCCGCGGCGCCCGAGACATCCTGCAGAGCAGCCAGATCTCAGAGATTCCCGCTTTATCCTCACCCGATATTGTCCTCGTCCCAGTTCCGTCCGATTCACAGCGGGTATCTCAGGTGAGGAGGAGAATGAAGAGGTGGAGGATGAGGAGGAGGAAGAGGAGGAGGACGAGGAGGAGGAGGAGGAGAAGGAGGAGGAGGAGGACGAGGAGGAGGAGGAGGAGGAGGAGGAGGAGAAAGAGGTGGAAGAGGAGGAGGAGGAGGAGGAGCAGGAGGATGAGGAGGAGGAGCAGAGCAGGAGGAGGAGGCCAGTCGCCATTTCCTCTCGCAGCAGGGGGAGTCGGGCGACCACGGCGGCCCCTGGGGGGCTGTAGCAGCGTCGGGGCGGGGCGGGCTGGCTGCCGCGGGATGGGAGGCACGGTCCCTGTTCAAGGCCTTGGCGACGGCCACTCAGCGCGCTGGTGCCAATGACGAGGGCGACGGCGACTCTGACTGCCGTGCTCACTCTCGGGCTCTACAACCCACTGAGCTTTCCCCCCTGGCGAGAAGAATTAGTCAGCCAGGCTATGCGCAGCTTTGAATTGGTAGACTTGCCTGGCACGCAGCAGAGGCAGAGAGATGCGGAAACCCCAGCGACAGCGACCCGCACGAGCGAGCCAGCATCTTGCCATCAGTTGGGGATGGAGAAGAGGGCGGCTCACAAACAAGAGTTGCGGCATCACGATCCAGATGGGCCGCAAAACGACGAGAAACTGCATCCGCCAGGTCTTCAGCCCGCCGACAAAGTTGGGGATCAGGGGGAGGGTGAGCGCTCTCAAGTCTGCCTCGGCGACTACTCCCGTACTGCTGGTCGGCGTGTATTTGACCCCGCCGGGCACATACCAGGAGAGAGTGGAGGCAATGCAACGAGTCTTCGGCTGGATCACCGGCATCATGGCGCAGGTTTGCAGCCGTTGAATGCTGGTGACTGCTGGCGAGTTCAACGAGCAGCTGGGCTATGCGCGGAACGACGTCGCGGTGGGACGGTATGGGCGGCACCGTCTTTCACGATTGGTTTCGCTCCTGCGTGTGTGGGCGGAGTCGAACTATTTGACGGCGGCAAGTACGCATTTCATGCTGCCCGCGAGCTACCATGAGGACAACCATAGCAGCCGGATGGAACACATCTTGATCCCCAGCACGGTGATGAGTTTCGTCCCGGTGATCGGGATGCGGCCCGGCTTGATGAGGACCCTCACGCCGTTCCCAATGGCGGGCCTTCTCGATCAATGCCCGACGGAGATGCACTTGGATTACCACCTCGGCTACTCTATGCAGATGGCAGCCATGCCGCGCATCGACAGAGACACGCTGATGAGGTGCCTATCAAAGGGGGGCTGTCGGCGGGAGTTCTGCTCGAAGGTGGAGGCAAACCTGAGGGAACAGGCGGCAGCGTGGGGCGATGGCGGCGAGGGCCCGACCCCAGAGCGGAAGCATCAGTTCTTTACGGCGGCGCCCCGCAGCGCGGCCAGTTCGACCATCCCCGTCCGACGCCGAATTGGCGAGGGATGCGCTTACTTCGTGGAGGCGCGGGCCACGGTCGCAAGGGGGCTCGGAGGCTTGCAGCGCAGGCGCGTCGCGACGGGTGGCCGCGCGCGCTTCGACGACCGCGACGACAGATGTGTCCCCGAGCTAGCAGGCACCCCTGGCACCTCGCAGCGCCCCGATGGGGATGACTCGGGGCAAAGGGAACCGCTGGAGGGGCGGTGCAGCGCATCGCGAGCACCTCGACGCGGTGAAAGGGGCATGCGCGCTGCTGAAGATGGGGGACAGGCAGGAGAGTCGATGACTGTTGAAGCCCGACTCAGGCGACTGACGGGCGAGCGCAAAGCCCGGCGCAAGGCCCGCCAGGGGCGGGTCTTCCAGGGGCGGACTGAAGAGCTGAAGGAGGCTTGGCCTATTCGAGATTATTCGAGAGTATCTGCGCTGCGTGGGCGTCTGGCGGGCAGGGGCACAAGTATGCGGAAGAGAACATTGCGGCCAGCTGCGTGCAGGGCTCGGCGGAGTGGTGGATTGGGGCGGCCAAACCAGGGGTCGCCGGGCTGGCGGCGTGAGAGCGCTGGAGGCCATTTGGGGCCAGCAGCTGCCCTGGTAAACGAGCGGGGCGAGTTCCTCAGACCCCAGGGGGCTCGGCGATATGCTATTCATGACAACGCCCTGCACGATGGGGTTCGTCGCGATCTAGAGTCGATTGCGAAGTATTGCCGCAGAGCCCCGAGGCGAAAGGCTTTTCCATGATGGGGGAATTCGCTGAGATGCCGGCGATCTGCATTGCGCCGATGGGGGGGGGGGGGGGGGGCAGCGCTGGGATAAGCATTGGCTACGTGGTCAGCACCGATCGCAGCCCCCAATTTCGAATGCTGCCTCTGAGACCTGCTGGTGGATACCCGCGCGAAGAAGACCTCCGCAACGTCTGGCGAGCGGACCGGGGCCATCGGCTTGGACAAGGACAAGGGCAGGGCCGACCTGAATGGGCAGCGGGCCATCCACCTCTTCGATCACCTGTCGCAGGCCTGGCGCAGCGGGATCCGACGACGGCAACTTCGAGGCGACTGGCCCGAGTGGGGCCATGGCAGCCCACTTGGCCGCAGCCGAGAGTCAGCTCTGCTCGCGCTGCAGGCCGCATGCTGGAGGTTGAGGGATGCCAACGCCTCGGTGGCGCAGCAGAACAGGGGCGTAGCGGGGGCTTTCAACGCGCTTACCTGGGACCATTGGAGCGCGCGTGCTGTTGGGCGCCCGCGGCCAAACGACAGGCTATGCTTCGCGCAGCCGTTGAGCGACTTATACGTGACAGTGGCGACGCCTGACGGGGCGTTGGAGTTCACGCTTGAGGAGAGGGGGGCCATGGGGGGCAGCTTGCTTCCCTGGGGCTTCGTTGCCACGTACTCAGTCGCGGTGGGAGCGGCCTTCGCGCAAGTGATGGAGGCGGAGGAGAGCTACGCGTGGCTCGGGACGAAGATCCCCGGCAAAGGCGAGGGGCCGTCTCCGACATTGGGTCCGCCGCGTTCGTGGACGACATCGCCAGGCTGACGCCGATCCCTACCGTGGCGAAGGGCAGGGGCGTCGCGCACATGCTCAACCTCGCGACGGAGACGATCAACCAGGAGGTCAGTGCACAATGGGGAGGGTTCAACGCGGACAAGACGGTCAGCGCCCTAGGGTTTCGCGGACAGAGAGCTACAACGGCTACTCGCAAGGTTGCAATGTCGAAGCTGCTGAAAGGCAGCGCGGCCAGGGGCGCGCGCCTCCCGGGGCCCACCGCGGCCGCGGATCCGGCAGTTCACGACGAGATTACGGCCGGGTCTTAGCGGCGAAGCGAGGGCGGTGCAATATGGGCTTCACATGGTTCTTCGAGGTGCAGCTGCGGTGTGCTCGCCTGCCGTTCACCAGCTACGTGCATGACCCGGCCCTGCCCGCGCCCCATGTGCTGCCGGTCGCGCCCGGCCCGATGGAGGAATTGTCCAAGGACCCGACGACGCTGCTGAGGCCCCTGATCGGGGGGGCGTTCGCGATGTGGAAGGGGGGGCGGCAGCGCGCCCTCACGAACGATCAGGTGCGGGGCTACTGGGAGCTGGCCATGCCCGAGGTGGCACCAGAGGCGCACCACCAGGTAATCGCGACGGTCTGTGGCCAGTGCGGGTTCGAGGATGAGATGGGCATCAAGCGCCTGGGAGAGAACGGGTGGCCGATTGCGACTTCCACACCGCGGCGCCACCAGGTGGAGGAGGGCTTGGAGGAGATGGGCAAGGTGAGCGGAGACTGCCGCGACATGTGGGGGCGCTGTTGGAGGTGCCCGGCGGCATGGCTGACCTTGCCTACGAGGGCGAGGTGCGCGATCAGTTCGTGCAGCCGGACCTGAGGGCGCGCGCGCGGCGGCGCGCATTCTTCCGTCTGGGTTTGCGGGCGGAGGAGTAGCGTGCCCTGCGGCATGCGACTAGGACTGGCTCGCGCAGCCCACCGATGAGAACTGGTTGCAACGAGAGCGTCGATGGGTCGATGTGCGGACAGTCCCTCTCCTCCTTCGCGGCGCTTCCGACTCGTCGTCGCCCCGTTCACGGGTTCCAGCGTGAGTTGAGGGGGTTGGTTGTCAAAAGCCGTGCCCGCGGCGCTAGAGCTGCTCCCGACGCAGGAGGGCGCGATGCAGCATGCCTCGAGAGCGTCAGGGGGCGGGGCATCCAGGGGTGCGATCAGGAGGAGGAGAATGTGCATGGTAGATCACTTCCCGCGGCGCCGCGAGCCAATGGGGCCCCCGAGTCTACAGCGCCCTGCATGCGACTTTTCTTTCGTCCATTTGCTCGAGCTGCAGGTCCATATTCGCGCGCGTCATGCTGGCCCGGCTGGCCTATCCTGCGCCGCTAGCAGCGGCGGCGGCAGCGGCGGGTGGCGGCGCAAGCGGCGCCAAGTCGAGCGCGGCCCTGAAAAGGGGGCAGGCAGGAGAGCACCTGCACGAAGATGAAGGGCAGGTCGAAGGAGGACGAGGCGATGAAGTCGAAGGCGGCGAAGGTGGGCACGGCGACCGGCAACTGCGGCGCCGTGTAGGACGAGAGGGGCGAGCAGGAAGCGGAGACCAAGAACGGCGCCAAACCCGAGAGGAAGAAGATGCGCGACGGCGATGGTGGAGAGAAGCGCGTCGACGGCAGCTACTCCGAGCTGCCAGGGGAGATGGTCGGCAAGCAACTGGAGGGCGTGCTGGGCAAAAGGCAGTGACAGCGAGGGCGAGCGGGCGGCCGCCGCCTCATTCCCGTCGAGCGCGCGAGGGCAAAGGCGGCGGAGGCCAGCGACGAGGAGAACTACGGGGCCGCGGAGTCCAAGGCGCATTCCCAGGTGGAGCCCAGCACCCAGCACGCGCAGGCGGCGAGGGGCGTCGTCGACAAGCCTGCGCACGCTCGCCTGGGACACGACCGACGGACGCGGCTTGCCAACTGCGCGACGGAGCGGCTCAACGAGGTCCTGGAGAAGTTGCCCGCCCCGACGGCGGACATTTTCAAGTCGGACAGGCGCGAGAGGACGAGGTTCGACGAGGACGCCGACGCCGAGGTGAAGGAGATGCCGCTGAACAAGGCGCTGAAGAAGCGACCCGTTCCGACGGCGGGGCTGTCGAAGTCGGCCCCGCTCGAGAGGGCGAGGTTCGACGAGGACATCAACGACGGCGTGGAGATGGCTACCAAGCCGATCACGACGCTGCCGCGAGAAGCAAGGGGTGGAGATCAACGCGGACGTGGAGGACGAGGAGGGAGGCCTGCGGCGCGCGGGGGACATGCGGACGACGCCCGTCGGGGACAGGGACGAGCGCGCGGCTGCGCGCCGCCTCGTCCACCACGCGCAGGCGCTCGGGCAGCCTCCCCCCCCGCGCCTCGCGCGCGACCTCCAGCAGGACTGGGGCGAGAAGCAGGAAAGGAGCTAGTTGGGCTCTGCCTGCAGGTGGAGCGCGCACCCGCCACGCGGCAGGCGACTTAGAGTGAGCGAGCAACGAGCATGCTTGAGGCCCTGGAACAGATGGTTGGCCGATTGGAGGAGTCGCTCCGAAGGAGAGCCCACAGTCGGCCGTGCTGGAGCTCCCCCCCCCTCTCCCGTGTCGCGGCTGGATGCACGCGGAACCCGGCACGCCTGGCGGCGGCGTTCCACATGCTGTGGCGTTCGGGCATTTGGGGGGGGGGATCTGGCGCACAGTCAGCAGCGTTCGCAATCGCGGGCTCCCTGGCTGCATCGGGCCCTGTCGCCGCATCTGCGGAGCGGGGCGCCGCCAGGCCCCCGCGGCCGCGCGCCGACCCCTTTTCCCGATGCCACATTCGCTTATGTTTTTTTGTTAGCGAAGCGCGTCGAGCCGAAAACTGTCGAGTTTGGCTTAAATGTGACCGCTTCTGTTTGCCTCCGAGGCGCGTTCAGTTTAGGAAGAGGCCTGTCTGGGCCGGCCTGGTTATCTGCAGACCCTGCAACTCCAGGCGTCCTCCGCCCTGGAGGTCTGTTCCACTGCTCTCGGCCTCTCGGGGCGAAGCGTTAAGTCGGGCCTGTCCCTCTAAATGGGGAATAGTTTTAAAAGTACCAACTTTCCTGGGGACTGTGTGTAGATGGTATGTTTTGATTGTTTGGGGTATCTGTTGTGAGGGTTATATCTATGTATATATATATATATATATATATATATTCGTCGAAAGGGGTGTGGGGGCTCTTGGGCCCCGGGTCTTCCTCTTTCCTCCTCCCTGCCTTTCTCCTCCCTACCTTCCTCCTCCTTGCCTTTCTCCTTATCCTCCTTGTTCTTCTCGTCTCCCCTCCCCTCGCCTCGAGGCAGGCCGCGGGTGCGTTTCGGGCGAGACGTTTGTCGACGCCCGCGCGAGCACGTGCGTTGACACGGGTGGGCGCAGAGGTCAAGCCTATAGGTGTGTTTGCCCAGCCCCCCGTCCCTCCTCCGCCTTCTCTTCCTCCTCCTCCTCCTCCTCCTCCTCTTCCTTCTCCTGCTCGTCGACAGCATTTGCCCCCCCCTGCGGATCCAAGGGGGGGGTGATTGTTGGCCCATGTGGAGTAGATCGGTACGATCGGCGTGAGTACGGAAAGGGTGCGGACGACAACCGGCAAGAGTTTCTGTCCAATTTGACCACGATTCGACGCCAGTGTCGCCGCCGTCGTGGTCCAGCGAGTACACACAGAGGCCTGCTCAACGATGTTGGAAGAATCCCTCCGTCCAAGCTCCGTCTTCATAGGCCCCTACAACGACAGCGGCCGCTGCCGGTTTGGGACGACAGTTCCGTACCACTTTTGGGCATGCCAAAATTGGATAGGCGGCGAGAGAGGGCACCGGATGGAGGCAACCACCATCAACCGCCTTTCGAGCTGCCCGGGTCGTGTATTTCTATTGCCTCCCTGCTCCTGTTCCCCGTCGTGTTTTTCGCCTCCTCTCCTCTCTCTTCCCTTCACGTCATTCTCTCAATTCCTCATCTCTCCTCGTCTTCCTCTTTCTTCCCCCTTCTCCACTTTCTCTTTCTCCTCCTCATCTTCCTCTGTTTATCCTCTCCTTATTCCTCCTGTTTGTTTCTCCTCCATCCTCCCCCCCTCCTCCCTCGTCCTCCTTCGCCCTCTCCCTCCTCGCCACCTTTCTCTGCCCCATCGTCCTCGTCTCTTCCTCCCTCTCTTCCTTCTTCTCCCTGCTGCTCTCTTCTCCTCTCTCCCCCTCCTCCTCCTGCCCTCTGCCTTCTCCCCCTCTTCCTGTCTGCTCCTCCTCCTCCTCTCGATGTCCTCCTCCTCTCTCCGGCCTTGTGGCCACCAGCCTGCGCTTCGGGCCTCGGGACGCTCCCCGCCCCTCTTGGGGACGGGGGCGAACCTGCGGATTTCATCAGGGCCTACGGCGAGGAGTCTACCCTGCAGGCCCGCGGCCGCCGAGCGCACGAAGGGGTGGTGCTCTCCTCCTCGTCTCCCTCCTCTTCCTCCCCCTCCCCCTCCTCCTCCTCATCCTCCTCCTCTGCCTTCTCCTCTCCTCTCCTCCTCCTCCTCCTCCTCCTCCTCCTCCTCACCCTCCTTGCTTCTTCCTCTTTTCTCCTCTGCTTCGATCCTCCTCCTCCTCCTGAGACTTGTTCTTCTTCCTCTTGTCCCTCCAAGGCCGGGGCGTGTGCCTGGAGGGCCGAAGTGGGTACGGAGTGAGAGCCGTTTGCCCGGCAGCAGCCGCTGCACGGACATATGAAACGACACATGATAGGCTACCTTTATAAATATAGGGCGAATGCGACGTCATCGTTTGAGATGGAGCTGTTGGCATTAGAGACCGCGTTGAAGATGGCACACGCTGCAACCTGATCAAGGGCGCTCGCACGGAAAAAGAAATTGGTCGTTACCACTCCTCAGGAGCTGACAAAACGCACAGACGCAAGTAATCGCCGATGGACCGGAACAAATCGGAAATCGTAAGAACTGTGAGGGGAAGACGAAAACACAGCAAATATGGATACATATGGGGAATCCAGGGATCTGTGCTTGCTTATTATCTTGCGCTGGGTGTCTAGAGCTCTAACCACTTTATTTCGGCACGGCACCGCACCCTATCCCGCGCGCCACTTCCGCATCACCTTGCCCACCCCGCTTACCAGTCAGCGCGCCCCATCCGCCCCGACCCCTTTGATTTCGACACGGCACCGTCCCCCCCCCACCCACACACACACACACAGGCACACACACAACCCGCACGCCCCAGACGCATTGCCCCACCCACCAGCCAGCGCGCCCCCTCCACCTCAATTCTTCACGCTTCGCGTATCCCCACCAGCCCATCTCAAAACAGCAACTCTTGCGAAGCATGCCGACAGTCGTGTTTTTTCAGGCGTGTTTCCGCCTGCCCCCGCATATCTCCCCTGTTCCTCCTTCCTCCCGCCTCCTTGTACATCCTCCTTGTGGTGGGAGCGGGAGAAGGACGAGGCGGAGGAGGAGGGAGAGAAAGCGCTCCTCGTGGTTTGAGTCGTTTGGGGTTTCTCGTCCTGGTGTGAGTCGTTCGGGCCCTTCTTCCTGGTGTGAGTCGTTCGGGCTCTTCGTGGTGTGAGTCGTTCGGGCTCTTCGTCCTGGTGTGAGTCGTTCGGGCTTCTCGTGGTGTGAGTTGTTCGGGCCCCTCGTCCTGGTGTGAGTCGTTCGGGCCCCTCCTCCTGGTGTGACTCGTTCGGGCTCCTCGTGGTGTGAGTCGTTCGGGGCCCTCGTCGTGGTGTGAGTCGTTCGGGCTCCTCGTGGTGTGAGTCGTTCGGGCGCCTCGTCCTGGTGTGAGTCGTTCGGGCCCCTCCTTCTGGTGTGAGTCGTTCGGGCTCTTCGTGGTGTGAGTCGTTCGGGCCCCTCGTCCTGGTGTGAGTCGTTCTTGGGGGCCTCTTGGCGGCCCCAGGGGCTTCTAGGAGCGTCTTGGGTTCCTTGGGGGAGCCTTTTCGGGCCTCTTGGGAGCCTCTTGGAGGCCGTTTGGGGCGTCTTGGGGGCCTCTTGGCGGCCCCAGGGGGGCCTCTTGGGGCTCTTTGGGAGGGGTCTGGGAGGTATCTTGGGGCCATCTTTCGGGCGATCGATCACAGCTGGGGCGAGCATTTTTGTCAGTACCCCCGTCGGGGCCACGATCCTCGTGAGGGGTGTCGAATTTTAGCCCTCCAGGGATAGAAAAAGGACCTTCTGACCACCCGCGAAACCCCCTCTCCAGGCCCAGGGGGAGGGGGTAGGGGGAGGGGTAAACCCCTCCCCGAAGGGGAAGAAGGGGGGTTGAGAACAGAGAGGGCTCGCAAAACCACTCACGCCCAAAGGGCTGGTGGGATTGTTTTATTTCGGCATGGCACCGCCCCCCCCCGCATCCCGCGCGCCCCTTCGGCAGCATCCCCCCCACCCACCAATCGGAGCGCCCCTCCGCCCCGACCCCGGCCCCCCCCACATCCCGCGCGCCACCCCCGCATCACCCCGCCCACCAGCAAGCGCACCCCTGTACCTCGACCGTTCGGCACGGCACCGATCCCCCCATCCCGAACGCCCCCTCTGCATCACCCCGCCTACCAACCAGCGCGCCTTGTCCGCTCCGACCCCTTCATTTCGGCACGGCACCGCCCCCCCCCTCCCGAGCGCCACCTCCATCGCCCCATCCACCAGCCAGCGCGCTCCCTTCGCCCCGACCCCTCTATTTCGCCCCCCCCATCCGGCGCGCCCCCTCCGCATCCCCCCGCTCACCAGCCAGCGCGCCCACTCCGCCGCGAATTTTTGTTTCGGCACGGCACCGCCCCCTCCATCCGCGCGCCTCCACTGCATCCCCCATCCACCAGCCAGATTGCCCTCTCCGCCTCGGCCCCGCCCCGCCCCGACCCCTTCCTATAGACCCTCCGCATCCTCCCACCTACCAGCCAGCGCGCCCCCTCCGGCCCGCGCCCCTCCCGCATGCACCCAACCCACCAGCGAGCACGCCCCTTCTGTGCCGACCCGTTTTATTTCGGCACGGCACCGCCCCCACCACATCCCGCACGCCCCCTCCGCATCACCCCACCCGCCAGCCAGCACGTCCCATCCGCTCCGATTCTGTTTGTTTCGGCACGGCAGCGACCCCCCCAACCATCCCGCACGCCCCCTCCGCATCGCCCAACCCACCAGCCAGCACGCCCCCTCCGCCCCGACTTATTTGTTCGGCACGGCACCGCCCCCCCCATCCCGAGCGCCCCCTCGCCATCACCCCATCCACCAGCCAGCGCGCTCCCTCCGTCCCGACCCCATCCCGCGCGCCCCGTCCGCATCCTCACACTTGCCAGCCAGCGCGCCCCCTCCGCCACGACTTTTTGTTTCGGCACGGCACCGTCCCCCCCCATCCCGCGCGCCTGCCCCGCATCCCCCATCCACTAGCCAGCGCGCCCCCTCCGTCCCGACCTCTACCAGCCAGCGCGCCCCCTCCGGCCCGCGCCTCTTCCGCATCCCACCCGCCCACCAGCCAGACTCTGTACGCAAAACGACTGCCCTGGACAAGCGTTGTCCTTACAGAGCCGTCACATGTGGCACTTTGCACCGCGAGCATCCAGCAGCCGGGTCTGCTCCAGAACTTCTAGGGGTCATCCTTGCACCTTGGAGGCCCTAGGAAAGCCTTTTCCAATGTCTTTTGTGGTTGCCGGGGGCCTTTTTGAGACCCTCTGTGGGCTTCTTGGGTGTTTGTTAGAGGTCTCTTGGGAGCATGTTGCAGGCCTTTGGGGCCATTTTGTGGGGGATGGCCCTTGGCGCCTCCTCAGGCTCGCCCTCTGAAACCCTTCTTGCGGCCCTCTCGAAGCCCTCCTTCGATTTCTCGTCCCCTCCCCCCCCTCCTCCACATCCTTCTCCCCCTTCCTTTCTGTGCAAAAGACATGGCGCGCGTGCCACTTGTTTGTGTGTGTATGTGTGTCCCTGGGCCCCGTTACAAGTGTGTCTCCTCGGCGGCAGCAGCGGGGGCGGATACCGGGGGCAGCGGCAGGAGGGCGGATGGGCTCCGGGGGGAGGGGTGCGCGCCGGCTCCCAGTCGCCCACCCGTCGTCGACGTGGGCCTGAGGTCGCGCCCCGTCAAGGAACTCTTCTGGCTTCGCAGTCGAGTTGGCTCAGCGAGCCCCAGTCGGCCACTCGTCGTCGAGATGGGCGGGGCGGCCCGCCCCACGCAGGGACTTTGCTGGTCTCGCAGTCGCGGTCCTGTCGCCTTTCGATCGGCGAGTTGCCCCCGATGCCACGCCGAGAGAGCCATGCCTGGGGTGGAGAGGGTGGATCGGCTCAGGATGGGACGCGTCGGTTCCCAGTCGGCCACTCGGCATCGACGTGGGCCTGCCGGCCCGCCCCGCTCCAGAGTTTTTCGGGTTTTACAGTTGCGGTCCCATCGCCTCTCCATCTGCTGTGCATCGCGTGGTTCCAAATCGGTGTTTCCCCCCCTTGAGTCTAGGCCTCCCAGATAGGGTCGGGGCAGATGGGGTCGGAGGATCGCGCCGCATCACTGATGCATCGGCGATGCGGCTCGATGTAGAGCCCCATTTTCTACGCGCCGACGGCGCCGAAGCACCGCCGACGTCGCCGATGCATCGCCGACGCATCGACGATGCATCGCCTGTACTACGCGATCCTCCGACCCCACCTGCTCGGACTCCATCGAAGCGGCCTCTATTGAGCCAGTCCGAGGGCTCCTCCACGGGCCCCAGGTGGTGGGCACGGGGTCATCAAATATACACCACCTCCTTAACCCCATCCCTCCCACAGGAGACGAGAGGAGGAGCGCAGAAGAGGAAGGGGGAATGGAGGTGGTGGTGGTGGTGGTGGTGGTGGTGGTGGTGGTGGTGGTGGTGGTGGTGGTGGTGGTGGTGGTGGTGGTGGTGGTGGTGGTGGTGGTGGTGGTGGTGGTGGTGGTGGTGGTGGTGGTGGTGGTGGTGGTGGTGGTGGTGGTGGTGGTGGGTGGTGGTGGTGGTGGTGGTGGGTGGTGGTGGTGGTGGTGGTGGTGGTGGTGGTGGTGGTGGTGGTGTGGTGGTGGTGGTGGTGGTGGTGGTGGTGGTGGTGGTGGTGGTGGTGGTGGTGGTGGTGGTGGTGGTGGTGGTGGTGGTGGTGGTGGTGGTGGTGGTGGTGGTGGTGGTGGTATATTCTTGGGACTCGCATTGGGGACATCGAATCTCAGGCGCCTTCCCCATCCAGCTTTACTGGGTGCACGATGGGAACAACAATATAGGTCCATGTCGAGCATTTTTCTTCTGTACCCTTTCCTTCCTCTCTCCCTCCTGCCTCCCGTTGGGAGCGTGTTCCATCATGGGCTCTCTCTTGTGGAACGCATCCGACTCATTTCCGCGCCGAGGTCGCCGGAAGACAGCCGAACGCACCACCTCCACCGCCCGTCCTCGCCCACGCCCTCTGCCCGAAGGGGCCCTCGCCCGCCCGCCCGCCGCAGTGGACGGGCCGCGCCCCCCCCCCCCGAGCGCACTCCTCCCTCGTCCCTCCTCCTCCTCCTCCTCCTCCTCCTCCTCCTCCTCCTCCTCCTCCTCCTCCGTCCTGTGTCGAAGCGCCGACTGAGACAACGCTCGCCGCGGCTCCTTGCAGGTGGCGACGGCGCTCGCGAGGGCAGCCGACGAGCCCCCGCCGGACGCGGAGCCGGAGCCGGAGGTGGGGCTCGGCCCAGCTGGGAGTCGAGCAGTGTCGAAGCGTCCTGACTCGCCGATAGGCCCACCAAGGAATGTTCTAAGAACCGTGTGTGGTTCCAGCGGAATGTTTTTTGAACATTCTTGGTTGGAACTGTCTGGTTTTCAGACATCGGGGGCATGTTCTGAGAACTTTGTTTTTGCTATTGGAACATTTTCTCCAAATAGGCAAACCCTATAGGAGTTCACATTCAAACCCTACTCGTTGGTCCGTTTCCCCCCCCTACGTAGTTCATATGCCCCCCCAATTCTTATGTCACCCCCCCCCCAATTCCTATGTCACCCCCCCTCCCCCCTTTTTCCAATGACACCCCCCTTATTTCAAATGCTTGCTTGCTTGCGTGCTTGCTTGCTTGCTTGATTGATGGCTTGCTTGCTTGCACGCTTGCTTGCTTGCTTGCACGCTTGCTTGCTTGCTGAGCTGCGAATTCCAAGCATGCTTGATTCCTCTGATTTCTTGATTTGAGTCATCTGATCTATGTCGAGTCAACGCTGGCTGATATTTGTGTTATAAGAACACTTCGTGGTAGGTTTACAGGAATGCCGGGACGGTCGGTCCCTGCTCAAGGGAGCTGCGGGGGTAGGGCCCCAGGGGGATGGGAGAAAGCTTTCTGGCGGCACAAACCGGAGGAGGAAAAGGTACCCATACCGCCAGCTCGCGCCCGTTTCCTTTTTTGGTTCGGCCTCCTGGGAGGTCCTCGTCGCCACCGCCGGATTCGCCTTGAAATTCAGGTCAGAACGAACCCCGGCAGAGGTCCATGGAGTAGCGGTATTGGTACCTCTTGGTTTCTCCCTTTCTGGCGGCACGAACCTCAGGGGCAACGCTTGGAGGTGGGGGGGGGGGATGCACCGACCCCCGATCTCCCGGCCCTCGGTTCCCGTCGACTGTTTGGATACCTTCTGGCGGCTGCGCCTCGCCGAAAGCGTTCTGGGGGTGCCCGGATCGTCCCCAACTGCCGCTGGAGAGTGGAGGTATGACCCGAAAGCCAGGGGGCAACGACCGTGGGGGAATACGTTCAGGGGGGGTGCACCGACCCCCGATCGCCAACTCATCGCCGATAGGGGCCTGATACCCACGCCCCCCGCCCAGGAGAATGCGGATTCACCGTCTGTCGTTGCATAACATCCAACCCCGATGCGATAAACCAGGCCCGGTTTGGCGCCTCTGTCGATGGCCGCGGCGGGCACAAACAAGGGTCCAGTTTTTGTCGAGGATAGACGCCTCTGTAGTGTTGTAGGATCATGTGCAATCCGTACCAGATTTGTACAGGATCATCTCCAGTCCGTATCGGATCTGTATATGACCCCCGACGTCGGGAGCCTATCTCCGATCTGTCGGCGGTCTATCACAGGTCCCAGCTCCATGTTTGTGTCCCCGCGAGCGAGCCCCCCTTGACTCTGGCAGTGGCGAATGGTCCTGGCTTGCCTGTAGGCCCGCCAAAGATTGGTCTGGGAGGGCCCGAGAGGGAGGGGCAGAGATAGACGGCCGGCGGCTCGGAGTGTGTCGCGTGTGTGTTGGCGGCGGGTCCCGCGTCCATGCAGAAGCGGCGCGCATCGCCGCCAAATCGGGCGGCACCGGACTCATGTCTCGGGGGGGTGCAGTGGGGGACCATGACAAGAAGCACCTTACGTTTCGTCAGGGTTCGCTGGGTTTCTTTGGCTGGCTTCCGGCGCGGAATGTCGCCGCAATTTCGAAGAAACTGCAAATGCCACTGTTCCCTGTGTTTCTTGGGCGTCGGTCAGTTTCTGGGCGCGCGCCCGAACCTTCAAGAAACTGCTGGGCATTCTGGGTACCTTGGGTTTCTTCGCCCGCTACTCGGATTGTTCGCCCCGCGTTGCCCATCCACCCGCAGGGGTTCGCCAGTCTGTCAAGTGGGCGCTGGCGCATTTCGGGTCGCATGCCCGAAAGTGGGTACATTTCGGGGTTCATTTCTTGATGTCAAAGTGCTTGACGCCATCAGTCAAGAATCGCTCGGGCCAGGGTGCCCTGGGTTTCTTCGTTTGAAGCCGAAGTAGAAGAAACTCAACCCTGGACAGAGAAACCTCGGTGGATTTTAGAGTTGTTTTTTTTGCGGTGGCTTTCTTGTGCATCCCCCCCCACTGCATTCTCATCGCAGGCGATGTTTCTTCCGCAACCCACGATTAGTCGACGAAACATGACTCCGCTCAGAACAGGAGGGGACCCCCCGGATATACCCCGAGGGGGCCATTCGGACGCACAACTATCGAGTTTGGACGCCCCCCAATCGTATGTCCAAGGGTTGGGCCCAAAATTTCGGGCCCACGCGAAAACCTCCCCAAAAACTGAGACAGGGGTCGACTCATCTCCTGTTATGCTCTCACTGATCCGCGAATCTGGCGCCCACGCGCCAGATCCACGGATCCACGGATCCCTAATCCATGATAGTGTGCGCACGATCGAGCAACATGCGGCGGGTCAAAGATGGACGACCGAACATTGGGGGCTTTTGCTCGTGCGTGCTGGCCCTTCTCTTTCGGACGGTTGGAGTCGTTTTTAGAGGCCCAGACCTGTCTTCGGTGGCTCGAACATATCGCGCCAGAGGAGCTCTGGCCATCTGCAAGTTTGTCTCTGTGCCGCCTTCCGTTTTCGGAGAGGCTCGACAGGGCTCGACTTAAACGATGTTTTGTTGGCGATTTCGTGGACAGTTTTCATTTTGATGTTTTTCTGCAGCTAATGCGGATTGAAGACAAAACGACGGATAACGAAAACAAAACGAACACGACAAACACTGTTTTGGTCGATCCCTGAGGCTCGATGTATACACCACGTCGTTTGGTCGGCCAGGGCTCTGGAGCTCGCCGGAGGAATTTGGTGCGTAGACGTTTCAGTGCCACCCGGAGGTTGGGGCCGCTGGGGCGTCCATCCACCGAGCTCCTGGGCCGACCAAGCGACGTGTGGTGTATACATCGAGCCCTGAGTCGTCCCTTGTGAGATCCGCGTAAAGTCTACCCCGCGTTTTTCAGGAGGGAGAAAACACACAGGCACAATCAATCGTGGATTCCCCAGAAAATATGGGAAAGTATGAGAAGTGGGGGGGAAGACAAAATCCCAGAACATGGGGAATCCTGTTATATGTGTCTATTCATGTGTGTGTCCCAGGGCCCCTTCAGTATTGCTTTTCTTTTGTTCACCGATCAACATAGGTGGTTGCAGTGGACGCGTGCGCATGGTGTAAGCATGTGCTGGACAATTCACGTTTTCCAGAAAGGAGAAGAGGATGTGTGGGATTGCGCCAGCCACTTTTGGGAAGCTTTGATGTTAATCTGAACGAGAGACGGATTAAGTACATATCTCCACCGAGTAACAATAAACCAGCGCAGCATCTAGTGAACGCAGAATCTGGTCCACGAAATTCATAAGCCGACTCTTCGAATCCGGGACCAGTTTTCTACATCCCAAACACCTTTCCATCGGCACGAACGAAAGGGGTACGGAAAGAATGGGTACGATGCCCATCAGCAGTTCCTGTTCATTTTGAACAGGACTCGCTGTCCGCGCCGCCGCGGCCTGTGTCCATTTGAACCAGAGGGCCGCCCGCCCAACAGCGGCCGCTGTTGGTTTGGGACAACCTTTGTAGTTGGGCATTGTACCCATTTTTTCCGTACCCGTCTTGGGCGTCCACATTCCATTGCGCCGACCGGCGCGCAAAGCTCCACTTTGCAGTCCTCCGACGTCGGGCGCCCCCCTCTCGGGTCGGCGGCCCCCTGTGCGGGCTCTTCGTGCCCATGCGGGGGGGGAGGCCGCCCAGGGCTCTGTGCACCCCCCCCCCTTTGCAAGCCCCGCCCCCGCGCGGGCGGCCGCGTGGGCGAGGGCCTCCCGCGTGGGTCGGGGGCCGCCTCTCCCGCCCGGGTCTCAGCACTTCCTCCCCTCCGCCTCCCCCTCCCCCACTCACCAACTCTCCCCTCCTTTCCTCCTTTCCCCTCTCCTCCCCTGCCCAATCAACTCCCCCCTCGCCTCCCCTCCCCCTCTCCCCCCCTCCCCCTCCCCTCCCCCCTCCCCTCCCCCCCCCCCCCCCCCCCCTCCCCCCTTACCCCCCCCCCTTCCCCCGCCTTCCCCTCCCCTCCCCTCCCCCGCCCCTCCTCCCGCCCCTCCCCTCCCCCCCAGCCGCTGCACAATACACCGTGTGAGCACTTCTCTCTAATGACGTCCCGAAGATTTCTGGCCCCCCTCTGCGCACTGTCCTCTTACACACACAAGATTCCCGGGAAATGGGTTTTCGTGTTTTTTGTGTTGCGCTGGATTGGAAAATGAGCCATCATCAATTTTCAATAGCGGGCAGAGGTTGAAGCGGTACGAGACGGCACACGTCGATGACGCGAGATTGGTCCGTCGGCTCTCCAAACGCTTCGCAGGTCCTCTCCCCAGGGACGCCTTGGTGGCCAAAGCCCAGCAGGCCTTCCGCAGCGCCTTCTGCGGCGCCCTGCGTGTCTGTCGCCGTTTGGCTACTACAGGCGCTGCAGACTCAGACGAGGCGGGGGCACTCACCATGACCGAGTCCCCAGATATGATGCGGGCTGCCGTGCGAGGGCCCGAATTCATATCGCTGCTGCTTTGGTGAAGTTGCAAGGTGTGGAATGTCTGCCAAAGAACGGCGTACTGTCCAATTTGTTCTGACCAGAGCTGTCCAGGCTGCCAGTTCGCCGCATCAGAGGCAGGTGAAATACGTTCATCCTCGCCCCGTGCCTTGGCTTCACTGGAGGATCTCCAGTCGGTGTCCAAGGCTGTTCCCACGGCGCAGTGCTCTCGCCCTTGGACGCTTGCTGGAGTAGTTGCGCGGCTTGTTGGGCGGGTGGGGCAGGGCTCAGAGATGGGGCGTGGTGGGGCGTGGGGCAGGTGGGGCGTGGCTCGGTGGTCTCAGAGACTGGCCCTGGATGGCCGCGTGGACCGCCGGGCTTGGTGGGCCCCTGGCCACCACTCGCCGCAGGCGGGGCCAGCGCTGACCCCTAGGGCCCCCGAGGGCATCCTCGGCAAGTTCCCCCCCGTGCGTGAAGTCAGCTCATACCAACAATATGTCCCTATCTACCACCGCCGTCTCGGCTCAGGTATGGGTACTCAGCATCGCGCTGCCTTTTCCGCAGCGCACGGGAAAAGGGATTCACGACCTTTTCCCTTACCCTCCTTTACCAACAGGAATCACCGTAGGTTCGATTCTTCGGTCGTTAACCCTTTTTCCACATCCCCTCCCCCTGCATTCGTTGAAGCCCCATTCGGGGCCGTGGCTCCGTCGATGCAGCCTCGTTAGGGCCGTGCGCCAGGGTTGTCCTTCGGCTCCGCGTTGGTGCTTGGATGGGGATGTGTGGCAATCGGCAGTGGTTCGCTCGGAACCGCAATGGGGCCATTGGGCGTCGGGGCCTCTGCCTGCCTGCGTTGTCAGGCGAGCGAACCTGTCGCCAACGCGCAATCGCGACACTTTGGCATGCGCCTGCCGTGCAATATGTCGTTATGACGCATGTGCAATCTAGCGTGCGGGAGTGCGGCGGGGAAGAGCGGCGCCCGCGACGGCTCTTTCCGAAGTCGTTTGGGCGGGCCCAGCCTTTCCCGCTAACTGCCCCCCCGGCATTTCTTGCCGTACCGGGCCTTCGAGACATGGGTTTCACCATGCCCGTCTCGTGCCATGGAATCCCTGGCTCCGCTCTCGAGGAGAGTGGTCTGGTGGTCTCAGAGGCCGGTCCTGGAGGGCCGCGTGGACCCCCAGGCGTAGTGAGCCCCTGGCCACCCTTCGCCGCAGGGTGTCCTTGGAAAGGCCCCCCCTTGCAGCCCACTGCAGCCCCTGGGGACCGTGAATCCTCCATTGCAGCCTCCGCTTCCTCCTCCTCCGCTTCCTCCGCCCCCTCCTCCGCCTCCACCGCCTCCTCCGCCTCCTCCGCCTCCGCCTCCGCCTCCGCCTCCTCCTCCTCCGCCTCCGCCTCCGCCTCCGCCTCCTCCTCCTCCTCCTCCTCCTCCTCCTCCTCCTCCTCCTCCTCCTCCTCCCCTGGTGTTGCCGTGGGCCAGGGGGGTCCTTAGTCCTTTTGCAGCTTCGTGGAGTGGGCTGTATGGAGACATGGCTATGTTTCGCGCGGGACTGTCTTGGGGCCCTGGGGCGTCGGGGCCCCTGCTTGCCTGAATTGTGAGGCGAGTGGGCCTGGTTCCGCCGCGCGCACGCGACGCGTTGGCGCGCGTCTGCCGTGAATAGGGGCGCAGTGATGATGACGATGACGGTGGCGATCCGAATGGCGACTACTCTGGCGACTATGCTGTTGATGGTGATTGTGGTGATGCTGATGATGACGATGATTATGATGATGCTGATGATGCTGATGATGATGATGATGATGATGCTGATGCTGATGCTGATGCTGATGCTGATGATGCTGATGCTGCTGATGATGATGGTGGTGATGATGATGATGCTGATGATGATGATTATGATGATGATGGTGGTGGTGATGATGATGATGGTGGTGGTGACGATGATGCGGTAATGATAATGCTGATGGTAAGCCCGGGCTGATGCTGTTTACAATGATGATTTGGAGAACGATGATCCTGTTGATGACAAGGAGGAGGAGACTGTTGAGGTTGATGGACAAGGAAACAGAGGAGGGAGAGGAGAAGGAGGAGGGGGGAGGAGGAGCAGGAAAAAGTGTTCGAGGACGAATGGCCGTAAGATGGACGAACAGGAGGAGGTCGGAGGAGGAGGAGGAGGAGGAGGAGGAGGAGGAAGGCACGGACGGCAAGTGGGAGGAGGACGAGGATGTGGAGGATGAGCAGGAGCAGGAACAGGACCAGGAGCACGGGGGACGGCAATGGTGGAAGAGGAGGAGGACGAGGAAGAGGAAGGAGACGAGGAAGACGAGGACGAGGGGGAGGAACAAAAATATAGGGACAAGGAGGAAGCGAAACATGAGGTGGACCTGGAACCGCCGCCCTTCCCAACTTTCGGGGGCGCTTCGGCTTATGTAGACTCGGGCACGCAAACCGGTGAACGGGTGCGGGATATTCGAAAGATGCCAAGGATGCGTGATCAAATCGAAAAGGAACCACGAGTCTGAGACAGAGGAAACATAAACGTGTGTTAAACAGATGGAAAAGCATGAATCTAATTTTCACACTTGTTTTAACTGTGAAAGTGTTTCATCTGCTTCCGAAATTCCGAAATCGGGCGACCTGTTTTCTCTCTTCTACACGTTCTTCAAACTTGCAAATCCCGGCGGACTTTTTCATAATGTTTTTCGCCCAACGACTCGGCATCCCAACTCTGGGCACGGTTGTTGCTAACAGAGTTGTCAAGCTGGCTCCAGCTTCCAAAACTTGGCGTTTTCATTCTATTTGCACACGTCTGTAAACTTCCACATCCGAGTGTGCCCCCCAAGATTTCAACAGTTCTTGCTTGCTCCAGAGCGACATTCGGGCCGAACGAAAGGGGGGGATTGAGAAAGGGGGGGTTAGGAAATCTGCTGCACGCAGCTGGTTTCAGCCCCACCGAGGGGCCCATTCCTCCATACATAGCCGCCTCCGGCGCTGGGAGGCGCCGGGAAAAGTCAGCTACGTGAGCTGATTCTCACCCCCCCCCCTTGGCTATCCCCCCCTTTCGCCCAGTGGGGACGGGGCCTGGCCCGCTGGCAGCCCCCACGCCCGCGGCGGGAGGCCCCGGCCAAGCCTGCCCCGGTGGCCGCGGCGCCTCCCGCGGCAGAGGCCGCGGCGCGGCGCGGCACCCGAGGGGTCCCGGATCTCGCCTCCTCCCCGTCGGCCGTGGATCCTCGGCCTCCTCCTCGACGCTCCCTGGGCCTTCATCCTCCTCCTCGATCCTGCTCCTTCGATCCCCGATCCTCCTCCATCCTCGGCCTTCGATCCTCCTCGATCGTCCTCCTCCTCCTCCTCGACCCTCCTCCTCCTGGATCCTCGAGGCTCCTCGGTCCTGGATCGTTGGTCGGGCGGCCCGACCGGACCCCCCCCCGATCCTCGAGCCTCGCTCGGAGCCGTGATCCCCGACCCCCGATCCTTCGATCGGTTCCGCGACCCTCGGTCTTCGGTACCCGATCCCCCTCCCCAGTCATGATGTTCCAGCCTACTTTATTTTCGAGCACCAGAAAAAAAGTACTGAAACTCGATGGTTTTCACATGTGTCAGGCCCTGGGAGACACACGCTCGACACTCTTTCGACACTCGTTCGACACTTCTCCGGGTGCTCGAAATCACTTCAGGGATGTGGCCCTTGAGTACGATGGGAGCAACATAACTCCCCAGTCCTCCCAGAGGCAGCACCTCCGCCTGGGCCCCGGGCGGCCTGGCCGGCCCCCCGTCGGGGCCGGCCCGCAGCCTGACGACCGAGCGTTCTCGGGCGCCCTCCTCCGCGGGCTCCCGGAAGGCTCTCCCGCCGCGGGGGGCGCGCTGCGGCAGCGTCCACCTCGCCGAGGGCGCCCCGACGAGCGCCCGCCGCGGGCCCGAGCCACTGAACGACGCGGCAAGGCAGACGCAGCACGATAGGCCCATGGTTCCACCACCACGACCATATGCAGGAGAGGGAGGAGGAGGAGGAGGAGGAGGAGGAGGAGGAGGAGGAGGAGGAGGACCCCCTCCCCCTCCAACTTGTGGTGGTGGTGGTGGTGGAAAGCAGGCCCAGCAGCCCCTAGAGGGGCCCTCGAGGGCCCCGACGAAGGGGCCCTGGCCCGAGAGGCGCACCTGTCTCCCCCCCCTCCCCGAGTTCCGCCTCCCGGGCACCGAGAGTCGGGGGGCCGGCCTTTTGGCCGTCCTTGCACGGAAAACCGACCCCAAGTACCTCCTCTTCGTGTTTCTCGCCTCGGCATCGCTTGGGCGTGTGCGGTTTGTCTCGACGAGGACTATCGAGGAGCACCAGGAGGTCTTCCGGCAAAAACAGATACGCGCACGACACCGAACAAGGCACGTCCGAGCGATGGCTAGTCGTGATCCGCTTTCTGCGGGGTCTGTGTTTGGAGGCGAGCGAATGCACCTGCAGCGTCAGCTCGTGAGTGCTCCCGCGCCGAGCACAGCCGTGAGTGCTCCCGCGTCAGCTCGTGAGTGCTCCGCCGGGCAGCACAGCCTGCCGAGCGCCAGCGTGGCGGCGTGTTTGGCTTCAGCCGACGGCAGACTCCTTGGGGCGGAAGACGTCCTCCCCCCTCCCTCCCTCCCTCCCTCCCTCCCTCCCTCCCTCCCTCCCCGCTCTGCGCTTTTGTATAGCTCGTGCACTCTGTGGGGTGTCATGCCGATGCGGCTCTCTCTGCCTGCACTCTTGTGTGACATCACCCAGCTGGACGAGCAGCCAGGCCACGCTTCCCCTCGAGGTGGCCTGGGGCTTCTCTGCGGAAGCCTGCAGAGGGGAAGCGGCCCGTAGCGGTCCAAAAATCCCCCCATCTGCGCTCGAGGAGACGAGAGACCACAGGGTCCGACGTGCGGTGCCGTCGTGGTCCGCCTCCCTCCCTGGCCGCCTCGCGCCCCTCGAGGCGGAGGCGGCGGCCCCGAGCGTCGGCGGCGCGGCGGAGGCGGCCCCCGCAGCACAGGAGGCGCACCGCCTTGCCTCCAGGGGGGGGGGGGGCAAGGGCGTTTTTCTAGCTCGGCCACCACACAGGGTATGGCTACTCAGGATCGTTTAACCGACCCCCATCGAGACCCCCACCAGATCACCCCCTAGTTGGGGACACACCCTTCGAAACCCGAAGGGAACGACCCAGATCCCCATCTACGAGGGTACATCGGCCAGTGGGGCCCAGGCCGCGACGCTGGGATGGGGATCGGTTAAAAGATACTCCGTTACGCATGGGTGTGGTTTGCGATCGGCGCCGTCGGGGCCTGGGGGGCACGACGCTGTCCTTGTTGGGCCTTCTCGGGGCGCGCCGGAGAGCCCTGTCGATTTGCCGGTTGCAAGCCACACCCTTCGGAGTCGCCGACTGGTGGAGCTGGGGCCGAGCTAAACTCGACGCATCTGCGCCTCCTAGATTACCAGACCACCCCAACCCAACCCGAAGGCCTCAATTTGCCCTCCATTTCTAGTGTGGGGGGGTCGGGGAACATTGAACGATCACATATGCTTAGTGTGTCTTGGAAAAGCCCTGGGCGTTTTTTAGTATTCAAAGTTTCCAGCTGTCACTCAAACACATGTTTCAATACTTTCTGGCTCCCGCTTTGTGTGTCGTTTCCAGGTCTCCGAGGCGATGCGTTTGCTGATCGTCTCCAACGTCAATCCGAGGGATCTTTGTTTATTAATAGTTGTACACACATGTATATAGTTTCCAGCGTCGTTTTTCATTGTTTCCAGGTCTGCCTCGCAACATGCTGTTATGTATTCGTGTATCAACAGGCAACGCACGAAAGGAGCTCGACACACTCCCTCCAAAAGGTTTAGCCGGAGGCACGTCGGTGTCATAATGGCGGAGTCGGCGTCGTAACCGCGGCCTCAGCGGCGGCGGCGACATCCTGAAATGTTTCCCCTTCCCCTGGGCCAAGGGTCGAAGTTGCCTGGTTGAGACCGTTTCCGATACGTTTTCAATACGTTTTCAACGCGTTTCCAATCCCCCCATTCCGGTGGGTCGGACAGCGATTGACAGGTAACGCACGAGAAGAGTTCGGCACTCTCTTCAAACAGCCTCTCTGTCGCACCTCCTGCCCGCTGCAGCCGCCACCTTCCTCCTATGCTGTCTGGTGCTGATACTGCCTGTTGTTACTGCCTGGTGCTACTGCTCGCTGCTGCTGATGCCCGCTGCGCAGCCTGCAACGGATCCATTACCATCGGGTTTATTCTCGTTTTGTATCGTTTGTTCAACTACCCGTTTTTTCAATACTTTCCTGAGGGCCGAGGGCCGTTTCCTTACCGTTTCCATCTTGTGTCGACTCGTCTTCAGATATTTTCCATCTGATCGTGCGGACGTGTTTTTGATAGTTTCCAGGGTCCGTTTTCTAATCGTTTCCATGTGCCCGTTGTTGGCTCACGAGACACAAGCTCTGGAAACTAGACAGAACCTCCCAGGGCGTTTCAAAGACACGCTGAGCACATCTGGAGCCCGTACCTCCCCAACCCGAAATTCGGGTCTTCGGTTTGGGTTGGGGTGGCTTGGTAGGTAGTCATAGATGGAGTCGGAGTAGATGAGGTCGGGGGATCACGCCGCATCGCCGATGCGGCTCGACGGTACCGATGCGTCGCCGACGTCGCAGATACCTCGTTGATGCATCGCCGATGCATCGGCGATGAAGTGGCGATGATGTGGCGCGATCCGAGCCCATCTATTGGAACCCCATCTATGAGGCGTCTAAAGGAGGGCCAGTCGAGACAGCGGTAGCCCTATCTGGATTTGTCGCTCCTCTCTTGGCCTCCTGGGGGCTCCTCTCGTGGCCACGGCGGGGTCCGCCTCGAGAAACGGAGCAGGATTTTCCCCGGGAGAGGTCCATGGACCGATTTTGAGCGGAATGGGGCCCGGGCGGGGGAGGCGCAGTTGTCTGTCAGGCAGTGGCGAATTTTCTCCTGACAGTCGAGCAGTGGCGACGCGTCCTGGCGTGCCTGTAGGCCTACCAAGGAACGTTCTGAGAACCTTTTGCGTTTTGCACGCAATGTTCTCAGTATATTTATGGTTGGGGCTGTCGTGCTTTAACTCATCGGGTGTATGTCCTAAGAACATTGTTTCTGTTATCTGGGTTCTAAGAACATCGCGTGATTGACCTATAGGAATGCCGGGACGGTCGGTCCCTGCTCAAGACAGGAGGGGTCCTACCAACCATTGCAAGGTTTGGTCGCAAGTGTGAGACCGATTGCGGTGGGCGACACGACTCCAGGGATCGGGCTTTTGCTTGGATTTCTCCGATCATCGCTCGCGATAGCGGGTCCATCATAAAGATGGCCGTGGAAAGGCCCGAGAGGGCCCCCCAGGGGGCCATGGATCCCGCGGGCTTTCTGGCATTTTCGCAAGTTCCCAGGAGCCTCCAAGACGATTTTGCTTCGGACGCTGTCGTACGTTCCCTCCGGGTCTTCGGACGTTTCTGCCACCTCCTCGGGCGCTCTCTCGAAAGTTCCGCAGGCTTTGTGTGTCAGGTGCCTTTCGTGAGGGCACGGAGGCTCTCCAGCCTGGGGATGCGCTTCTCAGCAGCTGCGCCTCGTCGAGGGCACGGCGGGGGTGCCCGGATGGCCCCGAAACGGCGGCCGGGCGCGCTTGCTGCGGCGTTGTCGGTCTGCGGGGGGAGCTTTCCATAATTATGGTAGTTGTGCGTCAGAGGAGGACACGGTACCCATACCTCTACCCTTCCCTTGTTTGTCCCTTCTTGGGCCCCCTCGGCGGCCCTCGTCGCCACCGCTGGATTCGCCTCGGAATTCTGTTCAGATCGCATCCAGGGAGAGGTCCGGGGAGTAGCGGTATCGGTACATTTTGGTTTTCCCAGTGCGAGTCCGCGTGACCTTGGTCAGAGCAGGGCCATCTTGTCGAGGAGGAGCATGTGGAGGAAAATGGGTCCAGAAGGATGGGGGAGGAACAGAGTGGGCAAGGATGTCGAGGATGATAATTCTGATGATGTGATGATGATGATGATGATGATGATGATGATGATGATGATGATGATGATGATGATGATGATGATGATGTCGGTGATGAGGATGGCGATGAGTGATGCTGATGATGATGACGATGCTGAAGATGATGATGATGCTGGTGATGGTGATGACGAGTGACGATGATGACGATGAAGTGATGTTGCTGTTGATGCTGATGCTGCTGATGTTCATGCTGATCCTATAGGCTTACGCCACATCCGCCGACCCCTATATAAGGTACTGCGCCTCCAGGACTGCATTTCACGAGGCTTGTCCGCAGCATGACACGGCGCTCGACATCGTTCCTGTTGCTTCGTTGCTGTTATCGTACCTGTTGGTGCTCTTTTGTGGCCTCTTGGTGGCATCTTGGCCTGTCTGCAGGCCATATCCGGCCGCCTCGAGGCATCTTGGGGCTTCCTGGGGGCTTCTTGGAGGCCTTTGAGGTTCTGTTGGTGGTCCCTCAGGGCCTCTTGGGCTGTTCTTGGGGCAGTCTGGGGGCGTCTTGGGGCCGAAGGCTAGAACAGGTGTCGTCTTGGGGCCGTCTGGGGGCCCTCTGAGCTGTCTTGGGGGCTTCGGGGACTGTTGTTGGACTCTCGTCGACCCTTCTTGGGGGCCCCTGTGGCCGTCTGGGGGCGATCTTGAAGGTTTTTTGCCCGTCTGGGACGTTGTGCAAACCGAATAGGAGAGCATGCGACAAATGCGTGTTTTTCGAAGGGCATGGGACGATTTTTGTTTCTTGGGGCCCTTTTGGGGCGCATGTTGGGGGCCTTTGGGGGCGTCTTGGCAGCTTCGGAGGCCGCCTGGAGGCCATCGTGGGCGTCCAGGGCCATATTTCGGCGAATCGTGGCCCCCTGGGACCGTCTGGGGAGCAATCTGGTGCCTTCATGGCCAGTTTTGGAACCCTCCGCTCCCCCGTGACGCGTTCGGTCCGGGGTCGCCCAGGGCCGGGGGGGGGTCAAATCTCCGGTTTGGGGTCCTTTGGGGGGGGTTATGGGGGGGGAACCATCTCACACGCCTAGAGACCCACAAGGGGTCGGCGGATTATGGTGGTGATGGTGATACTGATGGTGCTGTGAATGATGGTTATAGTGATGACGAATGATGATGATGACGATGATGATGATGATGACGATGATGATGATGATGATGCTGCTGCTGCTGCTGATGATGAGGCTTATGATGATTATGATGATGATAGTAATGATCATTAGTATGATGGCAGTGATGGTGATGATGACGATGATGATGCTGATGATGATGTTGATGTTGACGATGATGCTGATAATGATGGTGACGCTGGTGCAGATGAATATGATGATGCTGCTGATGATGATGACGATGCTGATGCTGATGCAGATGCGGATGCGGATGATGATGATGATGATGATGATGATGATGATGATGATGATGATGATGAGGATGAGGATGAGGATGAGGATGATGAGGATGATAATGCAGCTGATGCTGATGCTGAAGCTGATGATGATGTTGGTGGTGATTGTGATGGCGATGATGGCGAGGAGAAGGAGGATGAGGAGGTGGAGCAGGAAGGGGAGAAGGAGGAGGAGGAGGAGGAGGAGGAGGAAGGAGAAGGAGCTGGATACGGGAGGTTCAGACTTGGAGGAGCAGTTGTGATGTCGGCGACGACGACGACGACGACGAGGAGGAGGCGGAGGAGGAAGAGGAGGGACGCGGAGGTGAGCGAGTAGGAGGATGCCGACGAGGCGGAGCGGGGGCAGCAAGAGGGGGCAGAGCATTGGGAGCAGGCGCCGCGTGGCCGAGGGGCGAGCGGGAGGACCCGGCAGAGCAGGAGGGCGGCCCTGCGGGGCGCGAGTCATTTGGGGGGGCGTCGAGGGGGGGGGAGGAACGAAGGGCCCCTTGTGTCCGCAGGCCCCTCCCTCGTCGCCCCCCCGCGAGCTCGCCCCCCCCAGCCCTGCCCGCCGAGGCGCCGGCACGGGCCGCTCCCTCCGACGCCGCCGGCGCCGCCGACGTCCCGTCCCCGGACGTGCCAGGCGCCGCTGCGGCGGCGGCCAGGGCCGTCGCCGCCGGCCAGCCCTGGCTGGGGGGCCACACGCGAAGCCTACCCCTACCCCCCACGATTTCTGAGGGGGGAGGGTGGGGTTCACTTCGTCTGGGAGCTCCCGAGCGAAGTGAACCCCACCCTTGCCTTCAGAAATCGTGGGGGGTAGGGGTAGGGTTCGCATGTGGCCCCCTACTGGCCGCCGGAGCTCAGGAGAGGAGATCGCGGGCCCGAGAGGTGGACACCAACACCAAAATCGGCGGCGTGCCCCCACCGAGGGAAGAGGATCCCGACCTCGGCGATGGCGGTAGTATTCTTGGCTTCCAAGGTGACCGACGTATTACCACCAACACCGAAGTCGAGGATCATCTTCCCCCTGTGGAGGCAGCCCCCTGTGTTGGTGTTGGTGCCAATTTCTAGGCCTCCCAGGAAAATGTACCCATACCCCCGCCCCCTTTATGTCGGGGATGGACACAGCCCCCACTCAGACACGTCGATTCGTGAGTTGCCCGTGTTCGGTTCTCGAGTGGTCGCCGCGGCCGTCGTTTTCCAGGCTTGGGCCCGCCAGGTTGAGGCCCGAGGCCGTTTTCACGAAGCCACGTCTAAAGAAAGGGGTTTCTGTCCATCCCCGACATTAGGCCTCCTAGGATGAAGTCGGGCCTGTCCCTCTATCCCTCTATAGGAGGGAAATCCAAACAATAATCAACAAATCGTATGGGGACGTTTTTGTTGACTACTTGTTTGCATTTTGGAGTATTCTTCCAGTGCTTCCAATTTTTCGCCCAAAACCCCCCTGTAGGAGGACGTGCCCGACCTAATGGTAGCGGTATCGGTACCTGTTGGTCGGCCCATGAACGGGCCAGGAGGTCCTCAAGGATGCGGCTTTGCAGAGTGAGGGAGGGTGGATCGATCTCTGGGAGGACGGGATGGAGAGATGGGCGGAGGATGGGGAATTGAGGGGGCGGGTGAGGAGGATGAGCAGGATTTGGAGGATGTAGGACCCGACTAGGTATGCCCAAGATGCATCAACAATGCTGAAATAAACCATCCCTTTTCGAAGCCCCCATCCACATATCTCCCTGCAGATTTTTCTTCTCACTACAAGAAGCGCTCCCTGAAATTGAAATACCTGCCATTCAGGCGAGAGGCCCGGGCTGAACAATAAAGCGCCTTGCAAATTCGAGCGTGCGATCAAGAACTCGATCAGGCTCCATCGTCGAGTTCATCGAGGGGTCCAAAGATCTGTCCGCGTTGAAAAAGGACCGCACCAACCGATGCAAGTATTGCATAAGTTTCAACTGCATGTCGCTGGCCCAAACGAAGTCTGAAGCGATAGACTCATGTCGAAAAGGACTCGCCCTACACCAGTGCAGCTTTAATACTCCAAAAAGTTATTGCACTGGGGTGTCTTACTTGCTTTCTACGGAATTGGGCCTGCGATCAGGCTGGCGGCTATGTCGTCGCCGTCGTCGCGCCGTCGCCGCCTCGTCGCCGCCCGTCATCTGGGCCTCCGTGTCGGTCTGGCGGTAATGTCTTCGCCGACGCCGCCCCGTTGCCGCTTTGTCGCCGTCCGACTGCTCGGCCACATGGTTTCCCCTTTCCAGAAGAATTCGGGTCTACCCCCCCGGGTTAAGGGGTCACCTTGTTGTACCACAATTTGCATTCGATGTTGCCCCATAGTGCACCCGATATAAGATTCCATGCCATCCCAACCAGGACGGTATTACCCCCCGTCGTTTTCGCCAAATAAAATGCGAGCGCAGCTTCGCTCATCAGGAACCAGCAGCTTTCAATAATCCTTTGCAAAGAGCCGGGCGAAGTACACACGCGCGCGTCGTCGCGCGCGCACGCCAGATCATTAAAGAGCCGGTTTGTTTCCTAAGGCGAGTGTCGAAACAACGGATGTATACTCATGGGACAGATCGATATTTATATATACACATATATATATACATATATATATATATACACAAACACATATTATATATATATATATATATGCGTAAACACGCATAGTTTCGTAGCACGGATTTTCAGAAACCAAACACTCGGTCGCACGTGTTCTTGCGAGTTGTTCAGAGAACTACTAGGTTTTCCAGTATAGGCATAACATGCAACTAGCGTGTTTCGCGCGCGCACGTCGGAATCGTTCGAACGCGTTTGATATTTGGTCGCGTGCTGTTGCAAGCAGCCTCTGCTGCATATACGGAAACGTGCACGCGCGCGCGACCTCGCGCGCGCATGCCGATACACCAGATTAAGAACATGTGGGTTCCCAACTACAGTTTTCAAAACAGCCTGCGCTCGCGTTCGTGCGAATTTGGGATTCTGCTAAGCTGGCCTCTCGCGCCGCATGCCGTAGTCGTTCGATTGGCCTTGCGCGCGTCAAGTAATTCCACGAGGGCCACTCGTGCGCGTCGGCCACGCGCGCATGCCCATTTTTCTTTCTACAAACTTCATCGTCGACGCGATGACATCCACATCTTTGCCGGCGGGCGTGATCAACATCATTTTCATCGCCACCATTGCCACCACCGTCGTTATTCGCACAATCGCGTCTACCGTTGACGGCGTCGCCATGATACCGCGACCAGCCCACTCACCGACTTGCAGTGAAGTGCCCGCTGAAAAGTTCCCAGCGGCCAGCGCCACCGCAACCGCGTCGGGCGCGCCAAACTAGCTGGCCGCTGTGTGCGCGAGCGTGCGCGGGCTAGCAGTCCCGCAGAGATGTACGAGCCAACGCCAGTCACCCATCGAAATCGCCGCTGCATGGGTTGTGCAGACCAAGTTGCTGGTGGGTGGCTGGGATTTTTGCAAAAACATGTACTGTGCCAATTTGCCTGTGACGAAACAGTTGCACCACATAGATTGCACCACATATGTTGCAGCGCATACTTTACACCACGTTGATTGTGCTGCATCAGTTGCACAACGTATCGTAGGTGAGGGGGTGAGATCGAAGTGGAACGGAGAGCCCCCCTACCGGGAAATCGATTTCGGTTTCGTGTTCGTGCGTGCCGTGCGTGCGGGCGAGGCGAACCTGCGTGGGCGGGCGAGAAGAAAGTCTCCTGTGGCTGAGGCGCGGCCGGACCAAATGATTCTCCGCCGGGCGGCCGGTGGCGCGCGGTGTCCCGCCGGTGTCCCGCCGGTGTCCCGTGTGGCTGAGGCGCGGCCGGACCAAATGTCTCCCTTCGGGCGGCCGGTGGCCCGCGGTGTCCCGCCGGTGTCCCGCGGTGTCCCGCGGTGTCCCGCGGTGCCCCGCGGTGTCCCGCCGGTGTCCCCCGGTGTCCCGCGATGGTGATGATGATGATGATGATGATGATGATGATGATGATGGTGATGATGATGATGATGATGTGGATGATGACATGATGATGATGATGATGGTGATGGTGATGGTGATGGTGATGCGGATGATGACGCTGTTGATGATGCTGGTGCTGATGCTGATGGTGATGCTGATGATGTTGATGATGATGATGCTGATGATGATGAGGACGATGATGATGATGATGATGATCGAGTGAGATCGAGTGTGAAATAGATCGAGTGAGATCGAGTGATATCGATTGTGAGATCGATTGTGAGATCGACCGAGGGAGATCGATCGAGCGAGACCGATACTGAGATCGATAGTGAGATCGATAGTGAGACCGATCGAGTGAGACGTTGGTTCCTCCCCCCCGAACCTCCTTATCACCCGAAGGGTGGTCGTATAGGTATTGTACCACGGAGACAGCACAACATGGGTTGCACCACGCTGGCTGCACAGCAGGATTGCTCCACATACGTTGAAGACTGTACATGCGCACGCATGCACCTATATACATATATATATATATATGTGCATACGTCTATGTGTATGTATGTGTTTGTGTGTGTATATATACATACCAATGTGTATATCTAGCTCCGTCACAAGATTGTGCATCTGTGCAGGGAACAGTGAGTGCACGCCCCCCCGCGCAGGGCCTGCGACGCAGGGGCCCAGGGCGGCCCAACAAGGCGAAACCCCAAAAGGCCCGAGACCGTGGGGGAGGGACTTCCCCTCCAGAGCTCAGCGGGGTTCGAGAAATATCGAGCCAGCATCGTCATCTCTGCGTGGTGACAGGGCCGTGGGATATCGAACCTTCCGTAAGAGGCTCGTGCCGCCCGCGCGGCGTGGCGGCCGATGGCTCCACTGCGAAGGTGCAGCTGCTGGATCCCCGTGGAGTTGGAAAGGTGCCGACCTTCTCTGGCAAGCGGGAGGACTTCGAGAACCGGGTTTTCCCGCTCAAGGGTTACTGCAGGTTGCGCGGCTGGACGGCGGGCGTGGAGATGGCCAGGGGCGCGGCGAAAACGCTCGGGCCCAGAGGATCCGGGCGAACGGGCGTGCCAGCCAGCAGCAGTTTGCACCTCCAGTTGGCGATCGCCGCGAAGGGCACGGCGCAGAGCATCGTGAACTTGTGCCCGCGGGGTGATGGTTTCGAGGCGAAGGGGGGGCTGCGTGGCGAGCGGCGTGGATGAGGAACGCGGTCAGATGCACCGGCAGATCCTGGCGCCGCTCTGGTGGAAGGAGCGCGCGGGCATGGAGCGCTTCGCGAAGGTCCTGCTTGCCTGGGGCGAGCTGATCTCGCGCTACGAGCGCGCCGCGGGCAAAGAGGTCACGCGGGACATGGAAACGAGCGCGATCATGGCGCGCGCCCCCGGCGACGCGAAGGCGATGTTTCGGCCGGCGCAGAGGGGCGCGCGGAGCGACATCACGGCTGCATCTTCGAGGCGGTAGTCGGCCAAAGTGGCGCGATCGCACAGCCGCCGATGGCGGGCGTGGGAAAATGCAACATGGGCGTTGGCGCGGCCTCGACAGGCGGCAGGCGGCAAGGGCGAAGACAAGCGCCAGATCTACGGAAAACCGAGCCACGCTGCCCAGGATTACAATCGGCGAGACAGGGAGAAGTCCACTGGCGACGGCATAACGCGAGGCGCTGGAGGCGGTGGCAAGATAGGTTGCAGCAGGGGCAGCGAGGGCAACAGGGAAGGGCAGTTTCGCTGGGATGCGCGACTATTGCCACAGAGCGGGCCACAAGAAAGCGGGCTGCTGGAAGCGCGTGGCCCGCGTGAAAGCGAAGAACAACGCGGCGATCGAGCAGGGGGGCGCAGAACCGAAGCAGACGCCCAGATCGAGTTCGCCGGCAACGACGAGCGCGAGATCTGAGACGACGACCACCTACACTGCGCGGCGATGCGGGCAGACCTGCGACGAAGAGCCTTGCGCGATGGACGTCGACGGAACCGGCCCCGTGGCGTTGGGCGCGGTTGGCGTCTGTCGCGCGGACCCGCCCTCTCTTGGCGAAGGGTGCGTTCGGAAGGCAGGCGACGGTTTGAAGCTGCTGGGCGCGCAGAAGGTGGACGCCCACATGGACTTTATCGCGGCGGTGCCGATGGCGGTCGGCGGCGACAGCGAGCGGGCGAAGTTGCTGACGGCGGACTTCAGGCTCGGCGACGCGATGTCGGAGCCGACCCCGTCGCTGCTCGAGGTGGCGGGCAAGGGCGCGGAGTTCTGCCCAGAGCGAAGTCAGGCATGCGCATGCGCCAGGCGGCGACCTCAGCGAGAACATCGCGCTCACCGCGCGCGTCAACGCGCTGGGCGTCAACGCGAAACCCTCCAAGTCGAAGACGGAAGCGCGGGAGTTCGCGGCGAGCGCGAACTCCGACGCGCAGCGCGTTGAGGAGAAGTCCGTTCCATCGCGCGGGGCCGCAGGCAGTGGCGGGCCCGCGGCGGCAGCGGCCGGGCCTAGACCAGCGCTGTCGGCAGGGGCAGCAGCAGTAAGAGGAGGGTCGGGCACGCGAGCATTTCTCGCGGCAGCCAGAGCTACAGCGCGACGGCCAAGTGATCGCGCTGTCTCCCGGGGGCCGCGCGGAGGACGCGCGAGCGAGGTTGCGGGAGCTGGGGCCGTTGATCTACGGCAGGAAGAACGAGCGGTGGACCAGTCTCAGCGACGCGGGGCGAAGGATCACGGCGCGCCGCGACAATATGAAGGCGTTGGAGCCTCGGGCGCGAGCGGTCCGCCCAGGTGGCGCCTGCGATCGCGCCGCGGCAAGTTGCCGTGCCAGCGGGGCCAACGCTTGAGGGGGGGGCAGCCCGCAAGTTGCAGCACTTGGCGAGCGCCGAGAGGCGCGAGGCCTGCGCGCGCGGCAACGGGGCCACTAAGCCGCACAAGACGGTCACCTCTGATCAGATGAACGCGGACAAGGCTCAGATCACCGTGGACTTCTGCTCCTTGAAGACCAACAGCGATTGGGCCGAGGATGTCGACGAGGAGCCACTGGCAGCGGGCATCTTCGCGACGACGCTTGTGATGGCGGACAGTGGCGTGGCGATGTTCGACGCGATCCCGACGCCGACGAAAGCGTTTACCGACTGCGCGGTGGCGGGCGTTGCGGCTTCATCGAGGGCTCGCGCCCGACGACCGCGGGCATCGCGACGGACGGCGAGCCGACCATTTAGATTTTGGTGGAAGCAATGCGAAAGAAGCTGAGCAAGAACGCCAAGCAGGACGGGCGAATCAGGGCAACCAGACAAACAAAAAAGTCAGAGCACGAGCGCCATCGAGGCGCGCATCATACGGTTGCAGTCAAAGACGGGGGGACTTACAGGCTCGACAAGGAGAAGCGCTGCGGCATGAAGATCTCGGCGGACGCGTCGACCTGGCGATGGATTGCGCGCTGCGTGAGCTGGGCGACTTCAACATTCGAGCCGAGAGCCGGTGCGGGGGCATTTCAGCAGGCAGCCTACGGATCAACTTACCACGGCGATTTTCTCCCGTTTGCGGAATTCGCGAGACCACGCGAGGCAGGTCACGGCGGCGACGCTGAAGCGCGGTGGCGAGCCGAGCATCGCCGAGGGCATCTGGATCGGGGGCACAAGGAGAAAGGCGACCATCTGTTTCTGACGCCAGCAGGTTAGCATCGCGCCAGGGCCTGCAGGAGGCTGGGGCCTGCGCCGCGAAACGACGCGAAGTTTCCGAGGGCGGTCGCGGTTTTACCATGGGAAGCGCGGAGCGCCGAGCCGTGCAAGCTGCAACCGCGAATGCAGAGGCCCCTGCCCACGATCGCTCTCGCGGCGGCAGAGCAGACGGCTAAGGCAGAGGCGTAAGCAGCAGCAGCAGCAGCACCCGGTGGAGATGAACAGACGCGGGCGCCAGAGCAGGTTTCGCAACCAGCAGCAGAGGAGGCGCACGACTACTTGAACCGGCGACGACGGCAGGATCCGGAGCAGGAGCTGCAGCGGCAGCAAGTCCAAGCGGAAATGGCGATGGCGGACGACGCGCCACTACCCACCGAAGTCAAAACCGACCAGCTGATGACCAAGACTTTAGCTCACTTAACAAGCGATAGGCGCCTGGGAGCGATCTCGCTCGACGGCCCTGTCGACTGCTGCGTTCTGGACAGCATGAACACGGCGGCCTACGTCGCGGCCGGCGGCCTGGGCCCAGCGGGGGAATTCAAGGGCAAGCGCGAGGCGTTGGAGGTGCTGGCGCGCTACGGCGCGCACAGGGGCATCCCGAGGCGCGAGAGCTGGAAGTTCAAGATGATCAAGGCGTGCTTGGAGCCGCAGACGCGGGAGGGGCGTGCAAGTGCCGGCACGCGGCGCAGGAGTTCATGTGGGAGGAGCAGCGGGGCGACGCGTTCGCAGCGAGCTTTTAAGCACAGACGAGCCGACCGGCGCACTTCGTCCGCGTCGACGAGGAGCCACGGCGCGTTCATTGCGGACGGCGCGAAGGTCTAATCCCAGGCAGACGAGACGGAAATGGTGCGTGGAGCCACCTGCCGAGTACCTGGTGATCCTGGCGGAGTTGGGGAGACCGACAGACGTCGCGTGGGCGTTGGAGACGATGCTGCCAGGACAGCGCGCGGCTGGCGCTGGCTGGGTGGATAAGGCGGCGAGGACCTTGAAAGGCGAGGAATTTGGGCGACGCGAGTTCCAGACCCAGTTCTACGACCACAGGGGGGAGGAGGTCCTGATGGAGGTTCGCGCGGATGACTTCCACGGCGAGGGGCGCGCGAAGAAACGGGATGGCGCCGTCGCGCGGCTGTGGGAGGTCGACCTGAAGGCGACGCAAGTTATTGGGAAGGGACGCTGCTCCTGCCTGAATCGCGACAGGCCCAGGCGCATGAGCTGGGGCGCAATGCCCCTCCCGAGCGCAGAGCACACCGTGGACCTGGTATGCGCGATGTGCATCGACGTAGGAGGGGCCGACCTGGGGTCCAGAGCTGGGCGAGATCGAGACGGCAATGCACCGCAGCGACGTGGGCATTTCCCCTCGCGTTTCCCCCGACAGAGCCGACGTCCAGAGGGGCGAGGGGCTGCTGGCGAGCGGGCCCGAGCCAGCCGACGGAGTGCGACGGGGCGCGCTTGGTTAAGCTAGCGAGGTACCTGCAGCAGGCGAAGATATACGGAGTGCTGCTCAAGAAGCCGGTGGTGACATATCCCGGCGAGGTGAAGATGCATATGCGCGCGGACATGTACGTCGCGACGTGCAAGACCACGAGGAGAGCGATGACATGTGGGATCGCAAAGCTGGACGGGTTTGCATGTCTCGGCTTTCGCAAGGCGCCAGGGAGCCCAGACCACATTGTCAGTGGAGGTGGAGTTCTACAGGGCGACCTCAGTGGCGATCGGTGGCAAGCTCATTAAGAACGTGCTGGAGTGGATGGGCTACAAGGTGACCTGGGAGCTGTCGGTAGACGCTTGGCAGAAGCGCCGCAGAGGCCATGCACAACCGCGAGAGCGTTGGCAAGGCGGAACGTCGTGATGTCCGAGCGCTGTGGATTCAGCAGGAGCGGAAGCATAATGGCCTCAACGTGAAGATTGAGAGCGGCGAGACATGACGTACTGGACGTGGGACTCAAAACGCATCCTGTGGCGACTTTCGAGTACTTGCGAGACCCGGTGGACATTGTGGATTGCGCGGAGATGATCAAGCACGGGAAGCTGGAATTAATGTTGGTTGCAGCGAGCGCGAGTTGGGCAAGGCAGGGCCTGCATGTCACCGTGCTGACACACGGGGCGATCGCGAGTTTGGCGAGCACCTGCGAGCAGGACGTCTACGATGAGAGGCAGACCACCAGCCTGGTGGGAACGGTGATTCGCGACAGCTTCGATGAGAACGCGGTGGTGATCGCGGTGTTGCGCGCGGCGATGGCATTCGTGACTGGCCCGGCGCGCGGTGGGTTTTGCAAAGGCCCGTGGGCCCGCGCGAAAAAGAGCAAGGATATGAACTAACATGGGCAATGTAGCCAAGCGCAGGCCGCCAACGATATTTATGTGAAGAAGAAAGACGGAGGCCCGACGACAGCTCAGAAGATGTCGCATTCGACGTGCGCGCACAAGTGGATGAGCGAAAACCCGGGTTTCGCGGCGCTGCCATCTACGAGACAGAACTGAGCCTGAGGCGACTGGCGATGAGATCCAAATCGCCGAGTTCGACGAGTGCGCCTGCCCCCAGGCGCCGCGAGGGCGCGCGGGGATCAGCGAGCGCGCGGCCCCCCGTGCAGAGCCTGCGAGGCGGGGGCCAGGAGGGCCAGGCGAACGCGAGGCCCGAGGAGGCACGAGACCGCGGGGGATGGGCCCCCCTGCGAAGCTCATTTGGGCTCGAGGAACATTTGGCCAGCATCATCATCATCTCTGCAGTGATGTTCAGGCCGTCGCCGGGTTCTCCTGAGGGCTCCTGGGGCCCTGCGGGGGCCGACTCGGGACCGTGCGGGGCCGTCTTGGACCCTCCTGGGGCGCTTCAGAGCCAGACTCCCCAGAGGGGCCTGGAGTTGTGTCAGGTCAGTTTTCCAGGAACAGAGGGACTGGTTGAACTAGTACAAGTACATTGCACCGTACATGGATGCAGATGTGTCCACACATATATATATATATATATATATATATATATATTTGTATACACATGTGCACACTGCATCGCCGAGGTTGTTTTACATTCTCGCTCCACAGACTTTGCACAACAGGTTTGGCTTCGAATAGAAATCGCAACAGAGATTGCAACACAGCTGTTGTTGCACAGCGAGTAGTGCACCACGTAGACTGCAGCACATAGTTGCACAGCTTTGATCACTACGCACGTAGTGTACGTACATGGCTAGAACAACGTGGTTTGGGGGTACGCGCTGGTTAGCATATCTGCTCAATTTCATGCGCTCAAGCGAACGCCAAAGTTTGAACGCTGCGTTGACGCGAGAACTCCATTTTGAGCTCCCGCTCAGTCCGATTCAGTCATTGTGATCGTTGCGTAGTTTTGAAGGCTTGTGTGCAAAGTCAGAGCCTCAAATTTGCCATCAACCTTGGCATAACCAACCGGAGAGCTCCGTTTCTCTCCGCTCTGCTTCTCGGCGCGCCGCTCGCGTTCCCCTCCGGCTCTTATCCTTTGCCCCACTTCTCTATCCTTAGCCGCTCCCTGCTCCAATTGTCCGTCATTCGCTTGGCCCCGGAGGTGGCCCTCGAGGCTTTGGTTCTGGACCTCCCCGCCTCTCTTTTGCGCCCCCCCCCCCCTTTGCGCGACTGTCCACGGCGTTGCGCCTCCCGCGAGACATTCGAGAGCCCGGGCGCCCCCTCGAAAAGATCGCGAGAGCCCCGCGAAAAAATCTCATGAATCCTTCGCACCGTGCGCTGTCCTCTGAGGCGCCCCCAGGGCTACTTCGCCCCCGTGAAACACCCCTGGGCGATTCGCGAGGGCTGTTCCCGCGCGAGACCTCCCCGGGCGATTCGTGCGGGAACTGACCGGCGAAGACCCCCCCGGGCGACTCCACCGCTCGGACCGACACCCCCCCGGGCGAGTCGGCCCGTCCTGGAACCCCCCCGGGCCATCCAAGACCCCCCGCACCTTCCCGGGCGAGCGGGGGTGGCCACGGGAAATGCCCCCGCTTATAAGCTCCCCCTTTTTGATGGAATTCTGGCGGTGGCGATCCGCGCCGGGGCGGCAGTCGAACCCCCCTAGGCGATCGACCGCGGCAGATCCTTCCCACGTAAAGAAACAAACTAACCAAACAAATGAAACAACATAACACAGCACACAAAAACATACAAACAACACCAAATACCGTACGGAACATCAACAAACGCAAAAAAAAACACAACAACCACACACACGCACAAATAATGACTAAACTATGGCCCTGGCTTTGCAACCGATCATCCGCCACCATGGTAGTTGGCCAAAATACTCCCAAGACGAGTTTTACCAGCGTCGGGGCAATAACCTCATTTGGATAACGGACAATCCACTGGTGGTTGTGGCAAGGTTTTATGCCGACGGTGTGGGTAATGGGGACCTGGTATCAATTCCCAGGACCTTGTGGACTACTCCAATTGAAGACTTCCTCGGACTTGCGGAGACTTCCAGAGACCAGAATAGATGGGTTTCCTTGTTTCCGCCGCATCGTCGATGTCGTCTCGGCGAATCCCTCGTGACTCAAATATCTAGATCCCGACGTCGCCGATGCAGCGCCGTTGCATCGGCGATGCGGCGCGATCCTCCGACCCCATCTACACCGGCCCCGTTTGGGCGTCCTCCAGACGACCTCCTCTCCTCCTGTTCCCTGCTACAGGCGGTTGCTGAACTAGCTTACGTTCAGTTTCGTATTCAACCTGCTTGTCCGGATCATGCTATGATTTGTTCGTTTGTGAATTATCGCGCCGTGGCGAATCACCCCAAAGATGGAGGATTACACACAGTGTTCGCTCTTCGGTTGGGCGTTCGGGTTCATTCCCTTGCCGCTCGTTTCGCCTAGTCGCCCCCCAGGCCGCAAGGCGAGTACGAGTGATAGCTGTAGCAGTGGTAGTATAGCAGGTAGTCGGTAGTAGGTGAAAGTTCGGAGGTAGGTAATGGAGGTCGTGGTCGTAGTAGTGTAGTAATTTGAGCATGTTTAGAAGTACGTGTAGAAGTTGAACTATAAGTTAAAAGCAGGTAGGAGTAGCAAGTCTAGTACTACGTAAGGTGAGCCCACTTGGCCTTCCCGCTCGTTCCCTCTGCACTCGCCATCAAGCCCCGATGAACCATTATTGGACAAATGATGTTGGAGGAGCAAGAGCGCCGGTTTCAGTCTCTGGGTCCTCCGTGCCGACCGGCTCTTCGATGGCTTCTGGAGACGGAATTTGGAGATGTCGCGAGCGAGCCCCAAGCAACACAGACGTTGTCCGAGGCTGCGCAAATGGGGCTGGACCATATGGGGTTGGATGGTCGTGCTGCATTGCCGATGCATCGCCCATGAGGCTCGATTTGGAGCCTGAGTTTCTCCACGTCGACGCTGCAGAATCATCGGCGGTGCTGCTCCATCCTCCGACCCAGTTTATTCGGACCTCGTTTGGGCGGCACCTGGAGGATCTTCCCTAGATTCTCGACCATGGTGGTGTCAGCATGCTCGGTCCTTGTTCTCGGGGGTTAGTCAATACGACGCATCCGGTGATGTGGCGGGGACGTCGCGGGACAGTCTGCGGTTTTTCTTACACTTATCGGGGCCTTCGGGTCATTATTGTGACCCGCTTACCCGCTCTCTATCATGAAGTTTACTCGCCGAGTCTTCCCAAAGCAGCTGTCTCCTCCAGTTCTCGAATCACGGCTTGCTATGTCGCGCATGCGTTATGAAGCGTGCGCTGGCGAGTCGTTGTCGTTGTCGTCGCCGCCGCTTCCGTCGTCGTTGCTGTAGTCGTCGCAGTTTGCCCGTAGTGTTGCGTTGCTCCTGCTGCAAGCCTCGAGGCATGGACGACTCGAACTTGACGGTCAACGTGGAGGTCGAGCCGAGGGTGGCCGAGGCACCACCCACCGCGTCCGTAGACAGGCTAACAGCGATGTAGGTCACGGCGATGTAGGCTTCGGTAGTTTGGGAAGGCGTGGCTCGCGTGTTTCTGCAATTCGTTGTGTCGTGCTCGCTCGATCCATGCGCAGACTGGAAATGTCGGCAAGTGTGGTTCGAAAGTTCCCACAGTTTGCTTCCCAGTACCACCGTTCAGCAATCAACGTGGAGCAACATCGCCGTTAGCCCACTCTTGGCGCGTCTCTCTGTGGATCGGCCAGATGGGGGGGGCGCTAGCTACGCACGCACACCTGTGCCGGCCTCCTGCTTGCGTCTCCCCTCCTCTCCGGGAAGCCCAACAGAAACGTCCAGAAGCCTCGATCGTCGTTCCTCGGGAAGGGCCGGGGGGGGGGAAGAGCTGAAGGTAGAATGGAGGACGCCGCCCCCTCCCCCTCTTTCTCCTCCTCCTCTTCCTCCTCCTCCTCCTCCTCCTCCTCCTCCTCCTCCCACTCCTCCTCCCCCTCCTCCCGCTCCTTTTCCTCCCCCTCCTCCTTCTCCTCCTCCTCCTCCTCCTCCTCCTCTTCTTTTTCTCCCTCTTCCTGGACGGCGGAGGCGGCGTGCCTGGGAGGGGCAGGAGGAGGCAGACGGCGGAGGCAGGCGGAGGCGAGAGGAGGAGGAGGAGGAGGAGGAGGAGGAGGAGGAGGAGGAGGAGGAAGAGCAGCGAGAGGAGGAGGAGGAGGAGGAGGAGGAGGAGGAGGAGCAGCCAGAGGAGGAGGAGGGGGAGGAGGAGGAGGAGGAGGAGGAGGGAGGAGGAGGAGGAGGAGGAGGAGGAGGAGGAGGAGGAGTGATACTTCGGGCCGCCTGCCCAGCAGCGGCTGCTGTCGGTGTGGGGCAACATTTCTCGTTGGGCAGTGGCCAAAATGGCTCGTACCCATTTCGGGCGTCCAAAAGGTCGGAGGCGGACACGGTACCAATATCGCCTCCCTCCCCTCGCTTTTGTCCCTATTGGGCCTCCTTGGAGGCCCTCGTCGCCGCGGCGGCTGTTTTCGAGGAGGGGGGAGGAGGAGGAGGAGGAGGAGGAGGAGGAGGAGGAGGAGGAGGAGGAGGAGGAGGAGGAGGAGGAGGAGGAGGGCGACGACAGCGTGAGGGAGACGCGCTCCGCGGCTGGTTGCGTGACTCGAGGAGCGGCCCGGGATGGGTCTTCCAGACGGTGTCCGCGGGGGCCCGTTTTGGCCGGATCCAGGTCGGGAGTTGGAGGAGGAGGATGAGGAGTGCAAACCCAAGGCTCATCTACGATGTTGTTTCCTTCCAAGCTCCCTCTTCAGAGGCTGCTACATCGATTCATTCCCACTGAAAGAAGTCTTCCGTCGAGAGAAGGCCGCTTGAAGTCCCGCTCGTCTGCCGAAGCAGTATTCTCGGGACTCCAACGCCACGAATCAACGTGACTGTTGCGTCTTGACGATCCTGAATCGTGCCAGAACATTATTCGTCGGACCTCCACACCGCGAACCAACGTAAGTGTTGCGTCCCGACAATCCTGAATCGTTCCAAAATCTATTTCTGGTACGTTGACCGTGGGAATCCGTGAAACTCCTGCAAACGATTCAATCGAATGTGCGCGGCGTTCGGGCGAGAGATAAATGTTGAACACCAGCCGCCCACAATCCGTGAACTCTCTAGCACATGTTTAAGGCGATTGTGCGCGGCGCTCGGGCGAGAGCCACATTTTGAAAACGATCCGCCCTCCATCCGTGAAGCCCTTGCAACGTTTGCAAATGAATGTGCTCTGCTCTCAGGCGAGAGCCACCTATTGAGAACCACCCACCTTTCATCCGTGAAACACTTGCGACTGTTTGAGACGAGTGCGCGCGGCGCTAAGGCAAAAGCCACAGTTCGGGCACGACCCGCCCTCCATCCGTGATACTCTTGCAACTTTCTGGAACGAATGTTCGCGGCGCTGCGGCGAGAGCCACATTCTCAAGACCACCTGCCCTCCATCCTTGAAGCTCTCGCACCTTTGAAGCAGAAAAGCAAATGTGCGCGGCGCCAAGGCGAGAGCCACATGTTGAAAGCCAGCAGTACTCCATCTGTGAAAATGATGTCACATTCTACGTTGCACGATCAGAAGCGGTAAGGGAATCACAGGCGAAACGCTTGTCCCGACCGACCTCGGGGTGCGACAGGGAGGAGTCGTTCATAAGGAACAGGATTGGAGGAGGAGGAGGAGGAGGAGGAGGACGACGACGACGAGGGGGAGCTGGGCCAGCTCGGAGGCAGCTTCCTGGCAACAGTGCCGCTGGCGGTGCGAGGTGTGTTGGGAGCGAGCGAGCGGGCGCGCTCGGAGTGACTTCCCTGAGTTCTGGTCGTTGCAATTTTGTAACACCGAGCGTTTTCGCCCGGTTTTGGGCTCCGGGGCCGTGTCGGTCCCTCGCTCGGCTCTGTCGGGTCCTGGTCCGTCCCTCGTTTTTTTCGGCCCTTCTTCGGGCCCCTCGCTCGTCGTTTCGGCGCCACGGGCAGGAGTGTTCGGCAGACGATCACCCGCGCGCAAATCAAAAGAAAAAAACCCAACGTATCGCCCCCCAGCAATTCGCGCCCAAGGGCACCTGCGCACCCGTAGTGGCGGGCACTCAGGCAGTACGTCAGAGACTGCAGACGTGTGCAAACCCAGTTCGGCCAAGCACAGGCCGCCTCGATTTATCGAGTCGTTGGAGGTCTGGATCGGCGACGGCGCCGGCGGCCGCTGTGGCAGCGACGGCGCCAGCGGCATCGGCGGCGATGGCGCCGGCGGCGGCTGCGGCGCTGGCGGCGGCGCTGGCGGCGGCAGCGGCAGCGGCGACGGCGGAGGCGGCGTCGGACCGCCGCCTCGGCGGCGGCGGCGGCGGCGGCCGGGCCTCCCCGCAGGTCGGCGAGGGCCTGGCGCCGCAGGTGCAGCGCTTCATGGCGCAGGACGGGGGCGCGATCCTGCAGGCCCTCGGCCCGCCCTGCAGATCGGGCGGCGGCGCCCCCTCGGGCCTCGGGCGGGTGCCGCGGGGTCGCCTTCTGCGTCCCCGAGAGCCTGGCGTCTCCTCCTTTGCTTCTCGAGCAGGGCGGTTTCGCCTCCGCCTAGGGCGCCACAGGACCCTCACAGCTCGAACTCCGCTCGAAGCGTGGCGCCGAAAGACGGGGTCCAGGGCTCTGGGGGTGATGTTTTACGACGTTGCATGTTTTTCGCCACGTCGGATCTCAGGAGTCTTCGCCTTCGGTCGTCGTCTTCGCCCCATCGTCGTCGCACGGCGTCAAGCAGTGGCAAAGCGTCTCGGCTTGCCTACGTATGGGCCCACCAAAGAACCTTTGGTGGTTTGCACGACATGTTCTTAGAGCATCCGTAAGGTCTTCGCCCCAATGCCGCCAGCCCCCCTCTCCTAGAACGGGACTTGCCCGAGCTGCGTTGGGATGTCTGGACGCTGACGTGAAGCAATGTCCGGACTTACGCGAGGGCCAATCTTAATTTACAAGGGTTTATGGCTTTGGGCTGCGCGAGTATTACGTAATGTACTATGGTGTATGGCTTCGGGGACGCGAATATGGTGTAATTTACAAGGGGTTGTGGCCTCGGGGACGCAAAGTTTGCGTAAGCGGGCGCAGCAATTGCTTAATTTACAAGGGTTCATGGCCTCGGGGACGCGAATATCGTGTAATTTGCGAGGGTGTGTGGCCTCGGGGACGCAATCATTGTGTAATTTACGAGGCTTTATGGCCCTGGGGACGCGAACGTGGTATAATGTTTAAAGGTTTACGGTTTCGGGGGCGCGAATCTTATGCAATCTACGTGGGTTGACGGTCTCGGGTGCGCAAACATTATAATTCATTCGTTTATGGTTAATGTTGAAGGGTTTGTGGCCTCGGGGGCGCGAACATGGCGTAATTTACTAGGCATTATGGCCTCGGGGACGCGAATATCATGTATGTTGACCTGTCCCACGCCCCCCCCGGGAATTCAGCCAACGCGATCTGGGGGGTGGGCAAAAACTGGTTTTGGGCTCCTCCCCCTTGCGCGTTCAGCAACAATTCACAGTACAGGAGCAGAAAACAGGACTGTAACCTTGGAAACTGAAAGCTGCAACTGGAACGCGGAGCTGCAAGCCTAACCCTCGCAGCCTGGTGGCCCCGCAAGGGGGCCGGTGGATTTCTGGCTGAGACTGTCGTGTTTCAACATAGCGGCTGTTGTTGTTCTGAAGTAATCTAAGGGTTCTCAGAACATTTCGCGGTGGGCCTAGAGGAATGCCTGGACGGTCGGCCCCTGCTCAACGGCACGGGCGGCCCCGGCGAAGACGTTGAGGCAGTCGGGCGTGTCCCTCTACGGGAAGAAGACTCCCAAATAGCCAACAATACTCTGGGGACGATTTTTCGATCATTGCTTGACAATTTTGACGGATTTCTTTTGCATATCACCGAGCGCGTTCCACTATTCGCAAAGTGCCTACTCGCAAACGCCCGAGACATAGTTTGTTGCCTCGACTTCATGTATCGTGCATCCCCCCGCGGCGGATCTAGGCCATTTGCGAGCAGTGATTTTGCGAGTCGTGTAGCGTGCTTGTCTGGCATATGTTTAATGTTTCGTCCAAGACCCGCCTGTAGGAGGACGTGCCCGACCTAGCGTTAAGGCGGGCGTGTCCATCTACAGGAGGAATGTTCAAAAACAAACAAAAAATAGTCCTTCAAAATCCGCCTGTAGGAGGACGTGCCCGACCTAGCGCTGGGGCGACGGGGGCCGCGGCGGCCATATGGCGGAGTGGCCCGCGCGGGGGGGGGGGGGCGACGCCGCGCCGGGGGGCTGCTCGGGCCAGGGGCTGCGCGCGGGCCCACCAGGACAGGTCGAGTCGGAGGTTGATAGACCTCCAACCCTGACACGTCGATCAGTGAATTGGCCGTTTGCGGTTCGCGGCAGGGCGTCGCGGCCGTCATCTTTGCGGGTCCAGGTCCGTTGGTTTCGGCCCCAGGCCGTTTTCATTAACCGAGTGCCCCCGATGATAAAGGATACCCCCCTTCTGTCCCCCCTGAATATTTGCTTATCCCGTGTCAATATGATGTAATTGTGGAGAGGGCGCGGAGGCCGAATCTGATAATCCCCGGGGGAAGTTGCGAATCGAAGTTGGAATCATCTTATGTTGACTAGCAACAGCATCAAAAACGCTGAGCATGGCAATGGTGGTCTCACCATTTCAGCTTCCGCAATCACGAGCGTGTAGCAGGGTTATGGGGTTCTCCACATTTCTGTTTTTCGAAGTCACGATCATGGGTGCCGAGCCTGCATGGACGAGTGGTTCGAGGTCGTGCGCAAGAGAGGTTTCTTGGCCAGGAGCGCCAAGGACTTCTCTTGCGCAGGCAAGTTGTAGCCACGATACTCGGGATCTCTCGAGTCAGTCATGTGCCAAGATCTACAAGGTTAGTCTACACGAGCGCTCAGGATCATCATCATTATCATCTGCATCATCCACATCATCATCATCCTCATCATCGTCGCCTGGAAAATCGCTGATTATCCCCGCCTGACCCCCGTACTTTATTATCCCCAGGGGATTATCATCGGGAGCACAAGGCTACATGGAGGCTTATTGCGCATGGATTAAGGGGGCGTGGATTAGCGACGTCGCGTTTTCATGGGGACTTGCGGATTGCCGCCGCCGAGCGAGGCTGCACTGGCCGCACTTTGGGAGGGTGCCTCCCCGGATCCACGGATTTGGCGACCGCGCGCCAAATCCGTGGATCGCTAATCCATGTTTGCGCGCCCCCGACACCAAGACAGGTCGAGCGTCATGGAACGAGAACACGACGCAAGCATACACATCTGTCGTTGCAAGTGGGTGTTTTTGGAATCCCAGACTCCGGTTCGCCTTGAAGCGCCCCCCTGCTTCAGCGATCGAGTGGCTTCCCCTCTTCCCTCCTCTTCAGGGGGCGGGCGGAGATCCAATCTTCTTCCAACGCCTTTTTACGTATATTTCTACCCACTTCTTCCGACCGATGGGTAAACTTTTGGCGATCCGCGCGGGTTTCTCAGATCCGCGTTGGGCCACCCCCGGCTGCTCCTCTGGCGCCGCCCCTGGCGCGCTCTGCTCGCCAGGGAGGGGGACCAAACGCAGATCCGCGAAATTCGCGCGGAGTTCCAAAGGTTTCTGCTTATGCCGTGATGCTTCTTCTATGTCAGCTCGCGCGAGGAAGGCGTGATGGTTTTACTTCGGGAGTGCTCTGATGGTACGACGGATTTCTCTGTGGCAGCTGAAAGATTGCAGCGCAAGCCGTTGGATCTGCGACGACCTCATGCATGCGACGAGCCGCTACAAGAGAACGCGTGACGTGTGCAACACAATTGCGATGCGCAATGCGCGGAAGGGTGATGGGGGAGAGGGATGGGGAGGACTGATGAAGACGAATGAACAGGGTGACGGTGGTGAGGATCAGGATGCAGCGGATCGTCGTGTGGCTAAGTGTGGTATTTGTGATGGTGATGGTGGTGATGATGATGGTGGTATGATCTTGGAGGATGAAGAGGATGACAATCCCTAATGATTTGCCCCCGAGGATGATGACCTTTGCCGAGAAGGAGTACGACGACGATGCCGATGACGATGGTGATGATGATGTTGATTATGATGTTGATCACGACGCCGATGGTTTTGATGACGACGGCGATGGCGAAAAGTACGATGACCATGCTCATGATCATGATGAGGATGCTGATGATGTTGATGTTGCTGGTGGTAAAGATGATGCGGTAATGATGGTATGGGTGTGATGATGCTTAGGACGGTGGCGATGATTATGCTGTTACTGGCAAGTGTGATGATGATGCTGATGAGTATCATGATGATGGTGGTGTTCATAGTGTTGATAATGATGATGCTGATGCTACTGATGCCAATAATGATGATCATCATGCTGATGATGGTGTTGTTGCTGCTGAGGTTCATGGAGGCGATGCTGATGACGATGATGATAATCAATGTTATGTTGTTTGTGATGGTGTTGGTTGTGGTAATGACGGTGATGATGATGAGGATGATGATGGTGACGATAGTAATGATGATGTTGATGATGGATATCATGATTATGATGATGTTGATGATGCTGTTGATGATGATGACGATGATGATGATGATGGCGGCGATGCTGGTGATGGTGATGATGTTGCTGATGATGATACTGATGATGATGATGATGATGATGATGATGATGATGATGATGATGATGATGATGATGATGATGAGTATGCATGGATCTGAGGAAGGGGAGGACGACGACGGACGATGATGATGACGATTTTGCGATTGCAGATAAGACAGTTGACGATGATGTTGCTGCAGATGGTTCGGATGAATGGTGTGATGGGGAGGCAGGTCAGTAAGGACATTTGGGGAGGCTAATGTGTGTAGGGGCCCCGATGAGATGGGGGACATGTGGGAGATAGGAGGGGAAGAATGGCGGAAGATGAGCCATGAGGATAAAGGAAGGCGGGTGGCGGTGGACGAGGAGGAGGAGTCAGGATGAGGGGGAGAACAGGATGAGGGCGACGGGGGTGGAATGCAGATGGAGCAGCGAGCGAAGAGGATGAGGGAGGGAGGGAGGAGGCGGAGGAGGAGGAGGAGGAGGAGGAGGGGATGGCTGGGCGGAGAAGGATGAGGCGGCGGTGGCCCTGGCTCCGAGCAGGCGATGGCCCAGGAGGGCTGGGAGATTAACACTGTGGACGCGGGCCGGGGCCTCTACGAGATCCTGCTGCCCTCGGTGAGGTACGAGGTCGCGGGGAGGACGTGAGCACGGCCTTTTTTTTAGACCTCGGCGGAGGAGGAGGGAGGAGGAGGGAGGAGGATGGAGGAGGAGGAGGAAGGAGGAGGAGGAGGAGAAGGAGGGGGGAGGAGGAGGACGAAGAGGAGGAGGAGGAAGAGGAGGAGGAAGGAGGAGGAGGGGGTCGAACTTCGAGGATGGAGCTGAGGGCGTCGGATTGCTGGGGAACGCTCTTCGCTCTTGTGATGAGGGGGCTTCGGGTTCGGGGGGGCTCCTCGTCGCCGCGGCGGCATTCCCCGCGGAGCCCTGGCCAGAGATTGCAGCACTCATGCGCGAGGGAGGAGGAGGAGGAGGAAAAGGAGGGGGAGGAGGAGGAGGAGAAGGAGGAGGAGGGAGGAGCAGGAGCAGGAGCAGGAGCAGGAGCTGGAGCTGGAGGAGGAGGAGGAGCTGGAGACGGACAGGAGTGAGCAGGAGGACAGGAGGAGTAAAAGGAGCAGGAGGTGGAAGGAGGACGAGGAGGAGGAGAAGGGGGCAGAGGACGAGGGAGGAGGAGGAAGAGGGAGGAAGAGGGAGGGGAGCAGGAGCAGGATGCGCAGCAGGAGGAGCAGGAGGAGAAAGGGAGGTAGGGAGGGAGGGTCACGAGCGAGAAGGAGGGAGGGGGGGAAGGGAGGACGAGCAGGAGGAGAAACGGAGGGAGGGAGGGGGTGGGAGGGAGGAAACGCGGGAGGGAGGGCGGGACGGAGGGAGGGCAGGAGCGAGGGAGGAGGGGAACGGTCGAGGTGCCCGAGCGTGACGACGGGCAGCGCCGACGCGCGAGGCGGCGGCGGGCTCCGTGCGGCCGTGGCCTTCCTTTCGCCTTCTCGCGCCTTGAAGCAACGACGGGCGGCATTTGAGCGACGTGAGAACTTGGCTCATGTGACGAAGGGAGGAACAACCACCCGGACCGGACAACTGGCGTTGAGTGCACGGCCCTGGGCGTTTGGTAAACAGCCCTGCTGTTCGATTCCTTCTTTGGGCGCGCGTTGGCTAAAGGCCTCGCGTGTCAGGGTGGTTATTATCGGGGTGGATTTTCTGACCTCTAGTCATATGACGAAGGAAGGCATGTGGTGATTACTGTTCCCCCTGTGTGGTAGTTAGTCAGCGATGTCGAGACTCAGGGGACGGAGGAGGGTGGACCCCTGCCATAGTGGCCACGTCACGGGTCGGTACGGTACGGTCCAGTATCGGGGGCACGCAGTACCGGTGCGTTGCATTTGGTTGTGACCAGGGGTGCCAGTAGCGCCGGTACGGTAGCAGAACCCTGCGGTACCTATGCTGGTGCGCTGTCAGGAATGCGCGGTGCCAGCACGGTTCCGCGTCACGACCGGTACCAGCACGTTAGCACGACCAGCTTTTGCTCGTATCCTCCTTCTTCACAGGTCCCCCCAGGAAGGGGAGAGGCAGGAACGGAGGCAGTTCACGGGACTTTCCTCCAGGAAGGGGGGAATTCCGCGTTGCCCTGACGGAGCCTTTGAATTCGAGACCCAACAGGGTGCCGGGTGCTCATGTGTTCGGGCACCACGTTTTGGCCTACGTTCGCTGATGTTGTAGCCAACCGCCCAAAATCTCTTGGGCGAATCCTTCCCAGAACGCTGTGGGCAAAGCTGTTGCTGCTGTGAGAAGGAGGAGGGCGGAGGAGGATGGAGGAGCAGGCGGAGGAGGAGGAGGAGGGGGAGGAGGGCGGAGGAGCAGGTGGAGGAGGAGGAGGAGGAGGAGCACGAGGAAGAGGAGGACGGAGGATGGGGAGGAGCACGAGGAGGAGGAGGACGGAGGGGGACGGAGGGGGATGCGGTACCCCGCACGCCTGAGCCGAGCCCTCCGCTCTCCAGCACCGTCTCGATCCCGTCGCCGCGCTTCCTGGCCACGGTGCGCGGCTCGTCCCGGAGGCGGGGGGCGCCGGCCGGGCCTCTCTCCTCCCCATCACTTGCCTCCCCCCTCCCCCCTCGGCCTTGCCCACTGCCCCCCCTCCCCTCCTGCTCCTCTGCCTCCTCCTCCTGTCCACCCCTCTTCCCCTCCCTCGCCTCTGCCTTCTCCTTTTGTCCGCCCCCCTCTGTTGCACTGTTGCACTGCTGTGTCACAAGTCCACTCCAGGAGCAGAGAGCGACAAAAATACGTAGCACCCCGCAATTGCGGATAAGAGTGAGGGGGCGGGCGCGGGCGACGCGGGCGTCGTCGAGCCGGCGGACCTCGTGGCCCCCACCTCCCTTGTCGATGGCGCTCTCCTCCACCTCCTCCTCCTCCTCCTTCTCCTCCTCTTCCTCCTCCTTCTCCTCCTCCTCTTCCTCGTCCTCATCGTCATCGTCATCCTCCTCCTCCACCTCGTCCTCCTCCTCCTCCTCCTCTCTTCCTCGTCCTCCCTCTCCCCCCCCTCGTCTTTTCATCATGGTCCTCCCATCGTCGTCCTTCCCCTCATCGGCCTCCATCATCGTCCTCCCATTGTCGTCCATCATCATCATCCTCCCCATCCTCCCCCTCCTCGTCCTCCTCCTCCCCCTCCTCCCCCTCCTCCCCCTCGTCCTCCTGCTCCTCCTCCTTTTCTTTCTCCGCGTTCTCCTTACACCCGCTCTTCTTCCACGTTCTCCTCGTCCCCTGTTTACTCATCCTGCCTCCCCCTCCTTTCCCAAGATAACTGCAACGCAATCCTTTTTTCCACTTTATGCTCCCCGCCTTCTCTGATCAAGGCAACTCGCCAGGGCAAAGTTGCTGGACGGGCTGGCGTGGATGTGCGGGGCGTGAAGAGGTCCTTGCGGGCTCAGACGGCATGCAAGAATCCGCCGCCGCGCTTGTGCGGCGTTGGTTTGTTCAGTGAACGTGGTTTAGGTCGCGGGTGGGTCGCGGGCTCTCCGCCTCCACCTGGAAGGAATGCAAAAGCAGCCAGCCGCAAGCGCCAAAAAAAATGGTTCGTACACGGAACGAGGTTTGGGTCGCGGGTGGGCCGCGGGTTCTCCACAGGGAACGAATGCAAAGGATGCCCGCCGCAGGCGCCGAAAATATGGTTTGTACCCTGAACGTGGTCGCGGGTGGGCCGCGGGCTCTCCACCTGAAACGAATGCGAAATATGCCCGCCGCAGGCGCCGAAAAATGTGGTTTGTACCCTGAACGTGGTTTGGGTCGCGGGTTGGTCGCGAGTTGGTCACGGGATGTGTCGCGGGCTCTCCAATTGGAAGGAATGCAAAAAAGCCCGCCGCAGGCGCCGAAAATTGTGGTTTGTACCTTGAACGTGGTTTGGGTCGAAGGTGGGTCGCGGGTGGGTCGCGGGGTAGGTCGCGGCTGGGTCGCGGGTGGGTCGCGGGTGGTCGCGGGTGGGTCGCGGGCGGGTCGCGGGGTGGGCCGCGGGGGGGTCGCGGGGTGGGTCGCGGGTTGGGTCGCGGGGTGGGTCGCGGGGTGGGTCGCGGGGTGGGTCGCGGGGTGGGTCGCGGGTGGGTCGCGGGTGGGTCGCGGGTGGGTCGCGGGGTGGGTCGCGGGGTGGGTCGCGGGTGGGTCGCGGGGCGGGTTGCGGGTGGGACGACGACAACAAACAACAACAACAACAAACAACAACAACAAGAATCCGCACCGCGGAATTCCACATCAGCCACGCACCCAGGGACAGTGAATGACCGTTCGGCCCCCTCACTCTGATATGGACGGGAGGCTAAGGCGACGCTTACGGAGAAGCAGGAAGGCCGAGACGGAGGGAGGAAAGAGGGAAAGAGGAGAATAAGCGTCGCCGAAGCCCCAAACCCAAAACCCCGCCTAGGCCGGTCCCAGGACAGGGTGGGTTCATTGCTGCTGGCAGTCGGCCTGCTGCGGGGGCCCGATGCCAGAAGCGTCTGCACTCGGCGGCGCCGTCGGGCCAGGATCAGAAGTCGCAGGGCTGCGGCGATGCACCGCCCTCTTGCGGCTCGACCCCGTGACTCCACGGCGATCCCGATATCCGCACGAGCCAGCACTCCGATCTTCGCCGTCAAGATCGGGATCACCCTGGCGAAAAGATCCAGGGGCAAAACGAAAAGGAGTTCCTCGAAGCCTTTCCTCGTGCACCTCCTCCACGTCCCCGCCCGACGACACGAGGGAGGCGTCCTGGGTGCGTAGCTTCTCCGAGGGCCCCCTGTGCTCCAGGTGCTGCTCCGCGAGCCGCCAGCCCGCCTCCAAGCCGTCCGCGAAGATGCGAGTCTCCGAGTCGGGGCTGAGAGGCGGCCAGATGCCAGGAGCAGGCCAGCCCGAGCACTCGTCCTCCACGCCCTCGTCGATGGGGAAAGCGCAGGGAGGCTGAAATCCCAGCGCCTCCGTGCCAGGCACAGTCACGCTGCGCAGCTGACCATCCAGCACCTCTGCATGGACCTCGTGGGTGTGCATCTCCCCAAGCCGAGGCCCTGCAGCAGCGCATGCCTGGTCGGCCTCAGAGGCGGCTGCGAATCCCACCGCTGGGATGCGCGCCGCGTGAAGTGCGGCATTCCGGCGCCGCCGTCGCACCCCAGGGGCCCGGCGCCCGCTGGCCGCGAGCACCAGCGCCGGCCGCGCCGCCCGCTCCCGATCTTGCCAGGAGCCTGGGCGCGCCTCTGCCTCGGCCAGCTTGCGCAGGGCGTTCTCGCAAGCTTGCCTGCATCTCCGCCTGGCCCTTCTTCTCGCAGCCGATCTGCCCAGGGCGGCATCCTCCTGAGAGCGGAGCGAGTTAGGCCGCCACAGAAGCGGGCGGCCACCCGTAGCAGAAACCTTGAACCCCTCCGAGAGCTCCGCCATGGCCACAGGACGCGGCGGAGGGGAGATGGAGAGAGCCGCTCTCGAGCGCAGCAGCAGACGAGATAGGCCAAGCAAGCACCTGCCTGCCTGGCGCCCAAGGCAGGCTTGAGCCAAAACGGCTTGAGCCAAAACGGCTACGGAGTGTCCGCTCCCCTCCCTCCTCCCTTCTGCCTCCTCCCGTCCCTCCTCCTCCTCCTCCTCCTCCTCCTCCTCCTCCTCCTCCTCCTCCTCCTCCTCCTCCTCCTCTGGGCGCCGCAAGGGGCCTCCAGAGACCCTTGGGCATCCTCCTTCTCCTCTGCCACCTTCTCTTGTGCCTCCTCTGCCTCCTCCTCCGCTTCGTCCGCTTCCTTCTCCTCCTCCTCCTCTGGCGTCCCCTCGTCCTCCTTCTCCTCGTCCTCCTTCTCCTCCTCTGCTCCCCCTTCCTCTCCATCCCTCGTCGTCGTCGTTGCCTTCTCCTCCGCTTCGCTCCCCCTCCTTCTCCTCCTTCTCCTCCTCCTCCTCCGCTTCGCTCCTCCGCCTCCTTCTCTTCCTTCTCCTCCTAGCTGGCGAGCCTCTTCACGGTGCACCAGCCTGCTTTTCTTGTCTCCGCCTCGGTCTTTCTCTTCCTCGTATTCCTCCTCCTCCTCCTCGTCCTCCTTCTCCTCCTCTTTCTCCATGGTCTAGTCGCGGCGCAGTCCGTGGTGCGCCGTCTTATCCGCAGGGAACTGGCTTATCCGCGGTGTCCTGGCCAATCTGCGTGGTAACGGCCTTTCCTCAGTACGACCTCTCTTTGTTGCGGATAGGAGTGGGAGGGCGGGCGCGGGGTGGGTCGCAGTTGGGTGTCGGGTGGGTCGCGGTTGGGGCACGGGCGCGGAGGACGACAACAACAAACCAACAACGCACCAGCTTTCCGCACCGCGAAAACCCCTTTCAGCCACGCGCCCAGGGGCAGTGAGTGACCGTTCGGCCCCGCACTCCGAGGCCTGGGGATGTGTGCGCTCCTCTTCCAGCTCTGCCACTACTCCTTCTGGTCCTCCCTCTGACCTCTAACCCTCCCTCCTGCTCCGTCCTTCTCCTGCACCCCCCCCCCGTGGGCATGAATCGGGAGGGAACGGAGTGTCAGTGACACGCCTGCGTTGGCACCCCGTCAGCACATCACCCCTCCGTCTTCGTACGAAGACATGGCGGATCTTCAGCAATAGTTGCGGACGACGGTCAATGGAGAGTCAATGTCGAAACATGTTTTAATATTTTCGCAATCATGTAAAACTCATGTTTGAATAACACATGTTTCAAACCGTGTTTCAAACTTTTTGGACGCAGACTTAATTTAATGACAGGACTGTCAGGGTGTCCACTGCCATGGCATCCACAAAGCAATAGCACTTCAATGAGTTCCTCACGGCAGCGCGTCATGGACGTTGTGTTTGCCCCCTTTTCCAACAAAAAATGAAAGAGAGGGTGCCCTGAGGGAGATGCGGCTCCCGAGGTTGTTCGCCGCTTCTGGTCTCTCTGGGCCTTCCGTGGGCCCCGGGACTGTCGAATAACGCCCAGGATGAAAAAGGTGGTTGCGGAGAGGACCCGGATCCAGGACCCGTCTCCCTCAGTGGGGGAACGAAAAGTGACATCAAGATAAAAATTCGGAGGCCCGCGCGGAGTTCTCGGATCGGCGTTGGGCCCCTGCCTTCCCCAATCGACGGCGAGCGAGGGGGGGAGTGAGGAGGAGCAGGCTTTCTCAGTAGACTCGGAAGTCCTCAATCATTATGATGCGTTTTTTTAAGCCTTTGCCGAAGACGCAGAAAACTTCTGAGAGGGCGCGAAGGCTTCAGAGAAGTCCCGCCGCCTTCTGATAAGGCCTCCTCCTTCGCATGGGCCGCAGTGTCATTCTGAGTCCCTCTCTGACGGTCCCGGGCCGGGGAAGCGGCAGCGACGGAAAGCCCGGCGGTCACGATCTCATAGCGTCGACCAGGTCTGAGCGTCTCCCCTCCTGATTCCTCCTCTGCCTCCTCCTCCGCTTCGTCCGCTTCCTCCTCCTCCTCCTCTGGCGTCCCCTCGTCCTCCTTCTCCTCGTCCTCCTCCTTCTCCTCCTCTGCTCCCCCTTCCTCTCCATCCCTCGTCGTCGTCGTTGCCTTCTCCTCCGCTTCGCTCCCCCTCCTCCTCCTTCTCCTCCTCCTCCTCCTCCGCTTCGCTCCTCCGCCTCCTTCTCTTCCTTCTCCTCCTAGCTGGCGAGCCTCTTCACGGTGCACCAGCCTGCTTTTCTTGTCTCCGCCTCGGTCTTTCTCTTCCTCGTATTCCTCCTCCTCCTCCTCCTCCTCGTCCTCCTTCTCCTCCTCTTTCTCCATGGTCTAGTCGCGGCGCAGTCCGTGGTGCGCCGTCTTATCCGCAGGGAACTGGCTTATCCGCGGTGTCCTGGCCAATCTGCGTGGTAACGGCCTTTCCTCAGTACGACCTCTCTTTGTTGCGGATAGGAGTGGGAGGGCGGGCGCGGGGTGGGTCGCGGTTGGGTGTCGGGTGGGTCGCGGTTGGGGCACGGGCGCGGAGGACGACAACAACAAACCAACAACGCACCAGCTTTCCGCACCGCGAAAACCCCTTTCAGCCACGCGCCCAGGGGCAGTGAGTGACCGTTCGGCCCCGCACTCCGAGGCCTGGGGATGTGTGCGCTCCTCTTCCAGCTCTGCCACTACTCCTTCTGGTCCTCCCTCTGACCTCTAACCCTCCCTCCTGCTCCGTCCTTCTCCTGCACCCCCCCCCCCTGGGCATGAATCGGGAGGGAACGGAGTGTCAGTGACACGCCTGCGTTGGCACCCCGTCAGCACATCACCCCTCCGTCTTCGTACGAAGACATGGCGGATCTTCAGCAATAGTTGCGGACGACGGTCAATGGAGAGTCAATGTCGAAACATATTTTAATATTTCCGCAATCATGTAAAACTCATGTTTGAATAACACATGTTTCAAACCGTGTTTCAAACTTTTTGGACGCAGACTTAATTCAATGACAGGACTGTCAGGGTGTCCACTGCCATGGCATCCACAAAGCAATAGCACTTCAATGAGTTCCTCACGGCAGCGCGTCATGGACGTTGTGTTTGCCCCCCTTTCCAACAAAAAATGAAGGAGAGGGTGCCCTGAGGGAGATGCGGCTCCCGAGGTTGTTCGCCGCTTCTGGTCTCTCTGGGCCTTCCGTGGGCCCCGGGACTGTCGAATAACGCCCAGGATGAAAAAGGTGGTCGCGGAGAGGACCCGGATCCAGGACCCGTCTCCCTCAGTAGGGGAACGAAAAGTGACATCAAGATAAATATTCGGAGGCCCGCGCGGAGTTCTCGGATCGGCGCTGGGCCCCTGCCTTCCCCAATCGACGGCGAGCGAGGGGGGGAGTGAGGAGGAGCAGGCTTTCTCAGTAGACTCGGAAGTCCTCAATCATTCTGATGCGTTTTTTAAGCCTTTTCCGAAGACGCAGAAAACTTTGAGAGGGCGCGAGGGCTTCAGAGAAGTCCCGCCGCCTTCTGATAAGGCCTCCTCCTTCGCATGGGCCGCAGTGTCATCCTGAGTCCCTCTCTGACGGTCCCGGGCCGGGGAAGCGGCAGCGACGGAAAGCCCGGCGGTCACGATCTCATAGCGTCGACCAGGTCTGAGCGTCTCCCCTCCTGATTCCTCTCCTCATCCGCAGTTCGCCGTCCGCGCCACCGGCGCACCCCTGGCCCGCAAGGTCCGGCGGGTACACGGAGAGGCTCTCTGGAGACCTGGTGCTCCAGAACGGGAGGGATATCATCACCGTGGAGCTCGGCTTCCCTTTCAGGACAGCGCTGGGGGGAACGGAGGCGGACTTCCCGTGCCGCCCTCCGCTGCTCTTCCGAGCACGCGAGCATGCCGCCTGTCCGTTTGTTGTTGTTGCTGGTGGTGTTGGTGTTTGTGTAGGTGTTGGTGTTAGCGGTGTTGTTGTTGGTGTTGGTGTTTCTGTTGAATGTTATTCTCTGAACATGTATTAGTGTTGAACACCTTACAGGCGCTTTGGCGCTCTCGCCGAGGCGCCGGCTATATTTTCATTGACAATGAGGCTCACGCTCGAGCGGTTTGGGGGACCGCCAAAACCGGCCCCCCAACAAGAACAACGCTCCTGCTCGAGACTTCCTCCTTTTTTGCTTAGGGCTGGTGTTCTTGCTCGCCGCCGAAAGCCGCCGTCCCAACAAAACCAGCGCTCCCGCTCGAGACTTCCTCCCATTTTACCTTGGACTGGCGCGCTAGTCTTTCTCTCATCGGCGCAGCCCGCAGCAAAAACAACGCTCCCGCTCGAAACTTCCTCCCTTTTTTACTCGAGGCGGTGCTCCTCCTCGCCGCCGAAAGCCGCCGCCCCGACAAAACCAGCGCTCCCGCCCGAGACTTCCGTTTTACGCTGGACTGGCGCCCAACTCTCTTTTGAATTGCTGCCGCTCCCAGCAAGAACAACGCTCCCGCTCGAGGCTTCCTCCCTTTTTCCTGAAGACGGTGCTTTTCCTCGCCGCCGACAGCCCCCGTCCCGACAAAACCACGGCTCCCGCTCGATGCTTCATCCTTTCTTACTCAAGGCTATTCAGGGCCAGGTCCTTGCCTCACCGCCGACAGCCCCCATCCCCACCAAGGCAGTCCTGTCGTTCGATACTTCCTTGTGCTTTACCCTTCGCTGGGGTTCCACTGGCGGTCTCGCATCGGCGCAGCAAGGCGCTGGCATGTGTTTTCGAGGCGGGATATGTTGAAATTCCTTGGAGGAGGTGTTTGCAAGACCTCATTGGGCGGGAGATCTGGGAATGGGAATAACGGACCCCGCTCTAGAACAAGAGTCCCCCATTACGTGGATGGTTATCATGTTGTTGTTGCTGCTGCTGTTGATGCTGTCGGGCTCAGGGTGGCATCGCTCTTTCATGCCGCCCACCTGTCTGGGGGAGGTGGCGGTCTCAGAGCCGTGGTGCCTTGTCAGTGGAAGGGAGGGGCGGGACCTGGAGCTAACGGCCCAGGGCTAGTTAGAAGCTACTCTCGAGGGGAGGCCCCGAGGTCCAGGACGATCGAAGTGGCTACGGTAAGAAGTGGTACCGAGACCGACCGCAGTTCTGGCTCATGTTGAACATGGCTCGCTGTTGGTGTGGCCGTGGTCTGCCCAACGGCGGCCTCGCTTAGGTTTTGGGGCAACTTGTGTGGTGGGGCATCGTTTTTGTTGTTGTCCGTGCAATTTCTCGTGCGTCCAGGGAGGAGCTCTCAAGGGCCAGCCGACGTGCGGTTCCTCCCGCCCCCGAGGGCAGGAAAGAGGGAGGAGGAGGAGAAGCACGAGGAGCAGGAGGAGGAGGAGGAGGAGGAGAGGAATGGAGGAAGCGGATGATGATCAGGAGGAGGCGGAGGAGAAAGAGGAGGAATGGAGGAGGCGGCAGACGTGGCGGCAGGGTCGCCAGCAGCCCCCTGGGGCGCGCAGGCCGCGCACGCCGAGAAGCCCGACCTCCTTTTGGGGTGGGAGGCGTGGCGGGCGCGGGTGCGGAAAGGGGAGTTCACGGGGGGGGGGGGGGAGGAGGAGGAGGGAGGAGGAGGAGGAGGGGGAGGAGACGCGGGTGGAGGAGCAAGGGGGGAGGAGGCGCGAGGAGGGAGGAGGAGGAGGGGGGGTGAAGGGATTCTTGGGAGGAGGGAGGAGGGACTCGGAGAAACTGGGGGCCAGGGGGGAACAGTGGGGAGAAGGGAGCAGGGAGGAGCGATCGGGGAGGAGCAAGGGGGAGGATGAGACGGAGAGCGGAGAAAGGGGGAAGGGGAGGAGGAGGAAAGGGGAGGCAGGAGGGAAGAGGGGGACGAGGAGGAGGGGGAGGGGTAGGGCGGCCGCGAGGAGGACGAGGAGGAAGAGGATCGCGCGGGGACTGGCCGCTACTTTGGCGAGGCGTTCCCTGCGCCGAGTCTGTTGTTGTTGTTGTTGTTGTTGTTGTTGTTGTTGTTGTTGGTGATGTTGGTGTTGGTGCTTGTGTTGGTGTTGGTGTTGTTGTTGGTGTTGTTGTTGTTGTTGTTGTTGTTATTGTTGTTGTTGTTGTTGGTGTTGTTGTTGTTGTTGTTGTTGTTGTTGTTGGTGTTGGTGTTGGTGTTGTTGTTGTCGTTGTTGTTGTTGTTGTTGTTGTTGTTGTTGTTGTTGTGATTGTTGTTGGTGTGATTGTTGTTGTTGTTGGTGGTGTTGTTGGTGTTGTTGGTGTTGTTGTTGTCGTCGTCGTGTGGCGTCGGTACATGGGCCAGACAGAACCGATGGTCGTGACCAGCAGTAGCAATTATGTCAGGCTGCGGTGTCTTCTTTTCGACTGCGTGGTTTCATTTGCGGCCACGCGTGAGTCATAAGACGAGACGCACTACACCTGCAAGTACGAGTCGACGATGTTGCCCAAGCTCGCTGGCCTCTGGACGCAGCCACGGGACGATTTGGAAGCAAGCATCTGGCATACCGTGCAACCGCCGACTTTGGAGTGCACGTTCGCAGTAGATAGCTTCTGGTGACAGTTGACAGCACGACTCTGCATTGTGGTTCGCATTGGCATTAGATTGCCATGCGTTGGAATACATTGTTATGACAGCTGTTCTGAGGACGCCCAAGGACAAGGTCGGGTGAGAGCGCGACTTGTTGCCTGTGCAGTGCGTGGGATTCGTCCCTCTTGTTTTCTCGCGGCGCTCGTGCTCTGGCGCATGGCTTCGCGCAGTCATTGCCATAATCTTTGTGCTTAGAGCGGCTTGTAGCACTGTATCGGTTCTCCAATGCCGTCTCCTCTTGTGGGGCGTGTGTGGCCTCCGCGCACGATCTGACCTGACCTGACCTGGAGACGGATGGACGAGGCGGGGGAAGGGGCTTACGAGGATGCAGAACACGGGCACGGTCTCATCGGCCACGGAGGAGGGGGAGGGGGGAGGGGTGCTTAGAAGGACGAGGCGGGAGACGGGGACAAGAGTGAGAAGGATGAGGAGGGACACCGTGAGGGGAGGAGACGACAGGAGGCGAGGATTGGTGATGGTGATGACAGCGACGATGGTGACGATGCCGACCATCCCAGCTGAGAGGACCACGTTCTCCATCTCCTGCGCAGGGTGGACGCGGTGCCTCATCGGCTGGGAGGGAGGAGGCATCGATCTGGCTGGCGCCCTCTGCCGCCTCCCGACGGGGGAGGGGACTCACGAGGAGGAGGAAGAGGACGAGGAGGGGGGCGACTGAGGAGGTGGAGGAGGAGGAGCAGGAGGAGCAGGATGACTCAGGACCCAGGAGGACGTAAGAGAGGGGGAGCAGGATGAGGAGCAGGAGGACTGGTGTGGGTCTGGCTTGCGTCCTCTGCTGTCCCCCCGTTCCTGAGGACTTGGCGACTCTTCTCCTATCGTGTTTCGGGGAGCAAGCTAGAGAATTCGAGGTACATCCACGCCGTCGATGTACATCCAGATGTGCCGATGTGAGCCCAGAGACATCCAGACAAGTCTGACACAAGTCGCTGACAATCCTAGCGCGAGTCCAGGGACAAGCAGAAGCCGTTCAGCCCTCAGCATCCCCAGATGGGCGAGGAGGACGGGAGGAGGAGAGCCCAGACCTTGTGGCGTCGCGCGGGAGGCACGACGTGCAGATTCTGCGGCCCAGTTTGGGCCCCGGGCCCCGCACGAGAGTTCTGGCATAAGAGCGTTTTGTCGGGAGTTCCGCCTTTGATCCATAGGGCTCCGACCTCTGCTGCGGGCCCCCCTTTCTGAGTGCTTGCATGGCTGAGCTTGCTCGGTTGGCCAGTCTGTTGGACCGTCGGTTGGCCATCTGGCACATCGGCCGGTGGGCCTGACGTTTCCACAGCTGTCGGGCAGCTGACTGGTTGCGGCCTCGGGATCGCGCTGCTGTTGCGGTGTGTCAGGTTTCCTTGGCTGCCATCTTGAGGACACGCCTGCGCGTCCTTCCGGGTCGTGGCCAAGCAGCCGTGGAGCTTCCCCCGGGGCCTCCACGCCTCCCGCGGTGCGTGCCCCAGGAGCGCGGGGGCGCGCCCGCTCTGCTCTGCGCTGTCTGGGGAGCCCGTCTCGTCGATCCCGCTGGCCGTACCACCTCCCCTGTGCCGTGCTTCTGCACCCAGGTCCTGGGCTGCCCTGCGCGCCTGCGCGTCGTTCCGGGTCGTGGCCAACTGGCCGTGGAGCTCGTGGGCTTCCGCGCTTCCCGCAGGGCGTGCCCCGGAAACCTTGGCGAGCGCCGGCGTTCATCTGCGCTGTCCAGGGAGATCGTCTCGTCGACCCCGTGGTTGTACCATTTCCACTGTGCCGCGTTTCTCCACCCGGTCCATTTGAGGTGCCGTTGGATGGTGCCCGCCAGGGTGCGGCCGTCCTTCCAGGCGCGCGGCGTGCTGCCATTGTTCGCGCCTTTGGGTGCTACCCGCGCCGTGCCGATGAGCGTCTCTTGCTGCACACGGAACCGCGCGTGGATCCGGTGGCCCACGACCTGGCTCTTGAGGTGCGGCGACGACCGTCGCGGTACAGCGAAGGCCCATGTCAAGAAACACCCTGCTTGCCTCCAGCGTGCCCTGGGTGCCTTGGGTTTCGATGATTCTGCCATGTCAAGCGTGACGCTCCCGAGGCGGAGGAGGAGGAGGAGGAGGAGGAGGAGGGCAGGGTGGCAGGAGGAGGAGGAATACGAGGAGCGCAGGGCGAGGAGCGCAAGAAGAAGGAGGGGTGAGGGAGGGAGGGAGGATGAACGGATGAACGGGATGGAAGGGGCGGAGCAAGGCGGAGGAGGGAGATGGGGGCCAAACCTTGCCGCCTTGCGGGAACGACTAATGACATAAACATAAGAACTCGGAGGTCCGCGCTCATTTCTCGGAGCCGCGCTGGACCCCCCCCCCTGGCGCCTCCGGGGCCGCCCATGGCGCCCTCCGCGCGCCAGGGAGGGGGGTCCAGCGCCGATCCGAGAAATCCGCGCGGACCTCCGAGTTTTGATGTTTACTTCGTTGTTCGTTCCCCTCAGGAGGGAGATGGAGGCCAAACCTTGCCTGCTGGCCATGTGTTTACGGCCTGGCGGATCAGCGTTTCCAATGTGATCAGGCTCGGGCTGAAGGCCCTTGCCCCCGCCGCCGCGTCGGAGGTATTGGGGGGGGGGGGGGGGGCGAGGTTGGAGGCGGGAGGAGGGGGTTGACGAGGAGGAGGAGGAGGACCATGAGGAGTGCGATGGAGACATGGAACGCGGGAGTGAGAGAGGCGATTGCGACGACAGCCGCTGCCCACACCGCCACCACCATGACCACGATTGCTATGCTTGCCACTGCCAGTGGCACGCGGTCCTTGGCCCCTGCAGCCTCTGCTGCTTCTCTCGCGCGTGTGTGTCCTCACTGTTCTCTGCCCTGTGTCGACGCAGCCCCCCGCCGTCCACCCTACAGTGTGCACCGTGCCGATTGCTTCTTGGAGGCCGCCTGCTCCGGAGAGTCATGGAGACTTGCGGACCGTCGAGTACCGAAGAGTTTGGATGTGCCCACTCCGCGCTCAGACTCCGCAGTGCTGCCTTTCTGGGAGCCATTCGTTCAGACAGCAGCGCAAGCACAACAAGCTTGTCTCGAGCACGCCCTCCGTGATGGCCTCCTCATGGCACGAACACCAGCGCGAACCCCAGCCCGCCGTTCTAGCGCTCCCGATGTTCCGCCCCACGCAGCCATGCTCCAGTTGATGCCGCCATGACGGACAGGACCCACCAACGCTGCAGATTGCTACCATCACCACCACTGCCACTGCCGCTCCTACTCCTCCTGCGAAGGCGGACGAGCCCATGCACAACGAATCCTGTGCCACCAGAGCGGGTTCACACCTGAAAGTGCCTCTCGCGACTATGACATTACCGTGAGCTGTATCACGATCACGATCCCCACCACCACCATGGCTATTACGACTGTTCTACGCTTATTGCTGAACTACTACAACCACTGCCACTGCGAATGACAATGCCACTGCCGCTGCCGCTGCTACTTCCTCCTACGTCTGCCCCTCACACTGCGACTACCACAATCTCTACCGTCTACCCCTCGGTCTCTTCCATTGTGTTTGGCTTGAGGATGTCGACGATGAGCGCGCGGGGAATGGAGAGTCTTCCTTCCCCCTCATCATCTCATACACCTGCATCCCTTTCCAGGCACAGGCGGAGAGCAGAAGGAGGCGGAGGAGTATTTTAGAAGGTGTGGACGAGGGATCACAACAATGCTGGTTTTTGGGAAGGGATAGAATCAATGATCGTGATGATCATGTTGGTAATTGTGATGAATCTGGTGATGGTGAGGTTGATGCTGTCGGTGTTGTGTATGACGCTGATACTGATGGTGATGAAGCTGAATATGGGCATGAACCTGATACTGATGATGAATCTGATGATTATGATGCTGGTGATGATGATGATGATGGTGATGATGAAGATGATATTGATGGTGATGATGATATGGCGATAATGGTGATTATGAAGATGGCGATACTGCGGATGATGTTGATGATGAGGAGGACGAGGATGACGATGAGGGTGACGGGTGACGCTGTCGATACTGATGTTTAGTGCGATGATGATGCTGATGATAATGATGTGTGTGATGTGAATGATGAGGTGGATGTGTCTGAGGACGATGATGGTGGTACTAGTGATAGCGATGATGGTGATGATGGTGATGATGATGCTGGTGATGGTGATTGTGGTGGTGGTGGCGATGCTGATGCTGATGACGATGCTGATGGTGATGCGTACGCTGATGATGCTGCTGCTGCTGATTATGATGATGCTGAGGAGGAGGAGGAGAAGGAGGAGGAGGAGGAGGATGAGGATGACGACGACGACGACGACGACGACGACGACAAAGACGACGACAAAGACGACGACGACAAAAACGACAAAGACGACGACGAAGACGACGACGACGACGTGAGCCGCGCGTCTCGCACCACGGGGCGCGATGCGCGAAGCTAGGTGAATACCCCTCCCTCTCCTGACTCTTGCCCCCCACCCCCTCCCCCCGCCTCTGCAGACTCTTGCCCCCCCCTCTCTCCCCCACCCCACCCTTCTCCGCGGACTCTTGCCCTTCCCCCTCCATCCCCCCCCTCTCTTTTGACTCTTCTGCCCCTTCCCCTTTCCTGGCTCTTGCTCCCCCCCCCTCCCACAGACCCCCCCCTCCCTTCGCATGCAACTCCTAGGAGGTAAAACTGTGTCTTTGCCCTGGCCCAAAATCTGGCGCAATCCCGCTCAATCCGCGGCCCGATCCAGCGCAACAGCCCCCCACTGGGGCTCGATCCTCCTCCTCCGCCCTTCCGACGGAGGCTTCCCAGGAGCTGCCTCCACACGCCTCCGCCCCCCCTCCCGACCCTGGCCCCGCCCCAACCGCGGCAGCAGGCGCCCAGCGTGCCGGGGCTGACCTCCGTCCTGCAGTATCCACGCCCGGCTCCCGCCGCCCCCCGCCCCCCCCCCAGGGCGCCAGAGACGGGGGCACCGCAAACGGGGGCACGGGGCACGCTGATCTCCACGCCCCGCGCCCCCCATCGGCCGCGGCCCCCGCCTCGGCTTGCCCTCGCCGCGCCCGGCGGGGCGGCCTCGCTGGCCCGGCGGGCGGCCCTGCCACGCCTCCGGCGCCGCGGATCGGGCCGGACGGAAAGGGGGATTGGGAGAGGGGGGGTTACGAAATCTGCTGCATGCAGCTGGTTTCGGCCCCACCGAGGGGCCCATTCCTCGATACATCGGCGCCTCTGTCGCCGGGAGGCGCCGGGAAAATCAGCTACGTGAGCTGATTCTCAAACCCCCCCTTTCGCCCGGTCCGAGTGGAGGCACGCCCGTCGCGATGCTTTGTGGAGGATGGAGGATGGAGGAGGGAGGAGGGAGGAGGAGGGAGCAGGAGGAGGAGGAGGAGGAGGAGGACAAGAAAGAAGGAGGAGGAGGACAAGAGAGGAGGAGGAGGAAGAGGAGGAGGAGGAGGAGGCCGCCAATGCGCCCCGGTGCCGTCAGGAAGTGAACCCGCGCTTTGGCCATCGGCACTTAGAGGGGGCCCCATGTGGAGAGATGGCACCGGCGAGGTGCCCCACATGCTTGCGTCAATTCGTCTCCGACCGCCCACCGTTTGCGCCGTATCCTTCTTCCTGAACATTCCGCATGGATGTGGTCCAGATCGCCATCCAGCGCACCATTGCTCGACACTCTTCCCTCCTCCCTTTCCTCTTTCCTCCAGCGGGTCAAGATGCGAGGTGGTCACCGAGGGCAGTTTCCTGGAACGGAAGCAAGCTCGACATTGCCATACCGCGGTTAGTCAGGGTGTCAGCGGTGCTCACGGGGGTCTGAATGCCTGTCTGCACGCATCTGATGACACGCGCCGAGCGTGCGACGGAGAGCGGCCTTCCTCTGTTGACAGGAAGCTGCCGCACCTGCCACGCTTTGCGAGCGCACGACGGACAACGCCCCCACCTCACACGCACCCCGACCTGTTGTCCAGGAAGTACCACGCCTGCCACGCTCTGCGAGCCTACGACGACTAGCGCCCCCGCCCCCTGCGCCGCCCACGAGGGTGTGCCACGCCTGCCACGTTCTGCGAGCCTACGACGACTGGCGCCCCCGCCTCCCGGCGCCGCCCACCAGGGTGCCCAGGAAGGGGCCACGCCTGCCACGCTCTGCGAGCCCACGGCGGACGGAGCCCCCCCCCTCCCCACCCCGTGCGCACCCCCTTCTGGTGTTATGATGTTCCAACCTACTTTTGCCTTGATCACCAGACGGAATCTCGAGCGCCAGAAAAGTACCGAAACTCGAGGGCTTTCACGTGCCGGGCCCTGGGAGACACTCGCCCGGCACTGTTTCGGCATTCTTTCGACACTCTCGACACTTGGCCCGGTGCTCGAAACTATTTCTGGGACGTGGTCCTGCAGTGCGAGGGGAGCAACACAATCTTGGCGTCCAGGGAGTCTGCGCAACGCCTGCCGCGATATTGTGCGAGCTCCCGGCGCATGGCGGCACCGCCGCCTGTGGAGCGTTGCCCCTCCTGTTGGCCAGTGAATGTCTGCCGCGCTCCGCGAGCTCTCGACTGGCAGCGCCTTCCAGAGCCCCCCGTTGCGCAGCCCTGCTCGGCTGCCCAGACAGCGCCACGCCTGCCGCGCTCTGTCCAGGGAGAATTGAAACACACCCGGACCGGACAATTGGCGTTTACGAAACGGCCCTGGGCGTTTGCTGAACTTTGTTGAACAGCCCTGCCCTGTTCGATTCCTTCAGTGAGGGCGTTTAGCAAGCGGCTTCGCGTGACGGGGCGGTTACTGTGGGGGTGGATGTATTGCCCTCTACTGCGGCCCGCCAGGGGTATCCTGGCAAGGTGTCGCGCACTTGTCCTCCCACTCCTTCATGCGTGTCGTGCGTATGTGTGCTGCGTGCGTGTCGGTGTCTCTCTGGGCGCGCGTGGCGGCAGCTTTGGTCCTGTACAATGCGCGCGAGTGCAGGTTAGAATGAGCGGGGTAAAAGGGGGGGGAGGGAAGTCGCGGACGGGACGCGTGTGCGTACAACACCATAATTCCACAACAGCGGAAGCCCATGCCAAGAAACACCCTGCTTGCCTCCAGGGTGCCCTGGGTTTCTTGGGTTTCGATGGTTTTGCGACGGAAATCGTGAAGATCCCACGCCGAGAATCAATGGAGGTCCTGGGATCTCACGGCTGGGCTTCGTGTGGAAGGTTTCTTGTGGTCGAGCCCCTACCGGAAGCATGTGGTGAGCTACAGACGTCGTACATGTCTGGGGAGGAGGAGGGCAGGGGAGGCTCTCGGGCATCGGCGGGCTGCCAGTGGCGTCGATCGATCTGGGTGCGATAGGGTCGAGGTTTGAGGGTCGTGGCCTCTGGGCCTTTTGGGAGGTTTCCGTCGGGGCTCTCCTGGGGCGCTCTTGGCGCCACAGCTTGATGCCTTTCCTGGCCAACACGGGGCGTCGTCGTCGTCGTTCTACTCCTGTTCCTCGCCGTCGCCCTCCCTCCCTGACCGTCGCCGTCCTGCTCTTTGGTCGCCGTCGTTCTGCTCCTGCTCCTCCCGTGGCCGTCGTCGTCCTGCTCCTGCGCCTCCC